TCTACTGTCCGATATTGTAGCACGCTAACTTTGTTTGGGCTCCTGAACGACACGGGGGAGCAGCGTCTGCCTCACAACCAATCAGGTCGGGGAGGTGGAGAACGGCTTTGTTTACAGTCAGAAAGAGCGGACCGCTCAAAAATGTTCAAATGTTGACGACACAGACATAAGAGAACACAGAGATATCGTTATATTCCCAAATGTCATCAATAACTAACACACTATTGAGTGATATTAAAAGTTTTTTTGTAAATACACCACAAAAAAAGATGTAATCCTGCCTACCGCACCTTTAAAACAATATATATATATATATATATATTGTATATGCTAATTTGAACTTCTCTGATCTTGATGTTGTTAAAATCACCTCCTCTGTCTCTGTTTCTGTCTCTGTTTCTGTGCAGAAAGCAGACCTGGCCGTCGCCGGCTTCACCATCACCTCAGAGAGGGAGAAAGTGATCGATTTCTCCAAACCCTTCATGACGCTGGGAATCAGCATCCTCTACCGCGTCCATCTGGTAAACTCACCGATCTATCTATATTTGTTTCATCCAAACTCAGACTGTTTTCCAAGACAATCCCTCACATCCAGACTTGTTCGAACAGTCAGATTATCCAATCAAGTGCAGGAGAGGATCTAGTGTTGAAATATCTGAGTTGTGGATGCAAACTTCAGTTTTTGCCACAGTGTCAACAAGAAAAAGTAAAATGCTCTGAAACTATCTCCCCTGTGTGATCTGCTCGTCTCTGGTGAGCCGGTGAAGAGTTTAGAGGTCTTAACAAGTGCAAAGAGTCATGTTGCATTATGGGATTGAAAGTTGTTTAAAATAATTTGTGAGAACCCAAATTAATTCTGAAGTCAAAGTCCAGCCGTGTTTGAATACTTTCCCTTAGTTCAGACCGTCAGAGCAGAGAGTGGCTCTGATTTAATAGTTTTAATTTGCCGAGCGCTCATTAAGAGTTTTACTCCCTCATAAATAAAAGCAGAGTGTTTAGTTTTTAATTCCACTCATCATCATCGCCGCGTCTGTTCACATTATTCAGAGCTGCTGTGGAAAGAGGAGTGAACTCTGTGGAGTCCTCTTAGAAACCAGATAATTCCTGCATTATTAAAAACACAGCTTCGCTCATCACTTTGTCCTTATTTTCATAAACTCTCTTTGTTTTTTTAATCAAGTGAGACTCATGAGAAAGCTGCCAAAGCGAGACAACTTTAGTCCGTTTATGGATCCTTCAGGAGGGTCTGGAGTCAGTATTCATTACGGCTCCATTTTCTGATGTTGGTTTGATTTCAGATGAAAACTTTCCTGAAGATTTAAACTCCCCAGTACAGCAGTCAAATGTCAGTTCGATCAAGGTGATCAGCTGTGAGTATATTTACTCAATTAAACATGGCAGAAATGTGCAACACAACAGCCAATTAGAGTTATTGACGGAGAAGTAAACAGACTGACCGAACGTGGAGCTAAATGCAGAGCTGGGGGCAGCGAAAGAGATGTCAGCCGTGACTTTGAGTCGTCCTCCAAAGATGCCATCGTTCAGAAGAAAACTTAGTCAACGTCGGTTGTGTGGCGGTGGTTCAGGTATCTCCAGAGTGACGTTGAGTAATTAAGCCGATATTTACGGTATGTTGATGGTCAGTGCCTCAAAAACAGGCAACACAACAGATCTGTTTAATCATTTGAAGAAGTTCTTCCCGAGTGATTATGTGGAAAACATGAAAATGTGGGCGGAGTCTGTACAGCCTGTCACTGCTGAGGGTACAGGTAGCATTAGCAGTTTAGCTACAGCTAGCGGTGCAGCCACCAGACCAAAGCAGTGATCAATCATATCATCTACGTTTGCATCATCTAATGTTTACATTTTAAAGCGTCTTCATTATCTCTGAGGGGACATTTGTTAATTTTACCTGCAAATACACTGTAAACTAGTTCACTGTATTATTCAGTGTTTATAGACATTTGTTGTTCTGTTGAGTTAAAATGGGTTTTATATTTTTCTAAGTATATTTTATTCAATTTGCTTTGTTTTTTACTTTGTACCCGCTGTGCAATGCGACATGGAAATGACATCTATTTAACATATTTTTTGACGATGAGATACAAATGTGGACGTAATTTCAAGCTCTAGAAGAGGTCCAATAATGACGTCTAACTCTTGGATCCATTTTGCACGTTGTGCCGACGTCTAGAGTTGGTCTTTGACGGACTGACCCAATACTGACTTGATCTGCATTAATATCATGATATTAATCGAGATCGGACGATATGACAAAATATATTGTGATCTTTTTTTTTGGTCAAATCTCCCAGTCCTACCTTCACGTGTTCACCTCCACCGGTCTGAGCTGAGTTTGTGCATCCTCCAGATCTCACACTAGAAGAAAGGATGCATAAGAAGATGACAGAGTCTGTGTCTTTATGTTTTCTGGTTATAAACTATCTTTATAACAGATCCAGGTGTCTGTTTAAATGCTTTAGTATGGGGTTTATAAGGTCGTATCTGAAGCAGCAACAGTGTCTGCATTAAGCTGTGAGTAAAAACCTGGCCTCAGGAGTGTTTGTTGTGGTCTGGATGGATGTTCCCGGTGTAGATGATGGTTGAATATAAAATCTGAGTGCACAGCTGTGCAGCAGTTTGTTGTTCAGCTCAGCAGGCCGTTTGTTTTCCTCTGAATAAGACCTTAAAGGATCTGATAAAAACTTGTTTAACTTCTCTGATTTGCCTGCGGAGGAAAAACAAACTAACAAATGTTACAGCCGAGAGTTTGCACCTGTTGACATTTCCTGTCCGTCTCCACCGCTCTCTCCGTCTGCTCGCTGATTTGATGAATTCAGAGAGAAAACGCTGCAGTCACAACAGCAGCAGCCGCCGCCTCCTCAGCTGCTCCGAGCTGGAGGCAACAACAAACCCCCGCCTGCTCGGGTCAGGCAGTCAAACTGTGAGTTCAGGACTAAGAAACAGCAAATATTCCTGAGACCGGAGAGATCACAGAGGGCGGGGGGAGAGGAAGAAGAGCCGAGGACACAGACAGAGGGCATGTTTCTTCTTCTGTGGTGGAGGAAAGAGGGTGTGAGGCAGGCAGGGGAAGGTGACAGGAGCGTCTGAATGAAAAATATGAGTTTTTCTGCCTCTGAGGGAGGATGGGTGAGTCTGCCTCCCTGACTGGAATACGAAACACGAACGCTGCTCGACTACACTTCCTGAGAGTGTGACAGAGGCCGGCTCAGGTTGGAAGTTTGGGTGAACAGACTGCTAACAGGCCAGCAGGGACATTTGTATATTTGCATAGCAGACAGGGTAAGGACAGCATGCTAACTGTGAAAACTGAAGTCACAAGTGAGCAACAATTATCGCTGCTTTGGAGGAACAGGAGGAGAGAGGAGTTCAACTTTGGACAGTCGATGTTTGCTTTCAGTCTGCGAGTTTGCTACTCGGGTGAATAAATGAAGACGGGGAAGAAAAGCAATGATGGACACATGACAAGAACAAATACCTGAGAATATGACGAAATCCAAACAAAATCTCGGCAAGAAGCTGCGTGAAGCTGCAGCCGTCTTTAAAACTGCATCCTTTCCTCTGTATAGAGAGTCTGGAACGTGAAATCATGTTCAGATCATGTGAGGATTTGAAGTTACTATGACAGCAGCTGTAGACCGAAGAAGTGACTCTAACCTGCACTCTGTCTGATGGACAGCAGGGGGCGACACCACTGGTATCCAGTATTGTGTTGTGTCAGTTTATCATGTCACATTACCATCTGTTGGATTGTATCAGTTTTATCATCTCATTGAGCAACGTCATATCATATCATATATTATATTACATCATAGCATATAATGTATTGTATATTATACTTTTTCATCATATATTGTATTTTATCATGTCATATATAATATCATACGTATTGTATTTAATCATTCTGTGTCATATATTACACCATATTATATATCATTTCGTATCAGATATCATTTATCAATTATCATATATTGTTTATTATATCATATCGTATCTTATTGTTTTGTTTCTTATATCGTATTGATATATTGTATCATATCATATATGATATCATATCCTATGTCATATCATTTTTGTAAAGATATTGTTTTGTTTAATGTTGGTTTGAACTACTGAACTATGTTTCCATTTATATTTCACAGTAAAAATAGGGAGGGTGAGTTTATACGTTCGTCTCTTTGTCTGCCAGAAAGTCTTTAGCGGTGTGCTTTGTAAACAGAGTCAGTAAATGACTCAGAGATACATCAGAGGAGCTTTTACAGCTTCAGTGTTTGAAGTCGGCGTCAGTCAGCAGCAGCTGGTCCGAGCAGTGCGAATGTGATTTTAATGACAATAAATGTTAATAAAACATTTATTTAATTAGTCGTTAAAGCATAATGATGCGTCTCCTCTGAGGACGGCTGATGATGTGCTGCAGCGATACTGTACATCTGCAGCTCATCAGTATTCACCTCCACCATCTGTCCTCTGCGTTTGATCCTGGCCACTGTGATCCACTCAGCATCAGTCAGCTGTTTAATGTGAGAGCAGCCAGAGTGTCCTCACCACACCGCAGAGTCACACAGACTTCCTCTGAAGTGTTGCTTTAAGGATTCAGTGGGCAGAGAGCACATTTTCACCCTCTGTTACAGCCTCAGTCTGATTCACGCTCACTGACGAGATCTTGATCTGAGATGTCATAAATTCGGTCCTCTGAGCTCTTATTTAGTGCAGCTTTAGTGACGATCACACACAGAGGACAGACAGGCTAACAGGCCGTGCAGAGGAGAGTCACACACACACACACACACACACACACACACACACACACACACACACACACACACACACACACACACACACATAAAGTACATACACACACACACCGTCTGAAGTTTAAAACCCTGTGTAAAAAAAAAAAATGTTCCTGAATTATCAGCCAAAATAAAAGTTTAAACAAAAGTTTAAGTACTCATTATGCACGGTGGCCTTTCAAAATAAATGTCATAAATACTGCAGAGAGCTGGGAAAGCCGAGGCTCATTTAAAGGACTTTTTATTGTGCTGAATATTTCAGCCTGAGGCATAAATATTTATCTGTTGGTTTTCATTTTGCATTTTTAAATATAATAAAAACACAGATTTTTATTTCGTTTTTGTACAATATAAAGCAGCAAACAGTTATTCAAAAACAGCATTAAAAATTTCACTGAATAAAGAGAATCAATTTTGAAGGAAAAACTTTATTTAGGCATGAGAGATTTTCTATGACCGAGTGAGGGTCTGAATCTTTAGAGCTGGGATTTCAGGTTTGGGTTAATTTGGCTAAAGAATTTGAAAAGCTATAGAGAAATAATTAATGATCAAATATCCTTTACAAGTGAGTCAAGTGGTCAACTGAGTGTCATCAGCGTAACTGTGGAAAGAGATGTCGAGGTAACTCATACAATTCAAAATATAAAGGTCCTAGAATTGATCCTTGCGGTACTCCACCGCTCATTATCGCTTTTAAATCAGTTCTCAGGCTGAAGTTTTTTCTTTTAAGCTTTTCTTTCAATTACTGAAACCGGAATAAACAGGAGCTCACCTGGAGGCAAGTGAGTGAGGAGGTCGGATTACCTCGGACTAGGGACCACCGTTGGAATTACTATTGACACGCAAATTAAGCGAGTAAATACTATTCATTAACACATCTAAATTTGTGCAAATTAAGCGAGTTGATGATTTTACTCGCGCTTGGTGTGAGCGCCCCATTAAGCCTAAATGGGACCATAATTTACTAAATGAATATCAGACCATAATTCATTACAGAAACGTCCACTGAAGAAGAAATCAACCGAGATGTAGATTTACATTTGCCCCCTGCTGGACAGTAGTAGATCTGCAGGTTTAAGATGTCACTAAGCTGTCTCTAGGTCCAAACCCAAGAGGTTGCTTTTGTTGTAGCTGAACTTTGAGGTGTTTTCTCTCTGTCGTCCTCTCATTGGTTTTAAAATTTGCACCTTTAACGACGTCTCAAACAAAGTAAACCAGATTGCTCAGGCGGTTAAATCTGTAACACAGATATTCTGACGATAAATCTGATTATGAACAACCCTGAATGTGAAGACAACATACTTCCTTTTTCAGACTCTCCAAGTAAATAAGAGACACTATCATGTCTGGAGGTATAAAGAGCTCATTATGCTCATTGTAAAACACACACACACACACAGACACACACATTTATGTAAATAGCTAGCATGTACGCTTTAAGATGGTAATCTGTTTAATTGCTCAGGCTGTTGACTGGTGCACACACATTAGTGAAGAGGCGTGGTGTTTATCAGCGCTCGTGCCCTCTGGTGATCAGCAGAGTGAATTTATGTCGGCTACTGCTCCCAATTCATTAGAGCTCGATATATTATCACTGCGCTGTTCGCTCCATCACGGGCACAATCATTTATTACAGCAGGTACAAGGACCTCTGGCATCATCAGAGAGGAGACGGCAGCGCTTTCTGTGTGAATGTGAGTGTGTGTGTGTGTGTGAGTGTGTGTGTGTGTAGGGCAGAGAGTGACTTCAGTGTAATTATTCAGGAAATGTGTGAAAACCCTGCAGAGGATGAACCTGATTAGTGGAAGTTCAGCAGATGTTGTAACACTCTTTAACCTGGTCGATTAAAACAAATATACAGAAAAATGGATCCAGAGACGACGCCATCAGAGAGTCCAAGAACTCGACTAACCCCCAAATTCCAACGCATGCAGAACGGCGGCAAAAAGTCTATCGGTGCTGAGCGCCACTGATTGTTTCCATTTAAGTTAATGTGTCAAATTTCACCGGCTTCTTTCCGGACGGCGCAGCATGCCACATAAATTCAGCACAGATTAACCCGTGCTGGGAAGGAAGTCGGGCACAGACACAAAATCAGACATCCGGCTTCTTTTCAAAATAAAACACTCCGTGTTTCATGTGGATTGTATTTCACACCACGCAAATGTGGGCGGGGACGCACGAGTCAAAGGTTTTCAGACGTCATTTCACCCCGATGACGCCGTGGATGGAGAGGAGATGTTGATTCTGGAAGTCCAATATCACGAAATATTCTACGACCCGTCTCATCCCTCATATAAGGACAGTCATAAACAGGATATGGCGCGGGATTCCAGAGCTGATCGTTATCGCGTGATTGCATGTGAATTCCCGGGTTCTTGTGAGTCCTTGTGATTCTCGCTGTCTAAAATTCGCCATGAAATTCGCCTCACAAACGCATCCGGTAGGATTTGACGGACGGTAAGAAGACAAAGAACTGGACTTTAGCTCAGTGGTCCAACATCTCCAGAGTCAACACAGCCCAAGATCCATAAACCTGTTTTTCATCGGGTGTTATCGTGAACGGGTTCCTTCGAGTTTTACTGACGTCGCCTGTTACTTTGTTATTCAGTCTGACAGGATTTAACTCCGACTGTAAACCGGACATGAACACCAACATCAGAGCTGGACCCCTCTGATGGTCCTGCAGTCCTGATCTCTCTGACAGCAGGAGAGTCTAACCCGCCGTTAGAGAAGATTTAAGCTCTTTAAATTACACCTTTAGATAAAAGTGTTGAATTGACCATCTGACAGAAACACAAAGAGAGATCTTCACTCTGAAAATAGAGAGTTGAAATGATTGACAGCTTCCCCGACCCTCACTTTAAAGGTCCTGCTGTGGTGGACTCACATCAGGGCAGAACAAGCTGTGAGGACGGTGAGAAAGAAGAGTCCAGAAACACGTCCCAGTTTCATTTGACTTTTGGTTAAAGCAAATATTGAACGTTTGTCTTCATTCCTCCTCAGACTGAAAGAGAAACTTTCATTAAACATACAGAAACTTCTCTGAGTATCTTTGTTCTGGAAGTGAAGCTGAATTTCTCTCAGCTTATAAAAAAAAGGAAAATTACATTTAGTTCAGAGAATAAATATAACCTCAGAATCCAAACAGGAGCTCTTTGAAGGCCTCACATGATGGACTCTTTAATTTAGTGAATAAAGGTCGGCTCGACGTTACTCATCAGGGACTTTTCATACTCCTATTGTGCAAATTTACCTGTAATTTAACAACGATCAGTCTGCACAGTTTTAAAGAAAGCAGTTTGACTCTCTGCTGCCCAGATCTGCTCCGTGCACTCTAATCCTGACACATTTCTTGATGAGCTGAATGGATGGAGAGGTCTTTGCTCTTCAATACAAAGTCGATTTATAACAGAGGGGATGAATTTCACCATTTATAACGAGTAAGAAGCCACTTAGATTAAATTTCAGCCCATGACCATCTGATCATCTCCTCAGTTTCAGTCTCTCCCTGTAATTTGATCTAATCTGGAAGTTCTTCAACGATTTTTACTGCTAATCCTTTTCTCAGATTTATTAGGACAGCAGTATAAACAGCAGAAGAAGAGAGGTGATAAAACGGATCGATGGGAAGCAACAACCGGCTCTTTAAAAGCCCGTATCTGTAATCTGGGCTTTTGTGGTTTATTTGAATTGCAGGTTTACGTGCTCAGAAAGGAGAAGAAGAGGAAAAACAGACAAATCCAGAGTCTGTCAATCAGATGTGAAGCTTCTGTTTTCAGACCCGACAGGTTTAGGCGACAGGTGGTCATTATCAGGACTCGATGCCAGCGGGAGACCGGAGAATTCCTCTGCTGTTAAACTGGATCTTTTTTCCTCTTCAGTTAAAAAACCTCCAGGTTTTAACGTCCGTGAGCGTGCCCTCAGAGTCTCTAGACCCGGACCAGACCCGGACTCGATCCTGCGACCGGTCTGCAGTCCTCTCTGTTAGTGTTTTGTTAAAAACCAGGACTGTGCTCATGTGGGTTTCTGTGTTTCAGGGTCGTAAACCGGGTTACTTCTCCTTCCTGGATCCGTTCTCTCCGGCGGTCTGGCTCTTCATGCTGCTGGCGTATCTCGCTGTCAGCTGCGTCCTCTTCCTCGCCGCCAGGTAACACCCCTGCCTCTTCCTCTGTCTGTGTGTTTGTGTGTCTGTGTGTCGTTCACACCTATAACTAACAGCTCAGCAGTTAAAACCCGATCAGTGTGTCTCTGTGAATTCATCATTAACACATTTGGACAGACACAGAGTCAGAACCCGAGTCCACCTGAACTGGGTTTCATGTGTGTTTCTGTTCCTTCAGACTCAGTCCGTACGAGTGGTACAACCCTCACCCGTGTCTGCGGGAGCGGCGGGACGTCCTGGAGAACCAGTACACTCTGGGGAACAGCTTGTGGTTCCCGGTGGGCGGCTTCATGCAGCAGGGATCGGAGATAATGCCCCGCGCTCTGTCCACGCGCTGCGTCAGCGGAGTCTGGTGCGTTTTCACGGCGATCGCTCGCTCTTGAGGGTTTTTTTTTCTTTGGGGTTGTTGTTAGTAAAGATGTTCAGTTGTCACTTTATTTAACAGACGAAATGTGAGCAGTGTATATTGTCCTCTCTCCTCGGGAACATTAGGTGAACATGAACAGATGGTGAACCGGCTCTCAGGTGAAACTGAGGATGTCAGTTTCATTTCTCGTTTCCTTTCCGCTCCTCTGCCTCCTCCACCTCCTCTCCTCCTCTCGAGCTCCCAGTAGCTGCTGTCAGACAGATGGTGGACTGATACTGGAGGGACTGGACGGTTCATCGGCATCTTTTCTCTGACAGCTCTCGAGCTCGCCAGGCTGATAAAAAGTCATGATGGCTGCGGCTCAAACCGAAAAAGAAAACCTTTTTCCTGAGTGGCTTGTTGGCGAGCGAGTCGGTCAGATTGGAGTTGTTAAAAAGAATCTGATCACATTTCATTTGGAAACTCCTCAGTAAGGAGCGTAGTGAGCGGCTGTCCTAGAAGTCACTAGACTTTATTATCACCTAATTTGCCTAATTATTCGTTTGCATATCAAGGTGATTTATCTTTGACACATAAAATTTAGCGTCTCGCCTTGTTGAAAGATTCAACAGCGGTGGGTTCAGGAGGGAGGCGGACTGGAACCAGGGAGGAGGTAAAGAGTAAGATCGATGCGTGCGTTCACGTAGATTTGTCGCTAGTCACTATAGAGTTTTGAAAAGTCGCTAAGTTGTTCATAAAAATGTAAAACACAAGCGTACATTGCACACTATTAAAAAACTAACATTGTCGTATTAAAACCACACTCATTATTGCTTTAAAGATCTGTGTTTTTGAATTGTTGTGTATGAAGCTCCTAAGACCTCAACCTCTAGTGGACATTTGAGGAACTGCAGTTTTTTGCACTTCTGTTTCAGCGATCATACCTGCCAACACTCAGACTCGGTATTTCAGACCTTTCTCCCAGAATCTCCCGTAGTTTGATGGTCCACGTTCATTCATGAATCAGATCACTATATTTGTTCAAAGTTTACAGACAAACGAAGATTGTCGTGTGTTTCTGCTGAGCCTCACAGACTCCTGATTGATACTTTGACTTTACAGTTTGGGATGATTCAGGTCAATTTAAGCTTTAAACTGTATTGAAACAGTGTTTGTTGTAAAATGAACAACCAAAAATGAAAGGACACAAGCGTGAGATCTAATATTTACGTTGATAGTCTCGGAGTGATGTGTTCAGGGCAGCCTCAGATAAAAGAGTGCTGTATTTCACACACAGATGTTCAGAGAGACTCATAGAGAGGAGCATGTCAAACATATGAGGACTTTAACACTAATATTAGTGGACTAAAGAAGTTCATTTCATAGCAGTTTCTTTTTATTATCATCTGTTATTGTTAAAACAATAAAGTGTGCAGCTTCACTTAGACTTATTTGGATGAGCAATTTAATTACAAATACTCTCATAATGAGCTCATATTCACTATACAAGGTCACACCAAATCTCCCGGATTGTATAACCCGAATGTTGGTAGAAAACTCTGGAGATGAAACTGCAGTTCCATGAGCGTCCACTAGAGGCTGTCCCCAAAACTGAATCATCCCCATAGAGCTCAGTTTTAAAACATCCAACTTTACAGCCGAAATAAACAAGTTTACAGCCTGGTACAAAAAATCTGTTTGGGTCATTTTATCTGCAGAAATCCTGGTGTGGGAATTTGATGTTTGCTGAGTCGTCACTCCTCTTTCCAGTTTCCTGTGTGTCAAACTCAAACCAGCAGAGCTTATGTTGATTTTTTTTGTTTAGTGTATTTTGATCTGATCAAAGGTGATGAAATGAAGGTTAATTTTCACGCTTATGGACAAACTCTCAGTGTCGTTTCCTCCTCCTCCTCTGCTCATCAGTTCCTCCTCCTTTTTCCTCTTACTGTAATCCCCTCGCTCATCACCTCGTCTCATTTCCTCTGTGGCGGAGGGAGGCGTCCTGCTCTCTCTGTTCATGTTTAGGTTGATGATTTTTAGCTAAAAGTCCTGACGTTTCCTGCAGAGCGCTCCATCTGTCTCCCTCCTAATGAAAGGAGGAGTGAGGAGTGAAAGTTAGTCAGGGTGAATAAAGGTTAAAGCTCTTCTTCCTCTCAGGTGGGCCTTCACCCTCATCATCATCTCCTCCTACACGGCCAACTTGGCGGCTTTTCTCACCGTGCAGAGGATGGAGGTCCCCATCGAGTCTCCGGACGACCTGGCTGATCAGACCAACATCCAGTACGGGACCATCCACGGAGGGTCCACCATGACCTTCTTCATGGTGAGACACGTGTGACCCAGATTTCGCCTTATTCAGCAGGTTTATGTCGTTTTACAGTCAGACTGACCGTGTCTGTCTCCACCAGAACTCCCGGTACCAGACGTACCAGCGGATGTGGAACTACATGTACTCCAAGCAGCCCAGCGTGTTCGTGAAGAGCACAGAGGAGGGCATCGCTCGCGTCATCAACTCCAAGTACGCCTTCCTGATGGAGAGCACCATGAACGAGTATTACCGCAGCCTCAACTGCAACCTGACGCAGATCGGAGGGCTGCTGGACACCAAAGGATACGGGATCGGCATGCCTCTGGGTAAGTCCAGATTAGACTAACCCCCAATCTTTACCGCATCCAGAACGGCAGCGATTTTCGCCGTCTGACAGTTCCTACTGGATCTGTTTGTGAGGCGAATTTCGTGGCGGATTACGGACAGCAGGAATCACAAGAACTCACAAGAACCTGCAAATTCACGTCCAATCACGCGATAACAAGTTGTCTCTATAAAGACAGACACATAGACATATAAGCAGTAGATTGTGTCCTTCCAGAGGAGGAAATCTACTTCTAGACTTCTAGAATCAGCATCTCCTCATCCATGGTGTCATCGGGGTGAAATGACGTCTAAAAACTTTTCACTTGTTCGTCTCCACCCGTTTGCATGGTGTGAAATACGATCCTCCTGAAACACAGAGTGTTTTATTTTGAAAAGAAGCCGGATGTTAAAGTCGATTTCAAAGATGCAAAAATGAACCACATGAAGACAGAATCAAGCTGGCCGCCTCTCGTGGGATTTTATTTTAGTTACAGCATCAAACACGACTCATGACGATCAGACTGACAGTAGAAGACCAAACATCCCCAGAATCCCCAGAACTGTTCCTTCTTATACGACCCCAATGGCGTCATTAGTCGTATTTCCCATAAGCAGCCTTCACATTGGTGTAGTGACTTCTTCTACTACATGTTTTCCTTGCTTGCCGGCTCTGCCAAATTTCCTCTCGAGACCATAAACCATTATTAACCATCATTCATGTGTGAAAGAGTTCACCATGACCTGACCTCTCTGGCTGTTTCCTGTTTTGCAACAACTTTGTTCAAAACATGTCTATTATTCGCTCCCACAGTGTTTTATTTTGTGTCTGTGCCCGACTTCCTTTCCAGCACGAGTTAATCTGTGCTGAATTAATCCGGCATGCTCCGGCGTCCAGAAAAAATAGAACTCTTACGATCTGCAGCGGAACGGAAAGAAGCCGGTGGAAATTGACACGTTAACTTGAATGGTTACGATCAGCTACGATCGGAGGATACGGCCTTTTAGCAGCTGTTCCAGATACGGTGGAAATTAGGGGTTAGACAACTGTGTGATCTGGAAGTCTGGTCCTTAAAGGTACCATTTTTTTGTACCTTTTAGTCATTCAAACAAAAAAATTCAATCAAACCAAATCACCTAAAAAAAGGTTTTATGTGAAGGAATGCATCGGCCAATGAGAGTCAAACAGTCCAAGCTCCAGAGCCAATCAGGTCCCAGATCTGAAAATAGTGTGTATCTTCTTCTGTGTTTATGTGCAGTCTAACTGTGTGTATTTCCTGGCAGTGCTACATGGCGGCGGTGTCTCGGTGCCGCTCGGTTCTGCTCAGTTCTGTTTCAGCTGTTATCCAGGTCAGAGTTTTTTCTGCAGCTGCTCCTCTTGGAAAATTAAATCCATCCTGGGTCCAATTTGGCGTCTGCCTGCTCCCGCCGGTGTCTGGCCTGGCCTCGCCGTCCGCCTCAGACTTGTTTCTGGTGATAAGTGTGGGTGCATAGATTAGCATGGTTAATGTCGGAGGAGGAACAGATGTGGGGGAGGAGAGGAGAGGGAGCGGAGGGACGACGGAGACTGAAAATAAGATGAGTTTTGGGAGAATCGGCCTGTCAGTCAACCTGCCCGTTTAGTGATTGTAATAAATCTGCAGAGTCACCCCGGCGCCCCTGGTCCTCATCGTCTCTTATGCTAACTGATCTGACTGACAGACAGCGATTAGCATCAGCCGGAGAATAAAGACCCACAGCTGCTTTACAGGCAGTCGCTCTCTTTCTGCTCTGGGAGATGAGTTTTTTTTCCTGCAGCTGACAGTGAACAACTTTTATAAACATCTTAAATCTAGTATCAGGGTTTGTTTGAATACTCTCTCTGGTCTTTTTTCATGTAAACTAAAAAGAAAATAGTTTTGGTAGAAGAATAAATGATGACAAAGTGTCCTCTGGATCAGAGCTGTACTCAACCAACCAAACTCTTGGTCGACTAAAACCCTGAAATTGTCGACCAGAAGTCGACTAAGGCTACGTTCACACTGCAGGTCAATTCTGATCTTTTAACCATATGTGACACATATGGGATTTTGTCATGCAAGTGTGAACAGGTCAATTCTGATTGGTTCTAATCCGACCCAGGCCTCTTTTGTATGTGGATATAAATCGGATATGTATCGGATGTGACTGCAGTGTGGACGCTCAGGTCGCGTTCATCCGACCTATACATCATCAATATTCGACAAACGTCACCATCGTTCGACAACACAAACAGGCGCGGAAAGCAGTTTGTGCTTTGTGGGTCACTTCACAGATGCCACATTCGTTGTTGTAATGTGAAAAGATCGGATTTAACAAAAAATCTGAATTGTGCATCAGAACCTGCAGTGTGAACGTAGCCTAATCCTTCTGCGGTGACGACGCGGCTCGGCAGGGTGAAAATATACTGATATCCACACAAGAAGGCAATTAAACATGATGAAAGTTGAAACGCTCAAAATAGAATATAAATATTCATCAAACCACCGGATGTTGATTATCGTAAACGCTCTTAAATCGTCCTGTCTCCAGCCGGTCTCCAGTGGGTTGGGCAAATCCAAAATGGTGAAAACAAGGGGGGTGTTCTGAGACAGGCTGTTACCTGTGAAATGGGGGTATGCTGAAAACACCGCCATTAGCATTTGGTACGCTCCTCCTGATGAAATTAACCATAGTCTGTAAATTGTCATGAGTCGACCAATCAGAATTTTGGTCGCATGTTTCAACCAATAAGTCGACGAGGATTTTACAGCCCAACTGTGGATATCCTGACAGTATGAAAAAAACATCTGTAGAAGAACTTTAGGGATAAACTTATATTTAAGAAGCGCCCTGGACATCTTTTCAGGATGTAAAGTGTAAAAAAAAATGGTCTCTGGCACCTCTAGTGGATGAAATGTGAAAATTGACCTCTGGATATTAGTTGATGAAAAGTAAAAGGTTCCTCTGTAGTTCCTCTACATGTGGATAAAATGTAAAAAGTACCATCTGAATATCCTTCTGGTTTATTAAAAGTAAAAGAAGATCTTTCAAGTGTACAGACTGTTAAAAAACAAAAAGTTCCCTTTATGGAAAATAGAAAAACAGTCCTCGGTCTAAAAAAACAGCTTCTGGATTCACTTCCAGCTTATTTTCAAAGCTGGAAGTGAAAAATGAGGAAATTACCCGACTTCTTGGAAACTCTCCAGAGAAAATGTTTGACTTCCAAGAGGAAAAGTTCCCAAAAAAAGTGCTTCTACCATCTTTAAAGAGGCAAAAAGACAAGAAAGTCAGGAGGTGAAGGATGAATCACTCTGTGTCAGTAAAATATGGAGGATCTGAGCGGTTAAAGTGTCATCACTTTGTCGCAGACTTATCTCCCTGCTGTCCGTCACTCTGTGAAAGTCATCGTCACTTTTTAATGGAATAAGAAAGAAGATGAATGGAGCGGAGGACGAGGACACAGTCAGGGTGAAAGCTTCATAATTTACAGCTGCAGTGGACAAAATATTAATGACAGGTACCATAAAATATAACGGAGAGAGTAAAATTACTTTAACAGTTCTCAAATGTGGATGTAAACAGCACAGAGGGCCGACAGGTAAATACGGCCACATCATAAACCCAGTACCTCTCCTATCAGAGACGTAATATTTACATTAATGGGATTAAAAGTCGAAGCTAGTTTGATTAAAAAAAACACCATGATCCACTTGCTGGATGAGTGAAAAACTGCCTTGTTGCTCCACAGCGTCCAGGTGTATTTATTCCTAAACACGGCGCTTCACAGAGCTCAGGTGGAAAGAGAGAATCTCCACATCAGCGTGTTTGATTTGTCCCAAAGACGCAGCTGCTGCTTCCTCCTTTTCTTTACTCTAAATATTTCTCCTCCGTTTATCTGCACGTCTGTGTGTGTGTGTGTGTGTGTGTGTGTGTGTGTGTGTGTGTGTGTGTGTGTGTGTGTGTGTGTGTGTGTGTGTGTGTGTGTGTGTTCATAGCTCCACGTGTTTAACAGCGCAGAGGTGAACTGTGGGGTTCACTTTGCTTTATCCTCCCACTGAAACTCTGAATAAACCGGAGCTGAATGCCTGGACGCTCTTTCTTTAACTTGTACCGTGTCAGAAATATCAATGAATAGACGTACAAACTCTCCACCTGCAGAGGAATCTTCTTTGACTAAAATGTTGCTTCACGGCTTTTTGGATGAATAAGTTTCTCTAAAACCTGCAAATATCCTTCAGCAGTGAACACCGTGAGTGTTCAGGTGTCCTTTCTCCTGGGTGGTTCCTCCTTTCTTCGGTGTGGAGGGAAAACAGCGTCTATGATTTCAAAAAAGAAAGTCAAATTTTGACACATGCATTGACTTCCACTACAGAGTCATGTTATTTTCAGAGCAGGTGTTTCTCTGTTTAGAAAGTTGAGAGAAGAGTCAAAAACAAACGCATTATCAGCTGTCTGCACGTCTTCCAGAGTCAAACGCCAACTTTAGACGGTTTGTCAGACTGAATCTATTTTTGTCGGGTATTAAAGGTGGGGTAGTCAGGATCTGAGTTAGTTCCAGTTTTTGGGGGAAATCTTGAATATAAACTCTACCCCTCCCAACCGGTTTTCCCCTCAGCTCCTCCTCTCCCCTCAAGCCCCGCCCACAAACAGACGCTCCTGCTCGCTCGTATCATTCCAATTAAATTCAGATATGATGCAGATAAATACTTTTTTCTTGCTTGTGTTTTCCATACTTTCGAGTTGGTTTCTACTGTCCGGTATTGTAGCACGCTAACTTTGTTTGGACTCATGAACGTTGTTGAACGTTGGAGGATGTGGAGCGTGCCTCACAACACGAGGAAGCAGCGTCTGCCTCACAACCAGTCAGGTTAGAAGAGGTGGAGAACGACTTTGTTTACAGTCAGAAAGAGCGGACCGCTCAAAAATGTTCAAATGTTGACGACACAGACGTAAGATAACACAGAGATATCGTTATATTACCAAATGTCATTAATAACTAATAACTATTGACTGATATTTAAAGTTTTTTTGTTTATACACCACAAAAAAAGATGCTTCTTTAACAGATTCCTGCCTACTTCACCTCTAACCTTCATCCGGAGACAGTTAGTAACTCGGTTCTTATTTCTCCTCCGTCCAGGTTCTCCGTTTAGAGACGAGATCACTCTGGGGATCTTGCAGCTGCAGGAGAACAACAGGCTGGAGATCCTGAAGAGACGCTGGTGGGAGGGGGGGCAGTGTCCGAAGGAGGAGGACCACCGAGCCAAAGGTGGGTGTCCTAGATCAACAGAGACCCCCTATTAGAGTACAGTGTTTTTCCGGACTGTGATTTAACTTGTCTATCTTCACACATGAGGCGCACCGGATTGTAAGGCGCATTAAGCACTGATTGGTTTCTCTTTGCTTGTGCGTTGTAAATGACCCACATTATGTGCTGGTATGGTCTGTCTTATTTTGAAGGTATTTTACGTCCTGTAAGTAATATAACAGAGACTGATGCTCTTATTTTGAAAGGGAATTTCAACAAAGGTTAGTAGTCAACAAACAGTAAAACGATACGTAAAGTCAGGATTCACGATCGCCAATAACGATCTCTTCAAGTTGTTTAAGGTTCCTGGTTGATAGAGGTGTAAGGTTCATACATGCTCCTTTTCTTACACAAATTAATATGAAGTAACTTTATAACGTTTTTTTTTCGTTTATTTTATTCATTATAAACGTCTATTGCTGCATGAAATGATGCCTAATAATGTCTTAGATGATATTTGGTTTATAAGACAGGTGAATTAATGTGTTAGTTTAAGTTGATCCGAACTACAGGGGTTGGACGATGAAACTGAAACGCCTGGTTTTAGACCACAATACTTCATTAGTATGGTGTAGAACCTCCTTTTGCAGCTGATACAGCATCAGTTCGTCTTGGGAATGACAGATACAAGTCCTGCACAGTGGCCAGAGGGATTTTGAGCCATTCTTCTGGCAGAATAGTGTCCAGGTCATGTTGGTAAACTGTGCAGAGGTGATGTGCTAACTTATACGAGGGTCTACAACGGTCAATCCAGTGTTGATGTTGATGGCGCTCAAGAAGAAGTCAGCAGGATTGTGACATGAGATTATAATCCACTAACAGATGCTGCAGTAACACAAATATCATCAGGGCTCCAGTGCAGACAATGTAAAGGATTTTTGAATCATTTCATCTTATTTTTTCATTTCTGACTCGTTTCAAGCTGAAAAGCTCCAGCCTGACAGACCTGCAATCATTTCATCATCTCAGACGTCATGTTTCTCTGCCTCTGTCTGTCTTTCATCGGCGCCGACATCGATCAGCTGGACTGAATCTTTGCCTCAATGTTTCCAGTATTGACCCGTGTTTGTTTTTCCTCCCTGTGTGCAACAAGACGAGGCGCGAGGAAGTGTGTGTGTGTGTGTGTGTGTGTGTGTGTGTGTGTGTTCATCATCGACTGTCTCGCTCAGATCATGTTTTTAGGAGTCGGTCATTATGGGAATGTGAGTCCTGTCTGAGCATCGATCAGCTGCTCTCTGTCAAGCTCTCTACAGCTTTTTCTCATTCCCAGAGCTCGGGGGAAATAAGGTCACACAGTATGGTTATCAGTGTGTGTGTGTGTGTGTGTGTTTGTGTGAGGGAGTTTGTTTAAGGGTGTGTGTGCAGCCTGAGAAAATCAAGCCATTAAGATCCCGTTAAGACCCATTAAGGCTAATCAAGTGTCTCTTTGTTGCTGATTGTATAGTGTAGCTACTCTGTGTACTTTGTGTACTGTGTGTGTGTGTGTGTGTGTGTGTGTGTGTGTGTGTGTGTGTGTGTGTGTGTGTGTGTGTGTGTGTGTGTGTGTGTGTGTTGTTTGCAAAGACAGAAAAACGCTCCCATAAGGAGGCGTTTTAGTCCTTTCCTGTAGAAGCTGCAGAGGAGGTTATGAGCTCACATATCACCATCTAGTTTTTCTCGTCTTATACAAACAGAGAAGTCGTGTTTCTTTAACCTCGTGAATATTTTGAATGAGTGTGTATGTGGTTTCCAGCCTCTAGTGGACGCTAAGGGAACTGCAGTCAGTCTCACTTCTGCCTGAGTTGGTTTGTGAAGGTAAACTAGATCCTCCATCAAACCTCTCTTCTTCTTTGTGTCGTTTCCGTCTCGCTCTTCAGGTCTCGGGATGGAAAACATTGGAGGGATTTTCGTGGTCCTGATCTGCGGTCTCATCATCGCCGTCTTCGTGGCCATCATGGAGTTTGTGTGGTCGACACGCCGCACCGCAGAGACGGACGAGGTAAACCCACATCATCATCCTCCACCTACTCCTCTTCCTCTCTCGTCCTCCTCCTCCTGCCCCGCCCCCGGCCTCAGCCTCAGCTCAAACTCCTCAGTAGGTCATCCGCCTGTGTGTGCGTCTGTGTGTGTCAGTGTGTGTGTGTGTGTGTGCGCACTGACAGATGATGATCAGAATGTGCTTAATACAAAAATTCATCCTTAACCCAACTTTACGACTCCATTATTTAACTCTATTGAACTATTTAAATGTGATTTTTTTATTATTTTTTTTAATGGTTTCAGGTATTTGTACTTAACCAAAGTGTTTCTCTATGTCTGAATTCTACATGCAACGCTGAACCGTTTAGTGCAGCATCTAGTTTCCATCTGCTATATTCCTCTCTGTTTGTCTATGCGCCTCCAAGTTCACTAACTGGGAGGAGTCTGAACTAAATATCCAATCAGAGCTGCAGGCAGACTCACTGCAGTCCCAGCCAATGAATAGAGCCATTATGGTGGGTACTGCCCCCTACTGGTAACAAGATAGTAGAACAATATATCAGAGCGAGACCTCAGGCCAGTCTATTAGGGACTACAGCAGGGTGCCGCAGCTCAAGGAACATTTATGATCTTGTATGAATGTTCTTCCTTGAGCTGCAGCACCCCGCTGTAGTCCGTAATGGACTGGTCTGAGGTCTCACTACAAACAAGCGGCTGCTGGAAGAGAGTAGGTGAGTTGTGTTTAGTCTCTTTGTTAAAGAAATGAGTCAAAGTTAAAAAGATGTTTGGTGTCTAGTACTATGTCTGTGACCCTATATGTCCTGTTGATGAAGTTAGGTGCTGTTCTGAGCATTATTTGTGGCTATAGAGTGGCGTTTTGGTTGAGCGCGTGTCTCTCTGTATTACTATCCTGCGGTCGTTACTAAAGTTGGTATAACTAGAGAAGCAAGCGGTCGGCAACATTAATCTCTGGAGGGGGGTCTAACTCGGTGTTACGGTGGGTTTGACCCTAAATTTTATGCTGGAATATCCCTTTAAAGCAACAAGCAGCAATTTTTCAAAGTTGTTGGTGTGTTTCTGTTGTTGTGAGTCTGTTCGTCAACCTCCCTTTCTCTCTCTCTCTCTCTCTCTCTCTCTCTCTCTCTCTCTCTCTCTCTCTCTCTCTCTCTCAGGTGTCCGTTTGTCAGGAGATGCTCACCGAGTTCAGGAACGCCGTCTCCTGTAAGAAAAGCTCCCGTTCTCGCCGGCGCCGCCCTCTGAGCAGCGCTGGAGGCGGAGTCCTGCGTCACCCGTCCCGCCTTGCCTTGGCTGCCCCTCGCCCGATCCGCCTGGTCCGCGACATGCGCCTCAGTAACGGTAAACTGTACAGCGGGGCGGGCCCTCTGACAGGGAGGCCACCGGGGCTTGGTCTAGGAGGAGGCCCTGATCTGGGCCCAGGGCCCCAGAGGCTCATGGAGGACCCGCTCGGCGCTAACGCCACCAATAATCCTGCATCAGCCCTGGTGGCTCCGCCCGCCCCGCCACGCAGCTTCCTGCAGGCCTGCAGTCACGTGAGGATCTGTCAGGAGTGCCGACGGATCCAGAGCCTCCGACCTGCCACCCTGACTCCTCCCCCTCCCCCTCCACCCTCCTCCTCCTCCTCCGCCTCTTCCTGCTCCCGGATCCCCCCATCTGTGCCGACGCCAGGTCACCAACGCCAGAACCCCCACCACCACCTCCACTACCACCACGGCTCCATGTCCCTGCCCCGCCTCCCCCCTCCGCCTCCTCCAATCCCAGCAGACAGAGCCGACAGTGACGGAGGCGGAGGGGTGGGGAGTCCACGGCGAGCCAACACCAAACCGCCGCCACCGCCTCGGCCGCTCCCCCCTCCAAAGACGCCAACACGCCCACCGACAGACTTAATGGGGGGGCACGACTGAGCAGAGGGACGCTGTTAGAGCACTCAGAGGGGTCAAAGGTCGTAGCTTTAAGCCTTTGATTGAATTCTTGGCCCTGAAGATGAACTGGATTGGTCAAAACTGGCCTTGGTGGGGGAGGGGGGGGGCGGGGCAGGGGACCATGTGACCTGAGCTGAGGTCATCCATCAAAACAGAGCGCCGCCTCTCCGTGGAACAGCAGCGAGGACTCTTTAAAGGGGCGGACCGCTCTGATTCTGACGCTACATTTTGGAAATAAGCTGACGAACAAACAGGAAGTGACTGCTAACAGACGGCATCCTGTTTGACCCGCCTCCCCCTCCTGATGCGGCCAATCAGCTCGCTCCATTCCAAGCGAGGCGGAGACAGAGAGACTGACAAGACGGACTGTTTATCAGCTCTGATGTTTTACTGTTTGAATACTGAACCAGCTGTTTGTATAGAGGGCAACCTACACACACACACACACACACACACGGTAGCAGAGCAGCTGTACAGTTCTCATCTGTCAATCATTTGGATGTCGCTGGAGTCAAAGTGCAGGGTGTCATTTTTATTCAGTCAGTCAGTGGAGCTCAAACACACACCTGCACACACACACACACACACACACACACACACACACACACACACACACACACACACACACACACACAGGTAACCTTGGAGGGCAAACTGAAAAAAAAAAAAAAGTGCATTTCTGATTGTAATTTCCGTCCTGTTGGAGCGTCCGATCCGAGAATCACGAGTCCGCTTCAGTTTTTCTAGATTTTCTTTGTTTGGTTTTCAGAGTTCGACATTTCCTCGTTAATAAAATGAAAATTATACCGACCCATAAACCGACACAAGTGCTCAAAATGGTCGTTGTTGATTTACCGTCTTTTGAGAGTGAATCTGTGAATCCTGCACATCTTTGAGTTCTGGTTTCAGGGTTTAGTTCATGTCGGGAAAACTTCTCGAACCAGCAGCATCCCAGTGAAACTGTGGTTTATTAAACTGGAGAAAAGCGCAGGAATGTTGGTGTGTGTGTGTGTGTGTGTGTGTGTGTGTGTGTGTGTGTGTGTGTTGTGTTTTTCTCCTCCCTCAGATTCGTACCAGCAGAGCTCAGATTTTCAGCAGGACAAACTCGACGAACGATGAAACTCTTCTGACGATTCTCTCGGTTTCATGATTATCCATAATGATGATTGGATTGTTCATTGTTATTGATAATGATGAGTTTTCTGTTCATTATTATTGATATTGACGTGTGGGTGACTGTAGGGGAGGGTCCGCCCTCTGATGTTCAATATATAGACACACGTTTGGAATAAAAAAATACATCAATGTCACAAAAAAATGAGGCTGTGGGTGAAGTTTTTATTCCTGAGCCGCGCTGATCTTTGACCTTTTCTCTTTCACAGACCCTGGTTGGAGAGAACCAACTGAGCATGCTCCAAGTGTTGTTGTCGACTTTACTGTGTGAGCTAATAGGCTCCATTAATGCTGAATGATATCTACAGGTTTAAGAGGAACATCTGCTTCCATCCAGCTCTGCTCATCTGTTCTTTGTTTTAAGGTTTTACTCTTTCTATTTTCTGCTCTGTCTGGTTTTATCACTGGTCACATGGTCCGAAATTCTGGTTAATTGTCCATTAAAACTTCAGACAGACAGAGATGTTTGATGAATGAGAAGGAGCTGCTGTAACACCACATATCGGACAGCAGAGGGCGCTCCAGGACAGAGAAAAATGAGCTACAGTGGAGGGGAAACTCTGGATCAGGATGAAAAACAGGTCAGTAATGAAATCAGAAAAACTGATGGAAGTTTTGGGGGTAAGAAAAGATTTTTACAATCAAAATAAACTTATATTTTTGGGGGAAAATAACACAAACACCTTGATTTGTCTTCACCTTCTTCTTGAGGACAAATTTAAAGCAGCAAAATCCTCTTTAGAGTCTCAGTTTAATTTATGTCTTTGACTAAAAAGTCATAACCTGAGTGAATAAATGTGGAGCTGCTTCCTGCTGAGTTTATTTCCCAATAAAACAGGAATATTCATCAGATCTTATGAGTGAAAGTTAACGGCTGGTGGAGGAGATATTTGTAGTTTTATAACTTATTAAAACTTTAATTTCTACATGAGTTACTGCAGTTTTCAGTTCATTTAAACCTGACCTTTAACACTGAATAAAGTTCACCATAGATGGATGAGACGTCCATGAATCTGCAAAAGGGGGAAGTGAAACTCATTTGTCCGTCTGGTGAGTTGGTCGGCGTTTTTTAGTCATTTTTCCTCAAAAGTATGAGAAATCCAAAATTTCAATCAAAGTCCAGGAACTTTGTCATGAAGTGACGTCTTCGGGAGGAACAGACCGTAACTGTCAGAAAGTGCTCAGGGGTGAGTAATCTCTGATAAACACTTATGGGTCATTTATCGTTTAAACCTTTTAATTTAACTGTTTTTTAATCTCTATCTGTGGAGCCTCAGAGCGGAAATCACAAAGTGAAGGACGAGCGACGCCTCCTGACCCCCAAACACAGACGAAACCAAAACCAAACTGGGTCACTCTGATTTTATCCTTGGGAAAGTTTCATAAAGTTGTTTTAATTCATGTAAACTTATCGAAGCCTGGCTGTTATCGCTGTTAAAACATGATGTCCTCCAAACAGAGAGCGTCACAGATTTTCAACAATACAGCAGATGAAAAGTAAAGAAGCGACACGGTTGATAAAAGAGGCTGGCGAAGATTTTTGAGCTTTTTTATCGGAGGTCGAGTTACAAAATTGTGATAGAGACGTGTTTTAATCAACGATATTATCATGTAAGGGTGTCAAGGCTCTGCAGCATCACAGAGATTAAGGTATCAATGAAGACATGATAAGGACAGAAGCTGCCTGTGAAGATCATTTATATAAACTTGAGTTTGTTTAGAGTCACTGAGTGTCTTTAGAATCAGACGTCATCCTAAAACCCCTGAAATAAAGTCACATCTGCTGCAGCAAAATATGTGTTTTTACCGCCTGTGACAGAAACCGAAGAAGAAATTTAAGATTCAGTTTGAAAAATATGAAGATTTATAAAAAGTAAACTATATATTATCCTAAAAATAATGTTTTCATGGAGATCTTTGCAGGAGAAGCTGAGAGTTCAAGAGCTTGGACCTTGCAGTCAGATGACGGAGGGAGGAATTCTCCTGTGGTCTATATGGAGCTGGTTTATTTAGACGGCGGGTAGAAATGCTAATTTTCTACAAACGCTGGGGTCAGACCCTGCATGGATTTATACAAAAACACACAAACGTTGGTCCAAATGGAAATAGTGTCGTGGTTCAGTTCAGGAAATATGGATTAAAGTAGATTCAGCACACGGACCTCGCTCTGTTTCGAGATTCGTTTTCAAACCCCTGAAAAAATGTAATGTGACGACATGAGTGAGTTAGAGAAATGTGTTTAAACATATTTAGCTTCATCAGTTAGGCGACACTTCTAGTGTCGCACAGCTTCGCCAGATATAAAAAAGTAATTAACTCGTAAACAGAGTTTGAGTTTATTAGTTCAAACCACAGACAGCCTGAGAACAGGAGTCCAGGTCACCGACAGACAATTCAGTCGATGAGACTTTCTGTTCTGCTTTTTTATTTTTAGCTCTTGTTTAAATGAACTCCTGTGAATTTATGAATCATCTCCTTGTTGGTCTGCGTACAGTGATGTAAAAAAGAAAACAGCTGTTTGTGTTTTCTTAGAAAAAACTGCTCAGAGCAAAAAAAAAAAATCTGTGATGATGAAACGAAGATTGACGGGAACAGAGAGGGAGGATTACCATGAGTGTGTGAGTGTCATAACATCCTGTCAGAGACTGTTTCACTCAGTCTGATGTTTCTGACTCTTTGACTCCTTTTCTGTAACTGTGTTAATTACAAATATATTATTGATTGATCGATTGATTGATTGAAGTGTTCTCTGCATCATTAAAGGGACTGTCAGGTTTGTTGTGTTTTTCCACGTTGAAGACTGTATTTCTTGTTTCTCCAGGCTTGAAATCGATGAACTTCCTGAGGAGTGAACTCTCTTGGAGTTTGGACGACCTGAGAACCATGAGAATGAATGTCGAGTATATTTCTCATTATCAAAGTGTTTGCTCTCTCTTGGCTGCGTTGGACTGGTTTCACATTAGAGTCCGATTTTCCACCTCCAGTGACGGCCTGTCAGATGACACTGATTTAATTAACCACACCTTCAAAAATCTGATTTTCTCATCCTGTTTTCTCATTTCTACTTTCTCACAGGTTAATGAGAATCATATTAAGTTGATTTTGATGCTGAATTCACGCCGTTTTAAAACTTCCCTGCCCTTAGATCAAAGAAATGCACCATCATGAGTCTCCACCCCTGATACAGAAACTGACATTTGAATCAGAAAATGACTCATCGCTTAAATATTTCCAGTTGTTAGACCGACCCGAGCGCCGCAGTCCTTCCCTTCCTGATCTCCTCGGTGACATGACACTGAAAGTGAATAATGCAGATATCTTACTTCTATAGCTCTGGTTGTTTTTAGCTTCATTTCATCCTCCTCACAGATTAAAATTCTCTCCTGAGATTTTTTATTCTCTGTTCGTCCTTAAAGTCATCAAAAATCTCACATGTCCAGCTGTAGAGAGTAAATAGAGTCTGGTAAAAACATGCTCACTTCTACAGAAATGATCATTGTGAGTCTGTAATCATGTCCTCTATCTTCTGTCAGGTGTGCATTTAAAAAATTTGTCATAAGTCAAAACAAGACCTTTGTCCTAAATGAGCTTCCATACCTGCGAAACAAGAGACTCTGTGTTTAAACTCTGAGTTATCATCCTGCCATCCCACCCAGCAAGGCTGTCATTACTCCACTCTGTAATCACACACACACACACACACACACACACACACACCTGCTGGTACAGGCCCACACACTGCTGTAAAAAGGATCTCAGTCATTAGTTTACGCTCTAAATCCTGAAGTTTGACATTATTTTACAGAAAACACTCTGTCTGAGTTGATTAACAGCGTCACCACAGGGGGGCGCTCAAACTCTGGAACATCCTGTTCTATATAACCTCTAATAATGCGAGCAGTCCCGCCTTCTGTTTATTCTGCTGTCGATGAGGAAAGTCACTCAAAAAGTCTCGTCTTTATTAAAGTCTGAGGATGTCCATCAGTAAAGTTTTAACAGGAAGGACACACATGTTTAAAATCCTTTATTTTTACTCATCTGTTCAAAAAGCTGCAGAGAAATTTCACTCAAACTAAAACTCTGTCTTTTCTTCTTCTTCTTCTTCTGCAGGAACCTGAAATGGAGGCGGCGTCTGAGGGGGAGTGTTGTTCCGGTTACGTTTCCCCTCCCTCTACACACATTCCTGAGTAAATGCTGCAGGCGTGTTCAGACCTGTGGGGCTCTACTTGATCCAGCACACACACAAACACACACACACTGTAAGAAAAGAGGTGTGTGTGTGTGTGTGTGTGTGTGTGTGTGTGTGTGTGTGTGTGTGTGTGTGTGTGTGTGTGTGTGTGTGTGTGTGTGTGTGTGTGTGCAGAGGAGGCTCTGACAGCTTTATTGTGGAGATCTGTTGAACTGAAGTGACTTTAGAGAGTCCAGGTGAGCTCCACAGTGTCGATACTCAGAGTCCACTCACCTGTGGGACTCACCTGAGTCTGGACTCAAACACACTGAGTGGATGTGTGCCGCAGGTTTCTCTCCTTTCAGTGAGCACACAAACTACAGGGAGATGACTGACAGCTCAATGCTCTGCTCGCCAATATGATCCCGCCTCCTGCTCCTGATTGGACGAACGCAGCTCTCTCTGGGCTGTCATTGGTCCTTGAACTTGAAGGTATAGGGACTCTATGGTGCAGCACACATCAATAAGAAATTAATTTGTGATCGATTAGTGTGCTGTAATTAATCATCTCTGGAGGACCTCGTCATAAAGGATATATTCTCTTTAAAGCTATAGTATGCGACTTTTCTAGATAGTTTCCTCCCAGAGTAAATTTATGTCACTTGTTTAATTAATCCGACATAAACATTAATAACATTTTGTTGAATTAACAGATGTGTCGTGTGTGTGTGTGTATGTGTGTGTGTGTGTTTGTGTGTGTGTGTGTGTGTCCTCACAAAACTCCTGAAAACTTCCTCAAAGTTGCAGGATAGGCGACATGTGTGAACACAGTCATGGTTTAACTCCGACTTTACCAACACGCCTTTACTGCCTCGAGGCTAAAATCTCCTCGGAGGAGCTAAAATTCCCCCAGATGGAAAAAAGAAATCACCTTAAAGACTGAAGTTACACAACCAATCAGAGCTGAGGAGTCACAGGAAGCCTTTTCAGAACTCGGCATGTGTGTGCAGGTGCAGAGCAACTCCATTCTGTTGTGTTTGATTGAATGTTTTTATAGAGGTGACATGAGAATAAAGCCGACAGATTAGAGTTAATCCTTAGATCACATGTTATCAGGTAGATTTAACCTGTGGAAAGATCTTAAACTGAATTTAGTGCTACTCTCTGCAGGTCAAAAGGTCACGTTTCAGCATGTGAGTGTGTGTGCGAGTTCAGTCCCTTCATAGATGTAAACAGTGTGTTATCAAGACGCTAAACCTGTGTAATAAAAAAAGACAAATTAAAGGAAAAGACCGTCTGATTAACTAAACACATAAGAAGAGCTGAGTTCAAGTGGATTAAACTGCATCTCTGTGTACTGGTGCAGTCTGCATGTGTCGTCGTCGTCGTTGTGGTTTTCTTCTGCTTATCCTGGTCCGGGTCACGGGGGCAGCAGCTTCAGAAGGGAAGCCCAGACGGCCCTGACTCCGGCTACTTCCACCAGCTCCTCTGGGGGGATTCCCAGGCGCTCCAAGGCCAGGCGAGAGATATAATCCCCTTACCTGGTCCTGGGCCGGCCACGAGGTCTCCTCCCGGTGGGACATGTCTGAACCGCTGAACTCAATTTAGGCATAATTGTTTGTAAATTAATCTGATCCACGAGGCTTCCCCCAAATGTTATTCTAGGTTTTCGTTTTTTTCTAAAAATCAGAAACCTTGCCGTGCAGAAAACAGGAATTTCTGCTCTATTGTTTGTCATGCAGTCGGTTTGATTTGGTAAATTTTTTGCTTTGAGTGTCTGAGATTCTGAAATTCTGATGAGTGGCTGCAGGCTGAAGCAACTAAAGCTATTCTCAATCATTTCATGAGTCAGATTGATCACTCTTTATCCAAAAATCTGAGAAATTAAAAATCAATCAAGATTCTTAAATGAGGTTATTGCTCTAAAAAAGTGTGACTGATATTGTAGATGTATTGATTACAAAGGAAACATGAAAACTGTTTAACCGCGTGTGTGTGTGTTTGTGTGTGTGTTTCTGACCAGTATTTAACTCCTGTGTTGACGTCAACAGTCGCTGTCTTTACGAGTGTGTTTGTGTTTGTGTGCGGCTGCTCTGCTGTGTGTTTGTGTAAAAACAGAGAGGTGGTTCTCCGACATGCAAAACATTTCACGGCACAGCTGATCAAACATGAATCCGTCTTTTCTTTAAACGTGGACAGAGAGCGTTTCTGAATCATATTTGGGTTCATGTGAAGGACATGTGAGGAGAAGCTGCAGGCGTGAAGAGTCAGATCAGGATTTACGGCTAAATCGGGTTATTTCAGGTTCAACAATGTGACTCTGTGAAATAAAAACAAGTGTGTGAGCGTGGATTTAAATTGCAAATTAGTGAAGTGATAAACACAAATACTGCTCTCTAACTTCTCTGCTCTGTTTGGATCGTAGATTTGAAATGAGACCTTGTTTTCTAGATCCTCTGACACCGTCAGTGTGTGTATGAGTGTGTTATCAGTTTAACCTTCGGTGTTTTGAGGTTCTGGGTTTACTGGTGGGTTAAGCTGACCCAGAGGAGTGATGTGTACCAACCACACAGATTTATCAGCTTTGGATTTCATGTTTTCAAAGTTTGCGACCTTGAAGGAGCATTTTTAGAGACTACATCGGAGCTTTTAGAGGGTTAGGTTATTTATTAAAGGTAGGAGTTTCTAGTAGAACCAAGCAGCAACACCCACTGTTAAAGGGATATTCCGGCGTAAAATTAATCTAGACACCCCCTCCAGAGATGAATGTTGCAGATCGCTTGCTTCTCTAGTTATACCACCTTTAGTAACGACCGCAGGATAGTAATACACAGCGGTCTGAGGAGCCATAAACAAACCTCAACCAAAACGCCACTCTATAGCCACAAATAATGCTCAGAACAGCACCTAACTTCATCAACAGTACATATAGGGCGGAACGTCCCTTTAAAAGTGGGAGTTTCTGGAAGAACCAAACTGCAGTTCCTTGAGTGTCCACTAGAGGCTGACTGCAAAAGCTAGGGAAACTGTAGCAGAAACAGCTTGAAGATGTGGGTTTTTACAGCTGAAATCAAGACATTTTCCAATTTTTTGAAGATTTCAAGATTTAAAGTTAAACTTGTTTTAGGAGTGACTCTGGTTTGACTGTTAATCTTGGTGTTGTAGTGATAAAACATGTGCATGGTCTCACTGATGTCACCTATTGGTTTTTGAAGCAGAGTTTTGTTGCCTGTCCACCATACCTCTAACCGTACAAAACCTCTATCTTGATATCTTTATTAAAGTGTGTGTATGTGGCTTTTGAGGCTTTTAGAGCCAGCCCCAAGTGGTCACCTTGGGAACTGCAGTTTTGAGCACTTATTCAAACACTGGAGGTTGCAGCCGTTTGCTAAGAGGCATAATGCTGCATTTGCGTGGCAGTAAAATAAGTTTCCAAACAGCGTGATACCTGCTCAGGCTGGAAAAAAAAAATCCAGGGCAAGAATTTAGTGTCTGACTCGCTGACTTGAGGCGTAGTTGTTGTAAAGATGGTGGGAAAACACAACTTTGGTGAAGTTAAGAATTTTTGTCTTGGTTTGATTTATGACGTTTCTGCAGAACGGCTCATTCGTGAAAGTTTTAGTAAAAAAAAAGAAAATCTGTCAGTCAGTTTGAGTGAAATTAGAAGAAGTCCAGAGGGCTGAAACAGAGAAATGACATGTTGAGACGGATGGTTTTCAGTGTGTGTGTGTGTGTGTGTGTGTGTGTTCGTTCTACAGCCAAGGGGGTTTCTCCTGCCACACCCTCGTCTCCTTCATTCACACACAAAAACACACACAGGTATGCATACACAGAGTCTGCCAGCAATTATCTCAAGCAAACAGAAGCTTCTGTCTCTGATTGGACGATTTGAAAATCCACACTCACTCTGATTGGTCCTTTTCTTTGTTTTGAACTCTCCATCTGAAGCCTCAGTGTAAAATTAATACAAAAATAAAACACAAACAAGCACAAAATTAGGAAAATATTTCCCCAGTTTTTATGACTTCAAGCTGTTAATTTGAACATAAAGGGGACATTTATTTCACGTTTGGGAATTTTACAGGATTTATGTGGAGCGGAGACATTTTTCTGTAAACCAACACAAGAAAAAAAAAACACATTTTCAACAAATAACTCATGAAAAGACATAATAAACCCCCCATATTTCCAAAATAAAGTCACAAAAACATGTTTACAGTGTCTCTGTTATTTACATCGAGGGCAGTTTGCGTCAGCGTCCAACATAAAAATGTGTCTGTTTAGGACAAATGAAGCTCATATCTACATTTTAGGTTGTTTTATTACATTCTGCACTGTCTTATCCTAAACGAGAGACATCATTATTTTGGACATTGTTCTTTAATTCTTTTAAATCGAGCCTCTTCAGAGTGAAAACTCACTGCAAAAATCACAAAATAAAGTAAATGAGGTTTTTTAGTGTGTGATCTACAGACCAGCTATGATCTTCAGCTCCAGTTATTTAAGATTTCTAAACAAAATAAATACTTTTCTCACTGGAGATCAGTGCATGATGAAGTCTGAGATCACACCAAACCACACGAACAAAAAGACATTAAACTGGACCAGCTCTAAGGCAGGAAATCCTCACAGGTTTGACCACAAAATACCAGAAAAACGGTGAATAATGCATGAACAGAATTTTTTTTTCTCTGTTATTTTTTTAGTGAACGCTTTTGTTTAATTAACCTGTCATTTCATTTAATCACCTCCAATCAAACACGGTCAAACTGGTTTGAAAAATAAGTCAGTAGCACCGCCCTGAAGCTAACCGAAGTTTCCCTCCAAAATTCAAAGAATGCTAACCGCTAACAAACACCTTCCCGCCCTTTTTTTCTCTCTTTCATTTTCTCCTCCTTTGACTCACTGACTCGTCCCTGCGTGTTGAATCCTGTCCTCAAACATTCACCTCCTCCTCTTCCTCCTCCTCCTCCTCTTTCTCCTCTCTGATTGTTACAGGATGATCCAAACAAACACCAGAGGAGGATCCTGGAGGAGGAGGAGGGTGAAGGTGAGGAAGCAGACGGAGAAAATCCAGAATCACAGCATCGGTAAAAAAAATCCACTAAAGATCTACGCGAAGGCAAAAGTGTTAAAAAACCGTCAGTGCATTCTGCAGGGGGCGTGGCTGAGTTTGATTGACAGCTGCTAAATAAAGGCGTGCTGTAGCCTACATATCATGTGCAGACACCGTGTTGTTAGCGGTGTTGAAGAGTCATGACCACAACCACGACTGACCCGACCACATTGACATCAGCAGGTTAGCTCACGCGCTGCAGCTGGACATTAGCTAACTAGCGTGCAAAGTGACGTTAGCCGCGCTCTGAGGAGACTTTTGGAGTTTAGAGACGAAAACTTCTCTACTTTGAATTAATCACAGGATCATAGAAAACAGAGAAACAGCAGAATTCATAATTAAGTTTGTGAACTTTTAGTCAGCTAAACAGTTTAATAACATCAGAACCTTCGCCATTCAGCACCAAAATTACGAGTTAAGGTCCTTACACACCGGGCCGACGCGAATATAGAACCCAAAATTACGAAATATTCTGAGGTGAATTTTGACGCGCCTGACTATACACATTAAGCCTGATGCGATTTTGCGACTTTCCAGGGGGGAAAAGATGCATCCCGGGAGGACTTTTCAGGAAAGTCCCGCCTCCTTCGCCTCTGATTGGAAACGTCGCTGATGTGAACGCTTGTATTGACAGGATACGGGTTCGGAAAAAATATTGACGTTCGAAATAATCGCACAATAAAAACAGTCCCGGTGTGAAAAGACGTTTAGCAAAAAGAATTCATCATATTCATATTATTGAGACAAGCTGGTCAAATGTTGTGTTTAAGTACCCACGAACTGGCGCTACAGTCATGATGCACGGATTACAAACAGCGTCCCAAAGCTTGTCGGTAGTTTGATTTTATATAATGAGATTTTTACAAAGCTAGGCAATAATGCAGAAAATGTAAATGTGTTTGTGGAGACGGAGAAAAGATTCGTGAAAAACTCAGTTTGACTTTACTCACAAAAAAGACCTCAAGTGTAGTCTCTTCGCCATTTAAGGAGTAATTATTAAATATTCTTATTAACCATCATTAATCAACAACTCGCCCTTTATAAGCCTGTACTCATGTCTGGAAAAGCACATTATCACTTATTAGTAACAAATATAATAATAATAATAATAAAAGTCATTGTTTGTCTTAAATGCCCTACTTTAGGAATAGTTTGATTTATTGTGTTAAGGCACTTTGTTGTTTTGGTCACGCTTAAAAAAAACAGAAATAAAACAGTGTTTGCTTATTATAATGTGTTATGCCATCAAGAGTTAAAGTGTTTTAATTGATTTTAATTAAAAAAAACAAAGAGCAGCTGGTCAGTGAAACGAGAGAAACGTTTGAAAATTTTCCCGATATCAGAAAATTTATCTGCCGTGTTTAAAGGAGCGTGAGCCGGACACGACTTCTGCGAGACAAACTGAGGTATTTTAGATCCAACTGTCCTCCTGTGACACCGTCAGGCTCAGAGAGGTGTCTGAAAACTCTGCTTTGAAACCCTCCGCTGCACCTGAAGCATCCCCTATCAGCTTAACTCCACCCGCCCGGCACAGACAGAGAGATAAATCAAACTACAAAAGCTTAGCAGACATTAGTTTAACCCAGAGCCCTGAAAGTCGACGTGTGGGGCCGGTATGAGAGCGATCAACCAGGCGTCACAGTCATCTAGTATTCCAGTGTGTGTGTGTGTGTGTGTGTGTGTGTGTGTGTGTGTGTGTGTGTGTGTGTGTGTGTGTGTGTGTGTGCGTGCCCTCCTCAGGTTTCCAGCAGGACAAAGAGAGTCACTCATCGGGGTCGTCAGTCCGTCAGCTTCAGTCCAGGAAACGTCTCAGAGTTTTTGGGTGTTTTTTCGGTTTCCTGAAGGAGGCGGTGAGCGGGACAAAAGGTGAGGATGACGTTTGTTAACGCGGGGAGGAAGAGGAGAAGAAGAGAGGGGAGGTCGTGACCCCCGCGGTGGGAAAGTTGTGGTGGGAAAAAGCCCAAAAAATAAAAATAAATCGCAGAGAGTCGGATCAGATTAAGGCAGAAATTCCAGCAAATAATCCAAAAATTATTAAGTCCGTCGTATTAGTCCAATCAAGTTTCAGCATCATCCTCCTCAGCCAGAGAGAGAAAGGGATGATGGGAAATCTTGTTTGGGGCGAAGGCTCCGAATAGATGCTCCTCCCTCCTCCTGCACAGGTGAATCATGGGAAACAAAGCGGTCTGATGTTTGGGCCCGTATCTCCTGAAACAGAAAATAAAATCTGTTATTTTCTCACATGATCACTTTGATTCCTCCGTCTCCTCACCCCGTCGTTTCAAACCTGCGTGTTCAGAAATCTCCTGATTTATTAATCAGCTGTTTGACGGTCAATTATCAATAATTCAGTCTGAAACAGGAGAGCTGCTTTTGTGGGTGAAACTCAAAAGATGTGACTGAGCGTTTACATTAAACTGGTTTATTAAATGACTGATCTTGGTTTAAAGGTTCGAGGCGCTCCCTCGCTCACCCTCCTGTCTTTAAAGGGACGGTGGCCCGAGAGGACAAAATAAGATAAGATAAAGCAAGACGAGATGTTCCTTTAATAGTCCCACAGGGGGAAATTCTAAATGGACACGCAAAGAGAAATTAATCAATAAAAAGAGACTTAACTTAGAGTTAAGTTAAAAAAAAAGGAAAAACAGTTTAACCCACAAAACCAGCAACAAGAAGCTCCTGTGATGTACGAGAAGATCCTGAATTTGTCCGTTTTTTACCTCCATAAACTTCAACATTATCTTTGTTTTCTCCTCTTCATCGTGTTTCTGTCATCGAGTGTCAGTAATCGAGGAAAAACACATTCAACCTGTTTCCTCCAAAACGCCTGAAAATCCTCTGCTGCAGGGCTCAGACACACACACACACACACACACACACTCCTGCAAACACACACACATACAGAGACTCCACTCTGGATCAGTCTTATCTCTCAGCCTCGATACACAAACACACAAATACAGATTCTTTATCGCACATAGGAAGCCATGACCCTGATTCTACACACACACAAACACACACACACACTCACACACACACACACAGACACCAGCAGCTCTTTGTTTGTTCGGCTGAGTGGAGACAACCTTGGTAGCTACTGTTTCAACACAGACAGCACAAAACGCACAAACTAACACATAAACACACACACATGAGCTCCTTTAGCGACACTGACTCCAGATAAATCCATGACTGAAAATATTTTTATGTTTTCGTTGATCATCCGTAAAAAGGTCACATGACACGAAAATTAAAGGGCTAGTCTGGGGTTTTTCTGTGGGGTTGTGAGTGAGGTTTTTCTTCTTCGTTTGACTGGACAGTTTTAGAGAGAAAGAGGCACGACATGATGAGGACTTCAGCCTCGGTACGAGAGGGTGTGCTCTACCAATCGAGCTAAAACTTCTGCTAATTGATTCAGGATCAGTAAATGTTAAAATCAATGATCTGAAGTGGATCAAACTGGATCACTGAAACCCTGAGTGGGGACTGGAACCACGCTACGTCAAACCAACATGATAAGATACTGTGGACTTACCGGCAGCGTGCAGGACGTCTTTAATACGGAGACTCGACCCTGAAAAGAGAAAACACACATCAGGTCAGGTCTTCAGAGGATAAACACGTCCGCCGCCGTGACGTCACAAAACATGAGGAGACGGGTGAATCTGAGGAAGGACGAGAACGAGGAGAACCAAGACTTTGATCAGAGTGAAGCTCTGTCTTTGTGTTTACCATCATAGTGCGATCTCACAACAAGAGAGAGGCGGAGTCAGCTGCTGCGAGCGCCAACTCTGCTGTCGAATTAACCCGATCAAACTCTGAGTTTTGTGTCTTTGATTCTGGACTTCTCTACCTCTCCAGTCTCACCTTTGTCCGCTCTAACCGTCCGTATCTCTGCTGAATGTTTGACCTGCTCATGAAACTCCGACTGCGGTCTCAGAGACGCTTTGAGGGAGTCAGGCCGAGCAAACATCAGCTGACGTCTTTCTGCGGCGTCCTGAATCTTATCAGAGAAACTCCGATACAGTTTTTACTCCCTGATAAGAACTAAAGACCGAACCTGAGAAAACCGGTCAGAAGGAGAGCAGAGAGGATGTTGTGGTGGACCAGGATCTGGATCTGACCAGGAAAACACCTCTGGCTGTTTATCGACTTTTATGACCGTTTACACAAAAACAGAAAAACAGCTGAGAGGCTCCGGCGGGTCGTCAGGGTGGAGACATGTTTGTTTGTTTCTGTCTGGAGTCGAAGTTTGGATAAAACGAACCCAAACTAACTCTGACTAAGTTTAGGAAATATCAGCTTCAAACTCAGAATAAACTCCCCAAAATTTGTTGTAATTGCCCTTTAACTACATGAATTTGGACCTTGAATGGCACTTTGGCGTGTGGCTTAAACGCCTCCCATCTTACTAAAGGAGGTCTGAGGATAAAAACAAAAACAGAAATAAACGAAATGAAGTGGAAAAAAGAAAAAGAGAAACTAAGAGAGAGAGAGAAGGACGACATGAACGTGAGCAGCGTCGGCGAACGAGTGCAGACATGACAACGACATTCCTGACATTCCCTGAAACTCCGACCTCGCCCCGTCAGGAGGAACAAACTCATGGCGAAGGAAAAGGAAAGTCAGAAACGAGAATGAGGCCGAGACTACAGATGTCAAAGGTCATCTGAAAGATTTGATGTTTTTTAATTGGTTGATCGGTGGAGCTGGTGAAGTCTGCAAAACTCAAAATAAAAACTAAGGAGTGTGACAAGAGAGAGAGAGATGTGACTCCCCAACACCTGAGATATACACACACCTGAGATAAGAGTCAAACAGGTGAGGCTGCAGGTCGCTGGTCCAACTGGACAAAGTGACGTTTGAGAGAAGAGGACTGAAGTCTCTAAAAACCCCGTTTTAAACCCAGTATGAGGTACAAAAACTGGACTTTAAGACCACAAAGACGGACCTCCTGAGTCTTTGACATCCATGGATTACCTTTGGCTTTAGAAGAGCACTGTGAGGTCAAAGGTCATGACCACAGGCAGTCTGAGGAAAACCGAGACAGGGTGTAACACCTGCATCTGTAAACATCCACCTTAGACCATAAACCCATGAGCTCATCCACGGGTCACATGACCACACCTGAACTTCACCTGCTGAACATCACCACCAAAATATTCCTGTTTCCTCACAACAAGATAATCTGAATTAGAAAAAAAACAGCAAAACGCCATAAAGAGAGGATGAGGGGGCGGGACTTCCTGTTTGTGATTGACAGCTGGGAGTGAAGGAATGCAGTTCGACTGTTTTCAAAACACCAAAACCCACAAAAACCGACTTAATCCTGGTGCGAGGCCACGTTCAATGAGAGGGGTGTGTGTGTGTGTGTGTGTGTGTGTGTGTGTGTGTGTGTGTGTGTGTGTGCTGAGCAGATAAAACTGAAACAACCAGAAAGACGTTGTCCACTCCCTCAGATTTTTCTGCTTTCTTTCTTTCTCTAACAGTTTTTCTGTAACGGCCTTAAACCTGCGCTCTTTCTCCTGCCCAGTAGGGGGCGACTCTCGAATTGCAAAAGTCTGATTGTACAGAAGCAGCGGCCTCCACAAATCTTTTATTCTGCCTTGATGGATAGGTGTGTGGGCTTTTTAAAGATCTCGACTGTTGACTGATTTTATCGTTTATCGTTTTTTATCGTCCTCCATCATGAGGTTTTTCTCAGACCCGGGTCAGCGGCTGGTTCTGGTCCGTTCACAAACTTCCCGTCTGCACCTGCAGGAGCTGCTGAATCTGTGGGTTTTATTGGAGGTTCATATACGGGCTGCTGGGAGATTATCAGAGCGACAGATCAGTGTTTGGATTTGTTAACTCAGGTGTGTGTTCCTCTCCCATGCCCCCGTACTCCAGGTGTGTGTGTGTGTGTGTGTGTGTGTGTTCAGGTGTGTGTCAGACAGTGTGTGTGTTATTGTAATCTGCAGAGAACCGGTTTGAGTTGAAACCCTTCAGGACAGGAACATTGTTGAGCAGTGAGCTCATTTTTCTCTGAATGTGGTGTTTTTAAAGCTGCAGTTGTGAGAGAGCTGCGCTGATTTACCGACAGGAGAATTAATCAGACAACGAAATCATCTCTGGATTTGACACTTTTCATTTTTAACTACTTTTTTAAAACCTTTTTCTAACTTTTTAATGACTAAAAGATAAAGTGATCCATCCTTAAAGTGTTACCAGGTATATTTGGATCTTTGTTTGCAGCCTTTGAGCTCAGATTACAGATTTGATAATCAGCCAATCCTGATATAAAAACACTGATCAGTGCTGTTTGGTAAAGTTAATATCAGTCTGTCCTGAAGTTTGACTGTGTCGATAAATCTGAAGGCGTTTAAAAAGTTTGTCCCTCGTTCCTCCCGTCTGTCAGCTGAACTCGTCCTCGCTTCTTTATCTCTGCTGTCGACACTTCGAACAGCTCTTCTTCACGCCTGTACGCCGTCTGCCCCACTGTATCTGTGAGTGAAGGTTATCGGGGAAAACATCTTCAGATCTTGTTGTAATTATCGTCTGTCCTCGCGGTCTGTCCGTCTCTTTGACGAACAGACCGACACGCCCACTCTGCAGACACTCTCTGTTTACCTTCACCTGCAGCAGCGCAGACACGAGCGCCGACGGAGAACAAAGACTTCCTGTCGACGGTGTTGACACCGTCTACAAGTGAGGATGACGAGGACGAAGACAAAATGACAGAGGACGGACGTGTCTATCAACTGAGGCCCCCGGGGGCTCCAGAGGAGATCTACGGCTGAAACCTGATGACCTCTGTGACGACATGTGACCAACAGGCCGGGTTAGAGCTCCGCCCACTGATGGAAGTGTTTGAGGAAAGGCGAGCTCCCAGCAAAGAAAGAGGCGAGTCGAGTCGGTCCATCTGAACCTTCACAGCGGGTTCGTTTCTCCTTCTTCTCCATCAGCGGTGTCACCTGTGGATCACCTGGAGCCTCATTTAAAGGTGGGGTAGTCAGGATCAGGATCTGAGGAAGTAAACTCTACCCCTCCCAACCAGTTTTCCCCTCAGCTCCTCCTCTCCCCTCAAGCCCCGCCCACAAACAGACGCTCCTGCTCGCTCGTATCGTTCCAGTTAAATTCAGATATAATGCAGATAAATACTTCAGATCATTACAAATGGGGCCCAGTCAAGGTGAAAGTCAAAAGCATTGGTGCTGCTGTAGATGCCAACAGACTACCAGCAAACACAATGTTTGCAGGACTTCTACAACGAGGATAAAGTGACATAGTCCAGGACCCGAGGGAGGACAGTTTAGCGATGGCGCTACAACACGCTACAGCAGGTCCGTTTGACAAGAAACACTTCTGTTACAGACACTTGTCTTACTTTGTTAAAGCGGTTTACCTGTCCAGCAGAAAGGTTACAGGGTCACCAAGATCCCCAAGCGTCCCCCATGGTTTATGTTGACCCGGCTTTTTAGCTCTTGTCCGGTCTACCTCCGTTTTAAGCGCCCGTTATTCCTCCAGAGTCTCCGGTATTTACTTTGTTTTCTTGCTTGTGTCGGCAGTCGTGGCCAAAGGAGGATTCAGACAATTTTCCGAACTTTATGGTTGGTTTCTACTGTCCGATATTGTAGCACACTAACTTTGTTTGGGCTCCTGAACGACACGGGGGAGCAGCGTCTGCCTCACAACCAATCAGGTTAGAGGAGGTGGAGAACAGAGCGGACCGCTCAAAAATGTTCAAATGTTGACGACACAGACATAAGAGAACACAGAGATATCGATATATTACCAAATGTCATCAATAACTAAAAACTATTGACTGATATCAAAAGATTTTTTGTATATACACCACAATAAAGATGCTTCTTTAACAGACTCCTGCCTACTCCACCTTTAATCGACTCTCAGACGGCATCATGAAAAACTTTGACCTTAAGGTTGAATCGAGGACGTGCGGGAACTGTTTCGAAAAATCAACCCTTAATGACTCAAAAACACACCTCCGTTTATGAGCGAACGAACGCCACCGTCAAAGAAATCTGCATCGTGACATGAAACCGTCCCTGAAGCCAAAAGGAGAGCGTCCTTTCATCGGCGCTTCAATTTGATCACAACATAAGGTCATGTCAGGGTGGGCGTGCGCCGACACAGAGCGGTGTGATGGTCTTCAAACAGAAGCAGAGGATGTGCCGAAGTGAGACAGGTTTCAGCTCGACGGAGGAGAAACGTCTCTGAATGAAAAACCGTGAACTTCTTTAACATCTGGGCGTGTCGGAGTCACAACCTCCTGGTTTTAGAGTCAGAGCGGCGAGCTGCGTCTGTCACTGACCCGTCTGTTTGTTCTGTGTTTCAGGATGGCGGCTTCCTGTTCGAGTCTACGCTGTGATGAAATCTGACAGGATGCGGCGCGGGATTACATCACTGCGGCTTTTTTAAGGAATGTGGCGTTAAGGCGTGGAAGACTTCGCCTGCTGCGGCACGATGAGTCATTTCAGGGTAAAGTCAAGTCCAAACGCTGAGTTTCTATTTCACGTTAAAGATGTTTGTGGACACACAGAGAGTAGGTGTGTGTGTGTGTGTGTATGTGTGTGTGTCTGACATGTTGCAAGACGTCAAGGCGTGAAAGGAATGAGGAGAATTTCCAGGAAGGTCATGAAGTGTCTAATGCATGAAGACAGGAAAATGACAGAAATGCAGAGAAAGAGGCTCAGACAACAAACACACACAGATACACAAACACACAAATACACACATGCATGCACACACATCGATTCTGAGCAGAAAGTCCAGAAGGAACAAATAACGGAGGAGAAAACCTGCAGAGAAACCGCTTCAGTGTGAAGACATTCAGAGACCCGGGTCGAGTTTATCTAAAAATCTCTGATTGTTTTGAGAGGTAGCAGGTCTTTGTGTGGTTTATCCAAAACCCCTCATGATGTCGTCTGAGCTCAAACCTCATTCTCAGTTTCATGACGTGGTCTGGGCACGCTCAAACCTCATTCTCTGTTTCCGAGAAACTGTGCCCCCTTCATAGACTCGGGTTCCTGTTCACACTTTCAGCCAAAAACCCACAAAAACTGCAGCTCACAAGAGAAACCGGATTACTGTGAGACCCTCAGTTCACCTTTATGTTCCTCAGATCTTCATGAAAAGATTAAGGCTTGACTATCAGAGTGACTATTAGAGTACTTACGGTACTTTCTGTCTGCAGTACATGATTAAACCGATGGCTGCGCCGAGAGCGACGAGGATGGCGATGACGATTCCAGCGATGGCGCCGTCTGACAGGCCTTCGTTCAGCGTCCCTTCCTCTGCAAAAAAACATTAACATGAACAAGATTACGGACATAAACAAGATAAACGTCAACATGATCAGCTGAAACATGAGCGGAGAGGGTCTCCTTCAGATTTAAAGGTTTGATAAATCTTGGTGGGGAGTCTTAGAGTAAGTTAGAGTCAGGGTTTGCACAAAAGTTGCTCAAGAGTGACGACAAAATCACAAAGACTGAGGCAGCGTATTCAAAGATCTGACCTGTATCTGATTTAGGAGGATTTAAAAAGATCAGACCAAAGATCAGGGCCAAAACATCAGATTTATTTGAAAGAAGTCTGAGAGTCTAAATGTTCTTTTGGAGATCTGAAAATGTTTCATGTTAGTAGAGAAAGAGAAACTGCAGAATTGTCAGACAGCAGCTTCATGTCTCAGACTGCAAACAGGAAGTGAGGCAGTGGTCGTGGTTGGCACCCTCTGCGAAAACAATCACTGATACAGAAACTGAAACGCATCAACATGACCGACCGCACTAACTACGGGTGCAAGATTAACAAACATGACAATAAACACCAGACTTAATGACGCAACATGTGACCACAGCCGGGTCTATTCTGCTAACAGCTAACAGCTAACGCTAGCACCTTTTCATGCTAACGTCTGGTAAGATACTCCAAGACTGAGGGCTGCTGGATCATTAAATAGATACGAAGTAGGAAGCAGATTTTGCAGGGTGGAAAAATGAAGTTAGTGGACAAAGTGCAGTACTTCAAGTGACCACTAGAGGCGGACTCCAAAAGTGAGTTAATCTCCATAGAGCCTCATTTTAAATGTTCAACTTTACAGCTTCTCTGATGTCTCTTCAAATGACGACTCTATGAGGGTCGATTTTTTTCAGGCTGTTGGAAACAATCGGACCAGAACAGAAGTCAGCGATGTTTAAAAACTAAAATCAGTGTTGAAGCATCGAAGCAAGTTTACTCGATTCTCAACAACAAAAGGGGACAGCCTGATCACCCCCATCACCCCAAATCAATCCGCGTAAAGTAGTTCAGCACATTTCACCTCCGCCTGGCAAAAACAAACTATCACTACGCCGTTCGAATCAAAGTCACTGCAGGTGAGGCTCTTACCTTTGACGGACATGGTGTGGGTGGACTTGGTGGTCTTTTTGGTGACGGGGTTAGAAGCCTCGCACGTGTATGTTCCCGTGTTTTTGTAGCGGGCCTGCTCGATGACGTACTGCGGCGTTTTCACGTTGGTCAGAGTGCCGTTAAACTTCCAGGTGAAGTTGGCAGCGGGGACGGAGGCCGCGGAGCACGTTAGCGTCACGGCGTCGTTCACCTCGACGGCAGTTTCACCCGTCACCGTTGCTGGTTCAGGACCATCTGGAGATCAAACAAGAGTTATTATTCAGAGTAGATTTTACAAAAACTTGTCTTTGAATGAGCGACTCTGAACCGAAGTAAAATCGATTATTTAGATTTAGTCCCAATGACGCCAAAGAGAGTAACTGTGTCTCTGTCCGTGTCCACGAAGGAAGTTTATAATTATAATCTAGATTACCATCATCTAGAGGAGTTACACCACTCAGATTCAGATTATCAAAACTATTTTAGACTGCTCTTGTAATCCAGTCTGAGTCCAGTCCTCTACTGGGAATTTAGTCGTTATAAAGATCACCTTTAATTTCTGATTTCTGTTTTTCCAGTTTATTGATCAGTTTAAATCGAACCTTTAACATCGCCTCTGTCACTGTAACTCAGCTCTGGTTTTACTAGAAAAAGTTAAACTGGGTTTAAGAGCTGAGGATCTCCTTCAGAGGTTGAGCTGCATCCTAAAATCTCAGTTTGGACTTTGAGTTTTGAGACAATCGAGAATCTTCATATTTGTCTTATCAGTTTACGACGTGAATTAACTTTTGGGTTTTATGGACTCATGTCTCGTCAGAAAGGTGCCGTAAAAACAAACCATTATCAGGACAAAGACACGCCCACAGGTGATGAAACCATAAACATCAGAGCCGCATGCTTCAGTCTCTTAGCAGAGCAAACACTCACAGTTCACCACCATCTTATAGGACGCTTTGCTCTGGGTGACGGGGTTGGTCAGCTGACACGTGAACTCTCCGTTGTCCTCTTTCTGCAGCGGGTTGATCATCACCGAGCTCATGTCGATGGCGAACACGACGCGGGAGCTGGGGGTCAGAGGTTTGCCGTCTTTGGTCCAGGTCCTGGTCTTCACGGTGCCGGACGCGGCTTTGCAGGTGAGGTTGGCCGTGCTGTTGCCGGCGATGAGCGTCCCGGTCGGACCGGTGAGTGTGGCACCGAGGATGGGGTCTGAAAGGAGAAAAAACAGAGACTTTAATTCTCAACTCCTCAGGTCATCTATCTGTCTGCAGGGTCAGGGTCCGAGGAGAAGACACTCCTGAAGAATGAAGGTGAAAAGGGACAACACAGGTGTTCCTAATAAAGTGGTCTGTGAGTGTAAATATACTGACCGTTAACAGAAAACTACGATTGGACATTATTGAGTTTTACAAAATCTACAAAAACCACAAACAACGCTCATGTCACTTCCTTTGTCAAACAAACTCCTCCCCCATCCAGGAAGAAAAGACGGAGACGCTGCAGGGCAAAATGTAAAACCATCCTCCCACCGAGCAGGTTTTCACACACACACACACACACACACACACACACACACACACACACACTCTAATTACAGCGCAGCTCCTCTGTCTTTTACTCGACACCTCAGCGCTCAAAACCGTGGAGTATCTGCCGACCGTCACTTCAGGACTCACAAACATAAACATGACTAATGTCAGTCCATTTAGCCGACTCGTGCCCCGGAGGAGAGGTTTCAGTCTGCTGCCCCTCAGAGTTTCAGTGAACTTTGACCTCATTTTGAACAATCACAACAATCACAAAAGTTTGACTTAAATCGGTTCGTCCTACAAATGTTTGGACTTGAACCAAAGTACCAGGCACAGGTGTACTTAGGCCTACGACAAATTTCCCCTCGTGGGAAAATAAAATATATCTCATCTCTTTTTTCTCATCTCTCATCTCATGTCAGGGATCTCTAAATGAAGTTTAGCCGTGCAAAAAAACTCCTGAAAAGTTCCTGAATTTGTCAGCGTGAGCAGCAAACAGATAACGTTTTTATCCCAGACTTTTACCTCCAGTAAAAATTCAGGTCAGTTTTTACAATAAGAGAAAATTTTTAAAAAATGAGTAAGTGAGAAATTGTGCAACATGAGGGCGATGTAGAGAAACAGAAAGATTGATCAGTCAGGTGACTCACCGACCACGGCGAAGGTTACTCCAGATGAGGCGACCACACGCTTGGTTTTGGCGTTGGTGGCCGTGCAGGTGAACTGCTCCGCCGTCCTTCCCAGTCCCTGTTTCTCGATCTCGGCCAGAGTCAGAACCGGCCCGGAGCTCTTCATCTCCTTCTGGTTGTGGTACCAGTTGAAGGTGGCGGGCGGACTGGAGGCGGCTGCACAGGTCAGGTTGAAGCTGGAGCCCGATTGGAGGAACTGGGGAGGCTTCGCCGGGGAGATGGTGGCTTTATCGGGTCCATCTGTGGAGAAGCCGGTAAATGTGTTTTTGGTGAATTTATATAAATGATCTAATTGATCATTTTTCTCTTGAGTGTGCGGACAGACAAAGTCTTTTATTTTGGAGGGACGGACGGTGATAAAACCTCCTCCGACTGTGATTTTAGGTTTTAGTCCAGCATGAGGAAACTCTGAGCTCTGCATTAATTAATAACCAGGTTAAGCGGCGGTCGGTGCAGTTTCCCTGCCTGTCAGCTTAGTCATGGAGAAGGAGGCCGCTGTGTACACACGCCGTGGTTTAAGTGCTGGCAGAGAGGCAGCGCCCTGCAAACACACACCTCACTCTAAACTGTACAGGTCACGAGACACTCGTCTGTCTCCGAGAGTTTCAGGAACCTGAGCAGATCCAGAGATACGGTCAGGCCTCAGGGGAGCGGAGGGACGGTCTGTCAGGGTGTGGAGGAGTGACACAGACTGACTCACGTCTGCTCTTTGTTGACCAACAGGTGTGAAGAAACTCAAATCCTCAGAGCAGAGAGTGAATAAAGACAAACTAACCCCTGAAACAATGAGAGGAAACAGACCGTCCATCTGCAGTACTCACGGTGGACAGTGAGGTTGAAGGGGGCGCTCTTCTCCGTCTCCAGTTTGTTCGTAGCTACGCAGATGATTGAGCCGACCAGGTCTGTTCTGAGAACATTAACGAAGGTCAGCGTACTGGACAGTTCCTCCTGAGAGTCGGAGAAAAGGAGGAAACTCACACACGTCAAACTAAAATCAACAAACTTTAGAAATAATGTTTTGAAAATGTGGGAAGACTGACGTCTTTAATGGAGACACGTTTTCCATCGGCCACGAGGGGCGCCGCGCCTTTGAGCCAGCTGAACTTGAGGAAGGAGCCTTTGGCGGAGCAGGTCAGGATCACGGTGTCGTTGTGCTCGACGGCCTCAGGGAGGTTGGACTTGATGACCACAGCAGACACGGGCTCTGCAGGGAGAGACGAAGAAGAGGTTTAACTTCAGGGACCATGAAATGAAGAGTCAACGAGAGAGCGAGGGAGAGAGAGATTACGGCTGTGTCATCTGTAAACGCTGCTAAAGATCTACTGTGAGTCCAGCTTTGAACTACTTTACAGTTTAAAAGTCAGTGTCGATAAAACTCAACATCTCACAACCAAAGCTTTAAAGTCAACTCCACTTTCACACATGAACACCTGATATTTTACAGGTAACTTCAGGTCAGTGAAATTATCTCTGTCAGACACGCTCACGCAACCAGAAATACTTGGCCTAATTCAGGTGAGGCAGGTGGCCAGGTAGTTTCTGCAGGAGGAGGAGGAGCAGCGATCAGCTAAGATGACTGTTTGTTAATATCAACTCAACATGTACAAAGATGTTTCCACAGTCGTGTGATACGGGAAACTGAGACCAGCAGTGAAGAGGTTAAAACCTGGAAACTCTGAGCTACATCGATCACTGACGGTGAGTTTTCCAGACTTTTACTGATGCATTCGCTTCAAATCATCTTTACAGTTTCCAGGAATTTGCAGAAAATAGTTTGCAGTTCACCTGGTAAAGTCAGGAAATTTTCTGGGGTGCACCTGAGTCTCATACATGACGACATATTGACCTCATTGTCTCTGCGGATCAGGTTGCAAACAGATCTGACGTGACAGCAACAAGCAACGAAAAACAGACATCTGTAATCCGCCTACATGTCCCATGATGCTTTGTGCACAAGAAGCTGCAACCTCATTTTTGCAGATCTGCATTTTTCCGTCGTTTTAACGAGGCACTTGGATGTCTAAGGATACTGAGGAACACATGCAGCACAAGAAAATTAACCATCGATCCAAAATGATGTCTATGATGATGGAAGAATAAGATGTTTTTGTAGAAACTGAAACTTTTCATGACTTTTATAAATAAACTCATGATTAAAATCTGCTGTAAATCCCTTAAAATTTAACTCCAGATAGTAGAAACCCAGTCTTGTATTTCAGAGATCTCCCTACAGATGACTCCAGGATCATTATGGGAGGAGAATCTGAAAACCCGCTCACCCAGGGCCAGTTTTCTCTTCACACAGCCCTGATTATACTCCAGATTCAACATGCGGATGGATGAATGAAGGCGGCGGTAAATATCACAGCGGCTGAACCTGCTGGACTCGTTCTGAATAATCCTGGAGCTCCATTTCTGAATGTGTTGCCTGTTTATTGGTGATTAGGCAACTGTAGGTGTGTGGGAACAATGTGAAGGAGTGGAAACCAGTTCTGAGAGCGCCGAGGCCGACTGGAGAAGGGTTAATGAAGTGACTTTACTTTAGCGATCTAAAAGTCAGTGTGCAGGAGCTGATCCTGGTTTACTAAACACTGATTATAATTATCTTGGGCCACACAAAGTTGCAGCAGATTCCTTCCCCCTGCAGCAACATCATGAGAGTTTGCTGTTGTTTCTTCATGCTTAGAGGCAAAATGCACAATATTGAATTTTATAAAACAAGACCATTTTTAAATCAGCAGCAAATTGAGGCGCAGGTAGACAAGCAACTCCTGTCAAATATCTATTTTTGCCTGTGAGGTCTGTTCCCTTTAAAGAGAGAGATATTAATGGTTGAAAAAGCATCACCTATTTTAGACTTTTCCTATTCAGAGGCAGAATTTCTGATCAGTTTATACAAATCATGAACTTTTTTATTTACAGCTGTAGTCCTGAAATGTTGTGTCTCCTGCTCCACTACCTGGATCTAAACGAAACAAGATAAAAAGTCCTGCTCTTCAAAGAAAATCTGGATTTTATCAACATGATCCAGATTCAGATTTTTGAGGTTTATTGAAGCTGGTTAATATCTGCCGCCATGATGTTTTTATGCTCTACCACCTGGAATCTAAACGGGACAGGTGAAAGATGGCATCAGGGTCAATCTACCAGAGCTTCTGGACAACTTTTTCTTAGTTATTGTGATTTACAGCATGGAGCAGAGTAAAGCTGCAACAATCACGCCAATGAATGCCAATAAATCATCTACCAGTTGCACATGTAAGTCTGCCTGAATCCTCCTGCTGATTTAAACATTGAGGTTAGGGAGAGCGTCTAACACCTTGACCTGAATCTGAACACAAACACACCCATTACTCAGAATGAGTGAGGAGCCACACCTTCAAGAAACTCTGAGTAACTTTTTCTGCAACTTTGACTGTCACAGCTGTCTCTCTCTCTCAGCTTTATTTCAAATGACACCTTTGATAAATGTCAGCTGTGCACCCTTATTTAACAAGAACAGCACACAGGTGTAACCAGGTCTCATGGCCAATGAAGGAACAGGTGATTCTGGGCGCCATTTTCACCAAAACAGGAAACATTTCTCCACTTTATGCTCTGAAATATTTTTTTTAAAAAAGAGGCTGGACTTCTTCAATCACTATTTTCTCACATTTAAAGCAACATTAAAATAGATATTTCGTCTAGTTTTAGAGTTAAGATATAGGCTGTAAAAAAATGATGCCATCTTCAGAAAATAAAGGTTGAATATAAATCTATGCTGAGTAAATCCAAAGGTTAAGACTAAAGTAACACACCCTCTAAAAGGTTTTAGGTCTGAATGTTGAGAGCTGCTCTTCTTATTTTATTTTAGAAATAAAGAAACACATTGACATGGTTAATAAATGTTGAAAGACTGCACAGACGTCCCTCCGCGATGGAATATAGTTCTCAAACGGTGCCTGCATTTATAGTTGCTAAGCAACGCATAAACTCGATTTGGCGCAGGAATACTGGCATACTCTCCCCCACTCCCCTAACAGGTGTGGTTCGGCTTTCTACGTGCACCAAACTACATCAGAGAATAGTCCGTTTTTTCGTAGAACTGCTTCTTTTTGACGCTGTGAGGTCAAATCCTAAAGTTAATCAGTTTAATCCTGATCTACAGGAGCTGCTTAAATATTCGGCACTGATTTAGTCAAGGATGCGTTTCTCTAAATGAAGTTATGAGCTCACCTTTATAACGAGTTCTGCTAAAACACCACGATGAAAAAGTTGTTCCATTAGTCTCCGAGACCAAAAGAAAAGCACAATTTATAACTTTTTCTCAATCATTATAACTCGTTGTGCATTTTGGTGTAAAAAATAAATTTGAGAAATTGTGATCAGAAATGGTTCAACAGGAAAAAAGTCCTCGCCTCGTTCGGACATCACACCAAACAACGTTGTAAACTTTTACAATTTAAGCGGTATTTGATCACAAAGTCTTGGAAAGAACCCAACTGGACAAACTTTTAATTTCCTGAATCATTGTGATGTTCTGTTCAATTCGGCTAAAGTGTACTCAAGTTTTGTTTCGGATAATTTCGTTGAAAAAATACTCCTGAATGCACAGTTGCATAATAAACCAAGAAGATAAACTCACCCAGAACTCTGACCGCAATTTCTTCTGTTTTGGTGGCTCCGCTCGATGAAATCACGTTGATGGAATAATCTCCGCTGTCCTCAGACTTCACGGCTGTCAGGGTCAGGAAACCATTGGTCGGATCGATCGCTACCCTTCCCTCATAAGGTGTGTTCACACTGAGTCCTTCCGAGCCTATGGTAATGACATGAATCTGGTGCCCCCCGTTGTTGAAATTCCAGACAATAAAAGAGTAGGTTGGATTCTTCAGCAGCGTCGGTACAGTCAAATTTTTACCCAAAACTACATCCAATGGACCCTCCGGCAGGATGTCCTCCCCAGCACAGCATCCTGAGAGAAGACACATGAGACAGATGTAGTAACCTTAGACACAAAAGTCATGTTGCCACAAGAAAAACACCGAAACACCTTCATTTTAAAGTATATAAGTTACTATCATATGTTAAATTTGCACAAGTTGAACATGAATCAACAAGACTCAAAGTTTCCACCCACAAACGATGGAAAATGCTTAATAAACACTTAATGAATTTATATAATATCATCTGATTTGGTTAAATCTGCAGAATTATGGGGAAAACTTATTAGATTTTGGTTCTTACCGATAAAACAGAGCAGAAAGAGAAGCGACTTAAAGGCGAGCAGATCCATCCCGGACGATTCAAGTCTTTCCAGCAGAGACAAAGACGACAATGAGGCCGTACCTGCAGCTTTTAGAGGGACACACCCAGAGGAGGTGAACACATACACACACACACACACATACACACACACACGTCATCGTTACTGTGGCGTGTAATAACCGGGTGTATGTTTTTTTTTTTTTATCTGCATGAATCATTTTCAAGATTCCATCTCTTTTTTATCATCAGTTAACATCACAGTAACAACCACTTTATCCATCGATAAACAGAGAATCACGACATTAAAATACACTTCCCATTATTTATTGATTTATCCACCATTTCACAAACTATCAGCATCACCTCACCAGGTTATAACTTAGTGTTATTGATGAGCAAATAACCCCAAATTACACACTATTGAAAGGTAATTAGACTGTATATATAAAGAGTTTATTTACAATTTCACTGAAGTCTGCTTTTATGGCCGAATTATCATCCCGGATCGTAAACAGACAGTCACTCAGCTGAAATGTGTTCACAACAATAAGTGGAAAGTTTAAGCCCTCCAACTTCTGCTTCATTTTTAATGATGCACTGCTGCCACCTAGCGGACACATAATATTTCAGCTTCTTCAGCGACCTCAGGCCAGTCCATTACAGACTACAGCGGGGTGACACAGCTCAAGGAAGAACATTTACGATCATTACTTTATCATTTCCTTGAAGTAATAATCACCATATTAATCATTTTACAGACGCGGTAGTTCCTCTGCCTTAGCGTCTTGGTCTGATTGTATTTCCATAAAGAAATGATCATAAATGTTCTTCCTTGAGCTGCGTCACCCCGCTGTAGTCCGTAATGGACTGGCCCGAGGTCTCACTACAAACAAGCAGCTGCTGGAAGAGAGTAGGTGAGTTGTGTTTAGTCTCTTTGTTAAAGAAATGAGTCAAAGTTAAAAAGATGTTTGGTGTCTAGTACTATGGCTGTGACCCTATATGTCCTGTTGATGAAGTTAGGTGCTGTTCTGAGCATTATTTGTGGCTATAGAGTGGCGTTTTGGTTGAGCGTGTGGCTCTCTGTATTACTATCCTGCGGTCGTTACTAAAGTCGGTATAACTAGAGAAGCAAGCGTTCGACAACATTCATCTCTGGAGGGGGGGTCTAACTGGGTGTTACGGTGTGTTTGACCCTAACTTAATTTTACGCCAGAATATCCCTTTAAATGTCTTTTTCCCCTCTTTATAAATGTCAAACTTCCATCACAGTAGGTGGCGGTACTCTTCCTCGGAGTTCCCAGCAACCATTTAAAAATAGCAGAAGAAGAATTTCACCCGGAACAGTTTAACCTACAGCGGCTAACTTGCTTATTTTGTCTCTCTCTTTCTCGGGGAAACGTCTGTCAGGAGCTGGGTTGGTAATTTAGTGAACTGTTCGTCGAAATTCAGGATGTTTCCCTTTGCCCCTTTTTCTTGTTAGCTTACAAATGCTAAAGTGAGTTAGCGTAGCGGTCGGTTGTTCTTAGGAAATAGACGGAGCCGGATCTGGTACACACACACACACACACACACACACACACACACACACACACCGCTGAGAGGAGTGTGGATTTTAATGACCTAAATGTGAAGATAAACACTTTTTATTGAGGTCAAAGTATTTCCTTTAAATTGAAACATAAACATTATAACCATGAACAGTTCGTTTAGCCGGGAAATAGACGTACCCTAAAGCATCACTGCACCACATTGTCCGAACTGTTTTTAATGTTTTTGCAGCAAAAACTGAAGTGATTAAAAATGTCGAAAACTCAAATGTTGAGAGTTTTAGTGAACCAGAGACTGAGTGCAGCTGCTGAAGAGATCTTTGAGCTGTTTGAAAGAACGATATTAGAGTACGAGGAGAAACTCTGTGGATCTCAAGAGAATCAACACAAACATCAGGACACTGTTTACAACCCTGAAGGAGACACACTGATCACAGGTCTGTGGTTTCACCCTCATTGTTTACTCATTATCAGTTCCTTCTGCGTCTAAAAGACGTGTCTTTCAGATTCACAAAAAACAGAACATGTGGTTAATCAATAACCTTTCCACTTACTTCTTTGCTCGTCTTTTCGCCGTCATCTTCTGTGCCTAGATCGTAAAACACCGGTGCATCATCATTATTGGTCCCTGGCAGCTCACTTCTATTGTGCCTTTTTCTATTTGCATCCTTTTATTTTCACAGTCAGTAACTCTTTTTTTCATCGCCTTTTTTTTTTGCGTCATTAACTTCCATTGTGACTCCTTTTTTTTTTGCATTCTTTTTTTATTTGCAGCAGTGGCGGTTCTCGGCCACCGTACTTAATATTCCCATCTCTACACACTGTATCTTTAAGCTTTGCTCTTCGTTCTTCTCCACAGACACTCAGCAGTTTTTAGTGAGTAAAGAAGAGGTTCCTCCTGAGCCGCTGGACAGGATCTTCAGTCTGGACCATGAGGACCCACCAGAACCACCACACATTAAAGAGGAAAAGGAGGAACTGTGGAGCGGTCAGGAGGGAGAGCAGCTTCAAGGAGTGGAGGAGGCTAATGTTACGCTAATATTCACTCCTGTTCCTGTGAAGAGTGAAGAAGATGACGGAGAGAAACCTCAGTCCTCACAGCTTCATGAAAACGAAAGCAAAGAGAGCAGAAACAAGAGTTCTCACTCTGAATCGGACACAGACAACAGCAGCTGGGATTGGGAGGAGATTAAAAGCTCTCAGTCGGGTCCAAACCCTGAAAACTCTGAGGTGCCTGTTAGTGATGGGGAGGGTAATACTGTAAGAACAGCAGATAGTTCCTCTAAACGTGCTGAGGGCATTAGCAGCAAAGAGTATCAACTAAAATACAGTCGACGCAAAGCAGGTCCGAAACCATTCAGCTGTTCAGTTTGTGGGAAACGATACCTGCGGAAGAATTCCTTATCAACTCACATGAGACATCACTCAGAGGGAACACGCTTCAGCTGCTCCGTTTGTAAGAAGATTTTTCCATGGAAAGGAGATGTCGAGAGACACATGAGAGTCCACACAGGAGAGAGACCGTACAAATGCTCCATCTGCGGCTCAAGGTTCGCTCAAAGCTCAACTTTAAACTTACACTTAAGAGTTCATACAGGAGAGAAACCGTACACCTGCTCAGTCTGTCAAACAAGCTTCAGTCTCCGAAATAACTTGGTTTTACACATGAGGAGCCATACAGGAGAGAGACCGTACAGCTGCTCGTTCTGCGGGAAAGGATTTGCACTACGGGGAAATCTGAAACGACACTTGATTGTCCACACAGGAGAGAAACAGTACGGTTGTACTGTTTGTGGTCAGAAATTTGCACAACATGTAACTTTGAAAAGACACATGACTGTTCACACAGGAGAGAAACCCTTTAGATGTTCAGTGTGTGGGAAAAGATTCGCTCAACAAACTTGTCTGAGAAGACATTTGACCATCCACAGAGAGGAGACTGTGTAGCTGCTGTGTGAAGGTCTGATTTTTCCAAGTGTGTCATAAATCATGTTTGCTTATCGGTAGGGATGGAAACTGAGATGCTTCCGGTCTGATAATTAACCGGTTCAGTACTGAACCAAAGCACACAGATTAAGTTTGATAAATACTTTGTCTTTGGGCCAAGATAAAGAAATATTTTTTCATTCTGTTTTTTTTTTTTTTTTTTTTTTTTGGATTAAAAATGCAGATTTATCACAAATGCTCTGAAATCTGAAATGTCCAAACAGACAGTATAAAGAAAATAAGGTTGAGTTATTTGAACTCTAGTTTCCGTGTATGGTCTGTTTTATGTGCATAATCTCAATTTGAAAAGTAAAAAAACAAAACAAAACTGTAAAATCATCTTCGTCCTCCTCACATGACTGAACTAACTCTAAATATCATGTCTCACACGGCGACACAGCAGTATTTATGTGACATCCATGTTTGTTTTTCTTATATCTTTTGAGAAATGTCTTGAAATCTTAATATATTGATCTTTATTAAGCATGTGGCTCAAGGCTTTAAATGTTTAACCGATTTTTATTATTGTTATTGAAGTAGTAGTAGTAGTAATCATCACAAAATAACCCAAGGTACAGCCATGCTATCGGAAACTCCAGTCCAGTAGGGGGCGATATGCACCAGAATGTTGGTCAGTGGTGTCGGCTTGTACGCAGGAAATAGATGGAGCCGAATCTCGGACACAGCCGTTGAACTATGCAGTTAAAGGAGCGGGGGGTTATTATGAATGTTTCAATGGACCAAAATTGTCTGAGGGAATAAAATAACCTGTAATAGAGATTATTATGCAGCTCAAGTGTCCTTCTCCGTCGATGTGGCGATCTTAGTTTGTCAGCAGGAAGTAGACGGAGGCTAAAAGCATCACAGCAACAGTTCAGACGGTTTTCTTGATTTTGACTTTAAAAATGTCTAAAGTCAAAACACTGAGAGATTTCATCAACCAGAGACTTTCAGCAGCTGCAGAGGAGATATTTGATCTGTTTGAAAGAACGATATTAGAGTACGAGGAGAAACTCCAACTACAGGAGGCTGTTTACAACCCCAACAGAGGAGCAGGTTTGTACTGTTTTAGAGTTTTTACACTTTAATCCGAAGGAGAATTATCATAGTGTGAGATTAAACCCTGAGAAAACCTTACAGAATGAGTTTTTCCTCAGTAAGATAAAGCAAAAGCTCCACAGTAAAGATTAATGCTGCAGACAGAGAACATCTACTGTCAGTGTCAGGGATTTTATTTTCTCTTCTGAGGTTCTTCTCACAGAAATTTGTACCAGAGTCTGGGGGAAAAAACACAATTTTGATGGGCATAAGAGAGACGGGAAATAATACATGTCTGTTATGTTGTTGTTTGGCCATATTTTTGTTTGTGTATCAGTAGAGATTGTTGTTTCTTATAATTTTCTCACCTGGTCAGTCATTTTGTGGGCATTGGTCATCGTACGAAGGTGTGAAGCTCCGCTGTGTCACTTTCTCTCTCCTCCTCCTTGCCCTTTCAGATTGTTTTTTGGTTTGATACGACCTTACAGATGGAAAAGCTAAAGAAAACTAGTAAAAGCAGCTGCTGTTTAACTGTAAACGTCAGATTAGATCTGGTACCTGTTTATTTGTTTGAAGGGATATTAATTTAGGGTCAAACACTCCGTAACACCCAGTTAGACACCCCCTCCAGAGATGAATGTTGCCGACCGCTTGCTTCTCTAGTTATACCGACTTTAGTAACGACCGCAGGATAGTAATACAGAGAGCCACGCACTCAACCAAAACGCCACTCTATCGCCACAAATAATGCTCAGAACAGCACCTAACTTCATCAACAGGACATATAGGGTCCCAGCCATAGAACTAGACACCAAACATCTTTTTAACTTTGACTAATTTCTTTAGCAAAGAGACTAAACACAACTCACCTACTCTCTTCCAGCAGCCGCTTGTTTGTAGCAAGACTTTAGGCCAGTCCATTACAGACTACAGCGGGGTGACGCAGCTCAAGGAAGAACATTTATGATCTTTTCTTCATGGAAATACAACCAGACTGAGACACTAAGGCAGAAGAACTACCGCGTCTGCCGTGAAAATGATTACTATGGTGATTATTACTTCAAAGAAATGATCATAAATGTTCTTCCTTGAGCTGCGTCACCCCGCTGACACGGGGCCAGCGGAGGGATGTGTCAGACAGCAACCTCCGCCAGGAACCCCATGGCCGGCCCCTGCAACCACAAGCGACCACTGCTCCCGGTGCCGAGGGCTCCCTCAGAGGAAACACTGTGGGTCATAAAAATGATAAAAGGACAAAAACAAGAAAAAACTAAAATATGAATAAAACACAGACCTTAAATAAATCTAGGCTAACTAGAATAAATGAAGATTAAACAAATAAATATCAATTAAAAGCTAAAAAGGTGGGTCTTAAACCTGCTCTTAAAAAAAATATCCCTTTAAGTAAGAGACAGAGGACTTGGTGGACCTAAAAAATCAATCTTAAAATAAAATACCTGTCTTATTATACAAAGAGAATTAGTCCACATCCAGGGTCAGAGCAGCTCTGAATGTGCTGAATTTGAACATTTCTGTCCACTGCTTAATTACTTAATTATACCATTCATAAAAAATGTGAAGTATTTATTTCAACAAGTCCTCCAAAACATCTTATTTTGTTTGTTTTTTTACAGAAATCCAGCAGCTTTTGGTGAGGAAAGAAGAGGATCCCCCTGAGCAGCAGGAGGGGAGCCCCAGTCTGGATCAGGAGGACCCATCAGAACCACCACACATTAAAGAGGAACAGGAGGAAGTGTGGAACAGCCGAGAGGGAGAGCAGCTTCAAGGAGTGGAGCAGGCTGATAACAGCATGTTCATATTCACTCCTGCTCCTGTGAAGGGTGAAGAGGAAGATGATGGGGAGATACCTCAGTCCTCACAGCTTTATGAAATTCATACCAATGAAATTAGAAACAAGACTGCAGAGTCCTCTGAATCTGATACTGATGATAGTAATCTGGAATCTCAGTCAGGACTTAACTCTGTCCAAAACAGTGAAGAATCTGACAGTGATATCAAAATTACTTGTGATACATCAGTCAGCCCCCCAGGATTGAGCTCTGACCAGAAGAAACAACTCCTGAAACACGGTGACAGCAAAAAACGTCCAAAACCGTTCAGTTGTTCGATTTGTAAGAAGACTTTTCCGTGGAAAGCAGCAATGGAGAGACACATGACAACCCACACAGGCGAGAGACCCTTCAAATGTTCCATCTGTGGTTCCAGATTTACCCGGAGTTATACTTTGAACTTACACCTGAGAGTTCACACAGGAGAGAAACCTTTCACCTGCTCCATTTGTAACACGAGTTTCAGTCGCAGACACAATTTGGTTTTGCACATGAGGAGCCATACGGGAGAGAAACCGTTTAGTTGTTCAGTTTGTGCGAAACAATTTCCAACACAAAGAAACCTGAGATTACACTCGGCTGTCCACACAGGAGAGAAACCATTCAGCTGCTCAGTTTGTTGTCAAAAATTTGCATTACTTGGTACTCTCAAAAGACACATGACTGTACACACAGGAGAGAAACCCTTTAACTGTTCAATCTGTGGTCAAAGTTTTGCTACACATGGGACTCTAAAACGACACACAAACGTCCACAAGGGAGAGAAACCATTTAGTTGTTCAGTCTGCGGCAACAAATTTACACAGCGTGGAACTCTGAAACGACATATGTCAGTGCACATGGACGAGAAACCGTTCAGTTGCTCAGTTTGTGGTAAAAGATTTACACAGGGTGGAACACTCAAGCGACATATGGTCGTCCATATGGATGAGAAACCATTTGTTTGCTCAGTTTGTGGAAAAAGATTTGCAGAACATGTCAGTCTGAAGGTTCACCTGATCGCTCACTCAGAGACAAACAGCTGTCCTGGACCTTAAATGGACCCATGTGTCTCATCAACGTTGGTTAGAACTAAGGAATGAGAACAAGGCTAGAAATGGTGCCAGTGCAGTTATCAGTCATACTTGTTCAATTTTTCAGTGACATGCAAACTCATGTATGCATAAACACATAAGTTTGAGTGTGATGATTGTGTGGTCATCATGCAAATGGGTGAAATAAAAGTAGATATGTCAGAGTTTCCCTGTATTTTACGTGTATGTAACAGTTTGTTTGAGATGACAGAACTGTTTCATCTGTTTTGACACTCATATTTGTCTTTACTGTTTCTCAGATGAAGACATGACAGTGAAGACACTTGGTGAGAACCCAAGTTACTCGAATCCCAGCAGCTCAGCAGTTGTGCATCTCTTGGTGTTATTTCAGAAGTGTCTAACTTACTGAACTCATAATCCAAATTTTAGAGTTTACAAATAAACAATCAAATTTGTGAGGCAGGGGGTCAGGGTCTTTGAGCTAAGTCTCCAACAAACAGTTAAAATGTGATAAATTGGGGTTTTGAATTTATTAAATTAGAATATTTTAAAAAAGAAAATTAGGGTCAGTTGACTTGAACAATTCTAAGAATGCAGAGGTCCCTCTCTTTAAACCTCATATTGTCGAAATGAGTCACAAACCTGTTTTAGTGACATACACTCAAGAAAAACTCCAGCTGCTCTGACCCTGAACATTCTCCTAGTTCACTTTTCTCTGCTGACAGTGTCCCCTCACAGTAAAATGTCATCTCTGTTGGATGTGTTAAAGGTGGTGTCGTCAGAAAGAGCGGGCCACTAAAAAATGTTAAAATGTTGACTACACAGACATAAGAGAACACAGAGATATCGTTATATTACCAAATGTCATCAATGACTAATTGACTGATATTAAAAGCTTTTTTGTATAAAAACCACAAAAAAGATGCTTCTTTTACGGAATCCTGCCTACACCATCTTTAAGACAGTTTTTGAGTCACTACAGATGGTGGCGGTAGTAATCCACTGGCTCAGCAGCTCTGCCGCTCAGACACCAAAGAAGAAGAACGCCTATGAGGCTAACGTGCCAACTGTTTCCGTTATCACACACCTTTACCTGATAAAGTCGACATAAACAATAAGAACCGGGGCGTACTTAGAGGAAATACATAAATGTGGACTTGGTGGAGATTCTCCAGATGATAAGATGGATCTCAGAGATCAGAGACTCTGTTCCTCACAGATATTCAGGCTAAAGGTGTTAGCATAACATTAGCCTGTTAGCAGTCGATGGAGTACGAGATCGGCTAACCGGAGCGATCAGGAGTTCAAAACATCGATTTATTGAATTAAATTGATTTGTCAGTAGAAGATAACTCCGTCTGTTTGGAAACAGTGTGTTTTTTAGTTTATATTACATATTATATATTATACAGCAGATCTGAGTGTTTTGAAAAGAAGTTCCTGTGATTCAGAAAAATAAAAATGTCCAAAGTGCAAAAGCTGAAAGATTTTGTGAACCAGAGACTGAGTGCAGCTGCTGAAGAGATCTTTGAGCTGTTTGAAAGAACGATATTAGAGTACGAGGAGAAACTCTGTGGATCTAAAGAGAATCAACACAAACAGATGATCGGTGTTTACTACCCTGAAGTCCGCTCACACAGAGCAGGTTTGTTCTGATTTCATGTTATTTTCACTTCAGTAAACCTGCTGTCATCTGTTTAAATGTTGGAAATGACCTGGCTAAGGGATAGAGGATATTTTCTTAAAACTAACAAAGTTATTTATACTTGATTAAAATGGACTCAACAGTTATTTAATATCGGAGAATCTGAAAACAAAACTTGAAAGAATTATAACTGAGACTGTTGTGAGAGTTTTAAAGAGTATTATGGATGGACACAAAAGTTTTCTTCTAGTTTTTCTGCTGTAGATGTTTTCCACCAGCAGATGGCAGCACAAGATGTCACCCCTCTGTGTTCACAGTTCATCCTGTCTGACACACAGACTATTTCTAAAAACCAGTCTGGATATTATGTCTGCAATATTTCTTCTAAATATTAGAAGAAAATCGGTTACTTCATCAAAGTCCATACCTTAAAAACTCAGTGGCCTCTTTTCAGTCATTTCTGTTTCATTGAGGTCTCAACAAGGAACCTTTTTGGGGGTTCCCGGGTAGTTATTAGTAAAAGAAAAGTACTGATTGTTAGGCTGATTTTCTTTAGCCGGTCATGTCAGCCTTCAGGGTGGTGGAGCTGTGTCACTCAAATACCTCGGATACTTTGGTGCTAGATTTCTGGAGCCATGGGCCTCCAACAACCATCCTCAACAAGGACCTTGTACCCATGTTTAACATCACTCAGGCTCCTAAAATATGTTGTGCTTTGTTATTACCCTACATGGACTCTCCGATTGGCCTCCGTATTTATCCAGTAGTAATGTTTTGTCAAACTCTTTTAAATGATCCTGGTTCACTAAAGTTGTTATTTTTCTCAGTTTCCCAGCAGCTGTTGGTGAGGAAAAGAGAGGCTCCTTCTGAGCAGCAGGAGAAATATCCACCAGAACCTCCACACATTAAAGAGGAACAAGAGGAGCTGTGGACGGGTCAGGAGGGAGAGCAGCTTCAAGGAGCAGAGGAGGCTGATATCATCAAGTTCACTTTCTTTCCTGTGAAGAATGAAGAAGATGAGGATGAAGGGGAACCTGAGTCCTCAAACTTTAAACAAACCCAAACGGATCAGATCGGGGGAGCTGATGAAGAGGACCTTGAAGGATCAGAACCAGACAGGATCTTTGATTCAGGCCGTTCTTTAGAACCAGTTCTTCATGAAGAGACTTCACACTCCTCTGAGACTGTGACTGATGAGAGTCATTATGATTGGGAGGAGACGAGTGAGTCCCAGTCAGATTTGAACCCTCTACAAAACAACAAAGTACCTGCAAATGATTTGGAAGACAACACTGTAAAAAAATCATCTGTCTCGTCTGAATGTGCTTCAAGCTTCGACCAAAAGGAACAACTTCAGCGACACAAGAGAAGCCAAAAAGGAGAGAAACCATACAGCTGCTCAGTTTGTGGTAACAGATACCACATCAAAACCTCTTTAACCACTCATATGAAACTTCACTCAGAAGGAAAACGTTTCAGCTGCTCATTTTGTAAAAAGTTATTTCTGGCCAGAGCAGAGATGGTGACACACATGAGAGTCCACACAGGGGAGAAACCTTTTGGCTGCTCCATATGTGGTATAAAGTTTGCACAAAGCTCAAACTTGACCTCTCACTTAAGAGTTCACACAGGAGAGAAACCCTTCACCTGCTCAGTTTGTGACACAAGTTTTAGCCTTAGAAACAATTTACTTTTACACATGAGGATCCACACGGGAGAGAAACCTTTCAGCTGTTCGGTCTGTGGTAAAACATTTGCTCTACATGGAAATTTGAGGAGACATTTGAATGTTCACACCGGGGAGAAACAGTACAGTTGTACAATTTGTGGTCAAAGTTTCACACAACACGGAACCCTAAAAAGACACATGACTGTTCACACGGGGGAGAAACCGTTTAGCTGTAATATTTGCGATAAAAAATTTGCTCGGCAAGAATATGTCAAAAAACACAAGTGTGTTGGTGAGAGCAGTGGAAACCAAGAGACTGCAAAATAAGCTACGGTAAAACTTTGTGCAACAGAGGGGAAGTCACATTTATATAAAGTATGGCTTTATTTTACATACAAAACAGTTTACTTTTGAATATAAAAATAAACATCAAATAAATACTTAAAAGACTTTTAATATTTGTTATAAATTATTTTCTGTATCTGATTTCATTAAGAGGGTAAAAAACTAAATAATTAAAAGCAAAATTAAATTGAGGCCACACAGAGTCAGTCCAAGCCTCAATGGGGCCCTAAGCAAAATTTGATTTTGGGGCCCTCTATTTCTGCCAATAATATTGATTGTTGGTCATTCACACACCTACTACAGCTGGTCTGACATGTCTTTACACATTTAAGGGGGTGGCCGAGGTAATAACATAAATAATACCAATGCAGCCATACAACTAATACCAATGAATGACTGATGAATGATGTTCAGGGGGCCACATATTGTTTTTAATCTCAAAATCTAACACATTCAGGATGCTCAGTGCACATTGTAAAGTAGAAGGTACATAACAGTAGCAGAGATTTGACATGTTGGCGGTAAGAATCATCGGCCTACATCAGCAGCAGCACTAAAATGTTTTTACTTTATTTTATTTTCACAATAATATATATTTTATCATACAGAAAGCATCACTCATACATGCAAAAAAAAATAAAAAATGAATTATATATTATTGCTCTTGGGGCCCCCCTACTGGCCGCGGGGCCCTAAGCAGGCGCTTAGTTCGCTTATGCCTTGGGCCGGCTCTGAGGCCACAAAAAGAAATATATAAGACCTACTGTATGAATGAGGATGTAACTTTATTCAGCCAACAATGATATTGTGTGGCCATGAGATGCAGACACATGACCATGACATAATCTTTATTCACCATCTTCATGCAGATTTTTTTAAACTTTAGTGTGGCTACCTCTGTGTTCGACTTACGAAGATTTGAACAAAGTTTGTTTTATTTTCAAGAGGTTTTAATTTTTAAAATGAATTAAAATCATATTATAATCAAGCTACATGACAGAGATTTCTTCTTCATGTTTGTCCTGATTACACCTGTACAAACCCTTCAGTTCAGTTCACACTCCAGTTTTTCTTGGTTGCAATTACTTCAAGGGTTAATTTTCTTTCTTACTCACCAGATACCCAGAACATGGGTCTGCAGGAAAGGTCTGAAGACACGATAGTGAGCTGAGATCTTTTATTTTTAATATACCAAAGTAATTCAAAGCACATCTACACAGTCATTCATTCATTTATTCTTCTTTAAATTAACTTCGTCTCATGTCACATTTTGTCTACCAGATAATTTTCAGTAAAATATTCGGATCAGTTAAAAAAAAACTTTTAATTTGAAGGTCAGACATGTGCCCCGGAAGCACTGTTGACCTAAGTCGCTAGCATGCTAACTCCTGTTGTGTGGCTCAACTTCTGTTACCTTCAGAGAGAAGAAGAGTTTGTCTATGAGGACAAAGGAGCTTTACTGAATTTTGATTGTCTCAGATTTTTCCTTTAAAATCACATCTTGACTCAGGAGGTTACACAAAGTTAGTTTATCTGTAAACAAAGACAAACCACAGAGCTAAACTCTTAGCAGCTGCTAATGTGAAGTAGCTCACCGGAGTGACCATTGGAGTGTTTGGGGATAAAATGCTGCGGTGATTTTGCACAAAAGGTCTAAACTTTGGGAGACTTTTTTCACCCACTAACTGACTGAAGACCTATTTTTTCTTCAGTAATGGCAGAGTGTGAGGAGAGACTCTGTGGACCTGAAGAGACTCAGCAGAAACTCCTGGACTCTGTTGACAGTCCGGAGTCCCTCTCACACAGAGCAGGTTTGTGCCGATTTATCACAGAGTTTACTCTTTAAATGGATAAAAATAAACGCATTTTATGAATCCATAAACTGCATTATTCTTAATGTCAAAACATAGTTTATTTTAAATGAGAGCCTCTTACATATTTGCTGTTATTTTGGACAATAGAAGTTTTTTGTTATTGTTGTTTTTATGTGTAAAAGATAATGGTTTTAACTCAAACTGGCCATGGGGTTAAGTCAGACCCTGTTAAAGATAACCATTGTGAGTATTCATATAGCTAATCAGGTGATTATTTCTATTTATTTATTTTTAAAAATGGGAACTGTACATATTGATGAACATTTACATGTAAATATGTGTGATTATAGCCAAACGGCAAATTTCCATCCCCAGTCCCATTGGCAGGTTAATGTAAAACATAAAAGCAATAATGTTATAAGTACAAACAACACGACTAAGACAGTAGAACAATGCACAGACAACATACACATAATACACATAAACAACATACACAGACCAAAAACTACGTGACCAATTGTAAGGGGACCAAAAAAATTAAAGGAGAATTGTAAAGTGCTAATTAGAGTTTTATGTGCTAAAGGTGTTTAAAGCGCCATTTGCTACAGTACAGCTTGTTAAAGTGACGAGTGCATAAGTGTGAAATTACATTGAATTGCACAATGTGCCGAAATATGTCAATAGCCAAATATGTTGCTGTGATACATATTATGAGTTGCAGTTCACTTTGTGGGGGGCTCAGGAATAAAGGTAGTCATGTCACAGTTGTGGGCAGGTGTTCGACCTGGAAGGGCAAAAGGTTTTTGACCGTCGTGGCGCTAACTGCTGGTGTTTTCCTGGTTTGTTCAGTGTTGAAGATCAATTGCAAATGGATTTTGTTTGTTTATCGCAATAAATTTTTGGTTTGCTGAATCTGAGGAACAGCGTCCAGACTTTCAATGATCATCACAACTCACTGTAAAACTTAGCGCAGTGTGTCAACCAGGTTACTCCCGGTCATGCATCTCTGTAGCTTAAAGTATCGACTGAGCTCCTACAGCTTCTTCATACAGCAGTAGTTCTCTTCTGCTCTTCCGTCTGAGGGATATTTGAGGCCCAGTGAGTTGACTGATAAAGAGGCAAAAATTTATTTTTTTTTATGAATGAATTCAAAATTTTACTGAAAAGACAAACAGTACCTGTTGTGAACAACTGAAACATCAACTGAAGGAGACCTTTCAGATCAGTGGTTCTCATCTGGTGGGTCCCGACCTATAAGTGGGTCGCAGACACATTCTGGATGGGTCACGAACAGCTGGTCAAAAAGTAAATATTTAATGCGATATTTATTAGATATTTGATATTTTCTGTATATGCAACTTCGGTAGTTGTCGTCCACATGTTGTCCCCGTCATGTGCTCTGAAATACACTTTAAATAAAACAAGTGGATTTATGTGAAAGATTAGAGTCCTTAAAGGTGTTTTCATTAAAAAAATAATAATAATTTGCTTGGTTTGAGTTCTATAAAAGTGAGTCGCGACTTAAGGACCATGGGAAAATGTGGGTCCCAGAGTGAGACCAGTTTAGAACCACTGATTTAGTTCATTGTCTTTTTCTGTTTTCATGTTTTACTTATTTGTTTTCCATAATTCTCCACAGACGTCCAGCAGGTGTTGGTGATTCAAGAAGAGGTTTCTCTTGAGCAGCAGGACAGGAGCTCCTATCTGGACCAGGTGGATCCACCAGAACCACTACACATTAAAGAGGAACAGGAGGAGCAGTGGAGCAGTCAGGAGGGGGAGCAGCTTCAAAGAGCGGAGGAAGGGGACGTCAGCTCGTTTATGTTCACTCACATTATTGTGAAGAGTGAATATGATGATTATAATGATGATGATGTGGAGGAACCTCAGTCTTCACAGCTTCATGAAAACCAAACTGAAGGGAACAGGGACACACAGCATTTAAAAACAGAAGCTGATGGAGAGGACTGTGAAGGATCAGAACCAAACAGGAACTTTAATCCAGTCCACCATTTACAACCAGTTACTGATGAAGAGATTACACACTCTGAATCTGAAACTGATGACAGTTGTGATTGGGAGGAGACGAGTGAACTTGGGTCAGGTTTAAACCTTCTGCAGAGTAAAAAAGGTCTTATAAGTGATGAAGCGTGTATGACAGAAAAGAAATCCTCGAGCTCTCCTGAATGTGCTTTAATATCAGGCAAAAAGAAACTGGGACTGAAACACATCAGAGCCCAAGGAGAAGAGAAACCGTTCATCTGCACAATTTGTGGCGAAAGATTTGGCAAAAAGAAATATTTATCGAGTCACATGATGCGTCATACAAAAGCGAAATGTTTCAGCTGCTCGTTTTGTGAAAAAGGTTTTCCAAAGAAAGTCGAGCTCGCGAGACACATGAGGGTCCATACAGGAGAGAAACCCTTCAGCTGTTCAGTTTGTGGCAAAAGTTTCACACAAAAGTCAAGTATGTACCAACACATACAAGTTCACACAGGAGAGAAACCTTTCAGCTGCTCTGTTTGTGGAAGCAGTTTTCGAAGTAAGTCAAACCTTTACAGACACCAGCAGGTGCACACAGGAGCGAAACCCTTCAGATGTTCTGAGTGTGGGAGAAATTTTACACAAAAGACCGGTTTGTACAGACATCAACAAGTTCACTCTGGAGAGAAACCTTTCAGCTGCTCCGAGTGTGGTAAAAGTTACACGCAAAAGTCGAGTTTGTACCAGCATCAACAAGTTCATACAGGAGAGAAACCGCACAGTTGCTCAGTTTGTGGATCAGGGTTCCTCAGGAGAAGTTATTTAGTTGAGCACATGAGGCTCCACACGGGGGAGAAACCCTTTGTATGCTCCGTTTGTGGTAAAAGTTTCTCACAAAAGTCAGGTTTGTACCAACATCAACAAGGTCACACAAGAGAAGAACACCTACTGCTGCAAGATTCAGGAAGTCCTCCATACCAGACCCTGCAGGAAGGAGAAAACGTGTCGTAGTTCAGTTTGTAGGAATGAGGATGACACGTCACCATTAAATTTCAGCGTTTTCTTAATTAAAGACCGGCTCCACTTTTATTCTGAAGGTTTGGTGAATGAAATCTAAATCATGACTGATCAGCCTGAAAACTGTGACACTTCAAAATGAGTGGAACTTCATTATCTCATCAGCTGTTAAGGATGAATTATGTTTTTGATTTTCTTGTATTAATGCGACACAAAGGAATTATTTTGGTATACAATGTCTTCGGTATTGGCTGTACCAATTTTCAATCTTACTCAGATGATCAAAAATATTACCTACTACAAACAGTGTTGTGGTCAACACTGGGTTTGTATTTTTAAATTAATCATTTAATCTGTAATAATAACATGTATTTATTATTAACTTGACCCTTTAGGTTATGGATTAATATTGGAAACAGTAATTTGGGAATTAAATAACTGCTGTTTGACACTAAACTGTTGTTGATTCCTCGTTCATATTTTTGTAAACCTTTGGGTTAACTTGAAGCTTAAATGCTGTCACTTTGAGAAACTGTTTTTAGTCATTTATGTTCATACTTATTTATTTACAAATATAAATGATGAAAGAAGTCGTAGTGGTATCACGCTACTTTTAACAACAGTCCTAACGGTATGAACATTTTGGTCCAAAGTCATGACATGTTGTTTATCTCAAATGTGTTTTGAGACTACATGTTTAGGTCAATTTTATTTTGAAGGGCAGGAAACACTCGGTGCCCCGGAAGCAAAGTCGGCTTCTTGCTAGCGGGCTAACTTCTTTTGTTTTGTCGTAATTCATTGAGTTTAAGGTTCAGTTGGAGATAACATTCCGAGCATGTGTGAGAGACAAACAAGTTAAACACATTAAGATAATGTTGTTGTTTTTTTAACGAAGAATGTTGAATAAATTTAGCTTAGCTCGTTAGCCTCAAATATAGTGAAGCAGCCAGTTAACATAACGAAGCTCTCCGGACTGACCAAAAATAAACTAAACGGGATATTTTTCAGACAAAGAGTCCGTAATTCAGTCAAAATGTCCAAAGTCCAAGAGCTGAGAGTTTTAGTGAACCAGAGACTGAGTGCAGCTGCTGAAGAGATCTTTGAGCTGTTTGAAAGAACGATATTAGAGTACGAGGAGAAACTCTGTGGATCTAAAGAGAATCAACACAAACTTCTGGACGCTGTTTACAACCCTGAAGTCCGCTTACACAGAGCAGGTTTGGACTGTTTTCATGTCTTTTCCGTTTAAAACTCCTGGTTTGATTTTATGTCATAGTTTGTATCTTTGTCTACATTTCTTTACATGCAACACAAATTAACTTGAACTGGATTTCCGATTTTATCCACAGACATCCAGCACCTGTTAAAGAGTAAAGAAGAGCCTCTTCATCAGCCGCAGAAGAGGAGCCTCAGTCTGGACCAAGAGAACCCATTACAGATTAAAGAGGAACAAGAAGAACTGTGGAGCAGTCAGGAGGAAGAGCAGCTTGGAGGCCTGGTGGAGGCTGGTATCAACACACAGATATTTACTCCTGTCCCTCTGAAAGGTGATGAAGAAGATCGAGAGGAACCTCAGTCCGCACAGCTTCATCAATATCAAACTGAGAAGGAAAGAATCACAGAGGATCTAAAAACAGAAACTGATGGAGAGGACTGTAGTGGATTAGAACTAAATAGGAACTTTAATCCAGACTGTCTTTTCCACCCAGATTTTCAAGAAGAGGCTTTGAGTTCTGAATTTAAGACCGATGACAATTACGTTTGGGAGGAGACCAGTGAAACTCAGACAGGTGCTACAAAAACTGGCCATAGGAATCAAATAAAGAAAGACAAAACAGTCCACAGACAAGAGAAACCACTGATTTTCTCAGTTTGTAGTGAAAGATCCATTAATGAGAGTAGTTTATCAGCTCACATGGCAGGTCATACAAGAGGCCGTCGTTTCAGCTGCTCATTTTGTAAGAAAAGCTTCTCATTAAGACTGGACCTAGTGAGACACAGAAGAATCCACAATGGACAAAAAACCTTCAGTTGTTCAGTTTGCGGGAGAGGTTTCTCAAGAAGGCCAAATTTGCAGCGACACCAACTTGTTCACACGGGAGAAAAACCCTACAGCTGCTCTGAATGTGGCAAAAGATTTAAACAGAAGGCACATCTGTACCTGCACCGTGTCGTTCACACAAAAGAGAAAGCTTTTAGCTGTTTGGTTTGTCTGAAAAGATTCACTCAGCTTTCAAGTCTCAAAAGACACAAATGTAAAGGAGTCGTTGAGGTTAATTGAAGTGCCAGAGAAATATTTACCAAAAGTACAGATGAAGTTGTCATTTTTGAAGAAGGTTTTCCTGAGGATACACCACCAAAGACCTTTATACAAAGGAGATAGAGAGTTTTTATCTTCAGCTGCAGATTTGGAAAGGTTCACAGTGCTGTTTCTATGCATTACTTCCTCTTTAGAGCAAAACTAAAGCACACTAGGATGAGATGAACCTGCTCTAACAGCTGAAACTGGATGTGAGTATTGAATGTTTGTCGGAGAAAATGTCCACCAGGGATTAAATGAACCATGTAAGGATTTTAGTTTTTTCTCACATATCTGAAAGGGGAAATATTTCTTCATGTTTGATCTAAACTTATGCTCCATCATTCTGTGTTAAAAGTACTTGACAAAAATATTTTTAAATGGCTAAGTCTCAGTTCAATAAAATCGTTTTGTCCTCATCATAACAATCATGGTTGTTCTTTTAAAGGTCGGGTAGTCAGGATCTGAGGAAGTGCCAGTTTTTGGGAGAAATCTTGAATGTAAACTCTACCCCTCCCAACCAGTTTTCCCCTCAGCTCCTCCTCTCCCCTCCCTCTCTGCTCCAGCAAGCCCCGCCCACAAACAGACGCTCCTACTCGCTCGTATCGTTCCAATTAAATTCAGATATAATGCAGATAAATACTTCAGATCATTACAAATGGGGCCCAGTCAAGGTGAAAGTCAGAAGCATTGGTGCTACTGTAGATGCCAACAGACTACCAGCAAACACAATGTTTGCAGGACTTCTACAACTAGGATAAAGTGACATAGTCCAGGACCCGAGGTCAATAGTTTAGCGATGGCGCTACAACACGCTACAGCAGGTCCGTTTGAGAAGAAACACTTCTGTTACAGACACTTGTCTTACTTTGTTAAAGCCGTTTACCTGTCCAGCAGAAAGGTTACAGGGTCACCAAGATCACCGATACTGTCCGATATTGTAGCACGCTAACTTTGTTTGGGCTCCTGAACGACACGGGGGAGCAGCGTCTGCCTCACAACCAATCAGGTTAGAGGAGGTGGAGAACGGCTTTGTTTACAGTCAGAAAGAGCGGACCGCTCAAAAATGTTAAAACATTGACTACACAGACATAAGAGAACACAGAGATATCGATATATTACCAAATGTCATCAATAACTAATAACTATTGACTGATATTAAAAGCTTTCTTGTACACACACCACAAAAAAGATGCCTCCCCCACCTTTAAGGTTGACTCTCAGTTGTTCTGTCTATGAAGTCGAGATACACTTTGACATAAAGTTGATCATTCTAATTTATATTCTAGAGACAGTCCTAGCAGTATGAACATATTGGCCCAACTCATGACATGTTCTTCATCTAAAATGTGTTTCGAGACTACATGTTTGGCTCACTTTTATTTTGGAAGGCAGGAAACACTCGTTACCCCGGAAGCAATGTCGGCTTCTTGCTAGCAGGCTAACTTCATTGAGTTTAACGGAATATTTTTTCAAATATAGAGTCCGTAGTTCTGTCAAAATGTCCAAAGTCCAAGAGCTGAGAGTTTTAGTGAACCAGAGACTGAGTGCAGCTGCTGAAGAGATCTTTGAGCTGTTTGAAAGAACGATATTAGAGTACGAGGAGAAACTCTGTGGATCTAAAGAGAATCAACACAAACTTCTGGACGCTGTTTACAACCCTGAAGTCCGCTTACACAGAGCAGGTTTGGACTGTTTTCATGTATTTTCAGTTTCAAACTCCTGGTTTGATTTTATGTCATAGTTTGTATCTTTGTCTGTAAAAAAGTAAGTGTGTCCTGTCATTGATTGGTGTTTGGCAGTAAGAGGAAGTGCAGTTCTACAGAGTATCCATTATTGAAGCAGGAGGTCATCTGAAATTAAGTCTAACAGTTTATTGTCACTTCACTCTGCCTGACATCCCAGAAACACAAAAACGAGGGACTTTATCAAAACCCAGCTGGGAAACAGAACAGAACTCTGATGACCTTAACACATGCAACACTTGTGTATGTGTAACACAATTTTCTCACAACTCGTTTTCCAATTTATTTACAGATATCGACCACTTAATAAAGAGTAAAGAAGAGCCTCTTCATCAGCAGCAGAAGAGGAGCCTCAGTCTGGACCAAGAGAACCCATTACAGATTAAAGAGGAACAAGAAGAACTGTGGAGCAGTCAGGAGGAAGAGCAGCTTGGAGGCCTGGTGGAGGCTGGTATCAACTCACAGATATTTACTCCTGTCCCTCTGAAAGGTGATGAAGAAGATCGAGAGGAACCTCAGTCCTCACAGCTTCATGAACATCAAACTGAAGAGAAAAGAGACACAGAGACTGATGACAGTTATGTTTGGGAGGAGACCAGTGAAACCCAGACAGGTGTAGACCCACTGCGAAATGAAGAAATGCCTCAAAGTGAGGACAAATACGATTATAGAAAAACATCAGCGAAGTCCTTTGAATGTGCCAGAAAAGCCGTCCGTATGAATCAAATTAAGATCTGTAAGAGAGTCCAAAGACCAGAGAAATCACTGATTTTCTCTGTTTGTGGTGAAAGATCCATTTCTAAGAGTAGTTTATCAGCTCACATGGCAGGTCATACAAAAGGTCATCGTTTCAGCTGCTCACTTTGTAAGAAAAGCTTCCCATTAAGATTTGAACTTGTAAGACACATGAGAAGCCACACTGGAGACAAACCCTTCAGTTGCTCTGAATGTGGCAAAAGATTCACACAGAAGTCAAATTTACAGCGACACCAACTTATCCACTCAGGAGACAAACCCTACAGCTGCTCAATTTGTGGCAAAAGATTTACACAGAAGTCAAATGTGTACCTGCACCGTGTAGTTCACACAAAAGAGAAAGCTTTTAGCTGTTTGGTTTGTCTGAAAAGATTCACTCAACTTTCAAGTCTCAAAAGACACAAATGTAAAGGAGTCGCTCTGTCGTGAGTTGTCTTCAGATGAAGTGCCAGAAGAAATTTTTACCAAAGAGATTTTGGCATTTTTTTCTCTCACATATCTGAAGGGGAAAAATATTTTTTCATGTTTGAGCCAAACTTATGCTCCATCATTCCGTGTTAAAAGCATTTAACTAAAATACTTAACAATGGCCAAGCCTCAGATGAGCTGAATATGCATTCAGGAAGTGTATTCAAGATTTGGACTTCCCCTTTTTCAATATGGACCTGAGAGGAAACGATTACTGTTAAGTCTCAGTTTGTCTCTGTTATTTCTGTCACTATCTCAATAAAAGTCCTTTATATGCGTTTTTTTCTTTGGTACAGTCAGAGTGGATTTATGGTTATCAAGCCACGTCTCCTCACACAGCAGCCTGTTGTTTTGTCCTCATCATAATTATCATGGTTGTTCTTTTAAGGTGCACTCTCAGTTGTTCTGTCTATGAAGTCAAGATAGACTTTAACATAAAGTGTATCAGTATAGATCATAAACCCCTCTTCCTCCAGTAAAATGACTGGAGCTGTGGACAAACTTTAAAAATTAATTACTCTGAATATTCATTTTTCTCTTTCCTGGTTGTGATGTAGACATGTCGTTGTTTTAAGACTTGTTTATGCTCAAGTCGTTATTTCTGTGAAGCTCTGTTTTTTTGTAGTTATTAGTGGTTTATGTTTTCTGTGATTGACATGTGATACAGCCTATGGACATAAGGTTACATAGGACGTCCAGGGGTTATACCCATAGATATGAATAGTAGATACCTATGCCTATGGTGAGGCTAAGCTAGTGGGGCCATCATTCCAATTTAAGGCAATGCATGTACATTGAAAATACATCATATCTTGCTCATTTCTCGACTGATTTCCATGAGGTTTACTTTATTACCATTGCCAAAACACGTGCTCTTCATACAGGCCATTTAATTCAAAAATATTTTAAAAAGTTCTGTTTTAATAGCACATGTATGTCCGTTGACAATGAAGTAAACTGTATGAAAATCGGTTCAGAAATGAGCAAGATATGATTTATTTTCAATGTACATGCATTCCCTTTTACGAGAACGTTGCCCCCACCAAGATGGCTGCCACGTAGGCACGTCGCAGAGCGTCATCTCAGCGACTCTCCCGCCGAATGCTACCGGGTTCATACTATCTACAGTCTATGGTGTGAAAATTTTGACCCCAAGTCATGACATGGTCTCTATCTAAAAGGTGGTTAAGATTAAAATGACGCTTGTCTTTGTTTAATCTGTGGTATTTATTTGACACGTTTAGGCCACTCTTATTTTGAAAGCCAGGAAACACTCTAGTGATGGGCACGGCAGTTCTTTTAGATGTACTGAATCACTAAAATCGGTTCACTAAAAGATTCGTTCAAAACATTCGTCCACCAAATCACCGAATCATTTAGCGCTTGGCGGAAAGAGCCTGTGACTCTGACCTCCTGAACTGATACACAGCTGAACGGTTCAGGATTCAGTTCAGTTCATAGCGTCTAGGTCCGGGAGACGAGTGTTTGTCTGTGTTTCTTTGGCAAACAGGTTTGTAAAAATGAACTTGTCTATAAGTCATGATGTTTTAAGTGTACTGTCCTATGGTATGCTATTTATCAGGTCTGCTCAGTAAATTGGGGTCAGTGAGTGATTCGTTCACTGAAAGTTTAGAAGAATTCACACTGAACATGCACCATTCCCTCACAAACAGCTGCAATAATAGGATGCTGTGGGTTTAATGCACTACTTGTTACATGCTGTGTTCTATTGTATGAAAGTTGTTGTGGTGGCAATTTAGCAGTGAAAAAAAAGTTAGTTTAGTCTGACAAAAATGATTCCAGAGAGTGTAGCTCAATGTGTGATTTGTTCACCAAATGATTCAGGCGTTGATACATGAAGTCCCTTGTTTGCCTGCTGCTGGCCTGGCAATGCTGTATCTCACTTCAGCTCAACTGAAGTGAGAAACGAAAGAATCACTTGAGTAAGTGATTCGGTTCAATGCGTTCACTTAAAAAATTCGACTATTTTGAACGAATCGTTCGCGAACGAAACAACACTAAAACACTCAGTAGTGGTGGGCAAAACCGGTCATTTCAGTGAACCGGATCATTCCGGGTCGGTCAGTAAAAAGACCCGTTCTTTTCGGTCATTTGTCAGCCCCCCCCCCCCCGCGGCCCGACGCTGTGACCACTGCCCACCCCCGGTCCACTCGGTCCAACGCTGCGATCTCACTGCACTACTTGTAATATAAAATTACAGTAGGACTAACAAAATATATACGGTATTATATTATTAATGGTTTGTATTATTTTGAGGTGCATTAAAAACAATAATAAAAAGTACAGACAACAGCAACAGACAGTGCAAATGCGTATTAATAGTTGTCTCTCTGCCTCTGGCTGCAGCAGCAGCTGTGTGCCTTTGTGTGTGTGTGACTGTCCCGCTCGCTCCGGCTCGGCTGTCGGGCCTCGTGCGGCGGCCACTCAACTCGGTCTTTCAGTCAACTCGTTCATCTGTCTGGATCTTTCGTTCACTCGGTCTCTCGTTCAACTCGTTCACCGTCTGGGTCTTTCGTTCACTCGGTCTTTCAGTCAACTCGTTCACCGTCTGGGTCTTTCGTTCACTCGGTCTCTCGTTCAACTCGTTCATCCGTCTGGGTCTTTCGTTCACTCGGTCTTTCGTTCAACTCGTTCATCCGTCTGGATCTTTCGTTCACTCGGTCTTTCGTTCAACTCGTTCATCGGTCTGGGTCTTTCGTTCAACTCGGTCTTTCGTTCACTCGGTCTTTCGTTCAACTCGTTCATCTGTCTGGATCTTTCGTTCACTCGGTCTTTCGTTCAACTCGGTCTTTCGTTCATTTGACCCGTTCTTTCAGTCAACTAGGTCTTTCGTTCATTTGACCCGTTCTTTCAGTCAACTCGGTCATTCCGGTCTTTCAGTCAGCTCAGTAGTACTGCTGCTGCTTCTCTAAGCCCCACCCACACTCAGAACGAGGCACGACGATAGGATAAGCCAGGCAAGCAGTCCCTCTTCAGCCAATCAAAAGAACTGAACGGTTTGAACGGGTCATTTGGAGGGGGAGAACTAGTTCATTTCGTTCATCAAAAAGAACTAGTTCTTTTGATCCGTTCGTTCAAGACCGACACACCACTAACACTCAGTATCCCAGTAACAGCGCCGGATTCTTGCTAGCAGGCTAACTTCTATTGTTTAGTAGTAATTCCACAAACTTATGGTTCAGTTGAAGAGAATGTTCACACAGCATGTCTGAGAGACAAACAAGTGGGTGGAATGTTTCACATTAAAATAATCATTGTTTTGTGAAGAATGTTTAATGAAGTTAGCTTAGCTTGTTAGCCTCGGAATCTTGGTTATTTTTTCCAGACAAAGAGTCCGTAGTTCTGTCAAAATGTCCCAAGTCCAAGAGCTGAAAGTTTTTGTGAACCAGAGACTGAGTGCAGCCGCTGAAGAGATCTTTGAGCTGTTTGAAAGAACGATATTAGAGTACGAGGAGAAACTCTGTGGATCTAAAGAGAATCAACACAAACTTCAGGACACTGTTTACAACCCTGAAGTCCGCTTACACAGAGCAGGTTTGGACTGTTTTCACGTCTTTTCCGTTTAAAACTCCTGCTTTGGTTTCGTGCCATAGTTTGTATCTTTGTCTACACTTCTGTATGTGTAGCACAATTTTTCCTTAAATTTTCCGATTTTCTCCACAGACATCCAGCACCTGTTAAAGAGTAAAGAAGAGCCTCCACATCAGCAGCAGAAGAGGAGCCCCAGACTGAACCAGGAGAACCCATTACAGATTAAAGAGGAACTGTGGAGCAGTCAGGAGGAAGGGCAGCTTGGAGGCCTGGTGGAGGCTGGTATTAACACACAGATATTTACTCCTGTCCCTTTGAAAGGTGGTGAAGAAGATAAAGAGGAACCTCAGTCCTCACAGTTTCATGAACATCAAACTGAAGAGAAAAGAGACACCGAGCATCTAAAAACAGTAACTCATGGAAAGGACTGTAGTGGATCAGATCTAGAGAGGAACTTGAATCCAGACTGTCTTTTCCACCCAGATTTTCAAGAAGAGGCTTTAAGTTCTGAATCTCACACTGATGACAGCAGTGGGTGGGAGGAGACCAGTGAAACTCAAACAGGTGTAGACCCTCTGAGAGACAAAGAAATGCCCCAAAGTGGAGAAAAAGAGGATTCTAGGAAAACATCAGCAAAGTCCTTTAAATGTGCTACAAAAGCTGGAAAAATAAAACAAAAAAAGAAACACAACAGCGTCCAAAGACAAGAGAAACCAGTGATTTTCACCACAGTTTGTAGTGAAAGATCCATTAATGAGAGTAGTTTATCAGCTCACACGGCAAGTCATACAAAATGTTATCCTTACAGCTGCTCATTTTGTAAGAAAAGCTTCCCATTAAGATTAGACCTTTTGAGACACTTAAGGATCCACGCAGGAGAGAAACCCTTCATTTGTTCTGAATGTGGCAAAGGTTTCACATTGAGATCAAAACTGCGTAGACACCAACAAAATCACACGGAAGAAAAACCCTTTAGTTGCTCCGATTGTGGGACAAGTTTCTCAATGGGTTCACAACTGCGTAGACACCAAATTATCCACACAGGAGAGAAACCCTTCAGTTGCTCTGAATGTGGCAGAAGTTTCGCACTGAGGTCGGGTTTGTACCGACACGAACTAATTCACTCAACAGAGAAACCCCACAAGTGTTCAGTCTGTTTAGCTGGTTTCCGTCAAAGAGCTCACCTGATGCGACACATTAGAACCCATACAGGGGAGAAACCCTTCAGTTGTTCTGTTTGTAGGAAAACATTTTCAGCACTTCGATCCTTGAAACGTCATTTGATTGTCCACACAACACAACAGTAGCTAAGTTGAAGGGTTTGTGACAGAAGACTTTCACATGTAATAAAACTTAAGTGTGAAAGGGTTGTCCTTTCTGAGTGTGAGTGGACACCAAACAGCAGCAGATATTTTCACTCAGTTAAATGATTCAAAAAGTCAATGGAAAGATTCAATTTTTGTAGAAGATTGATACCAAAGATGTTTATTCACATGAGTTTAAGAGTCAAATCAGGTTGATCCCAGCTCATCCAAAACAAAACAAGCATTTGCTGCCAATTATGATGAATCTCAGACTCACTGTAATCAGATGAACCAGTTCTCCCAGCTGAAGCAGAAGTGGTCGCTGTAGAAGATAAATTACTTACTTCATGATTCATCTTAACATCCATTATATTGTCCAGCGTTCTTAATTAATCACACTTAAGGGAGAGAAGAGTGGGAGGTTTGTGATCAGATGAGCCAGCACTCCCAGCTGAAATTAGATGGCAGTGGTGAGTATCAATCAGAGGATATCTCAAGGGATAAAATCAGTTCATAATTGATGGTGTCTTCCCCTGTTTATGTTGCCAGAGAGAATGAATAATTGCTTTATGTTTGAAAACATAATCCTGCGCTGAAACAACCTGACAGATGTTTTATTTGTGTGTGTGAACTGGCCTGTGTGGGGTTCCTACTTTCTGCAGTTGTCATGATCAGAACATGTTGAGAAAAGCCAGTGTCCTATATTTTTTTTCAGACTAAAGTGAATGCGTTCTTGTTATTTGTTTTAAATGTTCGAAAAATAAAGGATTAATTGGATGTTTGTTTGTTTTGTTTGGGGAAAGTAGGAGTCGTACATTTATTTGAAGCTTTAAAATCCTCTCTGTTATTTTTGCGAACAGATCATTAAAATCCTTAAGGTGTGCTTTTGTTTGTTTCTGTCAGTGTTTTCAAAGTTGTGAAGAAACATGTCTCCCAGTCCAACAGTGGAGCTCATCGATGCACTCTGCGAAGTAACTATACTTGGTCCCTAACCTTCCTTATGTACGACGGAGTTTTAAGGCCATATAATTAATTCACAAGAATAAAGTCATAATCAACTACTTCTACTGTATCTCCTTGCTTGAGAAACATATATTGAAAAACATTTTCACAAATTGCTTCATGGCTCTCATTTCAACAACTAATACTCCGTCGTACTTATGCCACTGCAACAGTCTTGAGTAAAGATAGACAAAAAAGTTATATATGATTATTTTGGTCCTTTCATCGACATTCATTCAGTCACACTTTTATGTGAACACATCATGACAGACATTTGGAAGACTTTTATTTTGAAGGTCAACCAAGACTGTGTGAACCCCGTCAGTGATGCTAACTCTGTCGTTATGATCTGTTTACTGTCAGATAGGAAGAAAAACAACCAGAGCCTGTCTTTAAATGGATTTTACTCACAGTTTTTTTTCTGTTTCACCTCAAAAAGGAGCTTCATGTTTTATAAAGTTAACTCGGTGTGAAATGAAGAAAAATAGAAGACGAGGCCAAAACCTTAGCAGCGAGCTAACATAAGGTAGCAGACAGAGAATAAAGCAGTGTTTCAGGAGGAAGAGCTGCTGTAATTTTACAAATATGTCAAAAGTCTAAGTGCTTAAAGAGATGATCGATCAGCTGTTTGAAAGAGCACGAGGAACAAATCTGATCCGATCCGATCTGATTTACAACCATGAAGTCTGATCACAGAGCAGGTTTGTACTGTTTTTATTCCTATGTTTTATAATTTAGAGTTATAGGTCAGAATGTTCGATTTCTCAATCATTTGCAAGTGCAAAAACTGGAAAAAATGTTAAATGAAATTGAAGATATATTCTTTTTACATGTTGATCCAAGCAACATGTTTCAAGAACGTTGGGACAGATATAATAACACAGATAATGCTTTGTAATTCTGGAGGAACACCAAATTTACCTGCAAATGAGGTCAACCTCCATTAGGTTAGTCACAAGACAGGGTATAAAAATGACATTTTAAAGGCACAGCTGGGTAGAAAATAGACCCTCTCTGTGTCTCTCATGATGGCCGGGGAGATGCACACACAGCTTACACGAAGGAAAAATCCTGCTTAGTTTTTATATTTGTTTTCATTTTTATACAGGTTGTGCTAAACATTATGTACAAGCTGAGAGTGTGGCTGACCCTTTATAGTCAAATAACTTTAAAACTTGTGCAAACTTGATTGATTGAAGTTTATTTTGAATATGCAAACCAAAAATATAAAAAACAGAAGAAAAATAAGGCAAAACATATAAACATAAAACATAGAAATACATATTCAAAAAGGAGAGAGAAGAAAAACTTATGAACTCCCACCCCTTCCCTTTAAATAAGAAGTACCCACACCAAGCTTCCTTCAACTTGTTCAGATGTACCTGATAATTATAGATAAATAAAGTTGAACTTTGCTTTAACTCCATGGAAAACCTGAAACACAAAAAACCCTTCCTCTTTGTCCAAATTAAAGTTAATTTTTCCCCTTAAATTATAACTTCCCTCATGCATACTGAATAATTTCTGTATATTTATTGGCAGATGATTACTTTTAGCTTTAAACATGATTTGAGCTGTTTGATAATCTACAATCTTTGTGAATTTTAACAACTTGGACTTGCACTTGTTTGTATGTCGTGATTCTCTGCAGACTTCCAACAGCTGACGGTGACTAAAAGAAGAGTTTCCTTTGAGCAACAGAAGAGGAGCTGTGATTTGGACCAGGGGGACCCAACAGAACCAGCACACATTAAAGAAGAGCAGGAAGAACTGTGGACCAGTCAGGAGGGTGAGCAGCTTCAGGGACCGAAAGAGGCTGATATCAGCACATTTATATTTATTCCTGTTTCTGTGAAGAGTGAGGAACATGATGGAGAGGAACCTCAGTCCCCACAACTTCATAACGACACAGAGAATTTAAAAACTGAAGTTGATTTGGAGGACTGTGAAGGATCAGAACCGGACAGGAAATCTAATCCAGACAGTTATTTACAACCAGAAACTCGCGGTGAGACCTCACACTCTGAATCGGAGACTGATGACAGCTCTGAATGGGAAGAGACAAATGGATCTGAGTCAACTTTAAACCCTCTGCCAAACAAAAGACTACCTTCAAGTGATGAAGAATATAAAACTGGAAGAAAATCAGTCATCTCCTCCGACCAAATGGACCAACTGCAGAAACGTAACAGAATCCAAAGTCAAAAGAAACCATTCGGTTGTTTGGTTTGTGGAACAAGATTTTGCAATAAGAAAAGTTTATCGATTCACATGATCCTCCATACAAAAGGAAAAGGATTCAGCTGCCCAGTTTGTAAGAAGAAATGTTCTCTGAGAGCTCATCTTATGGAGCACATGAGAATCCACACAGGAGAGAAACCCTTCAGTTGCTCTGTTTGTGATAAGATTTTCACGAGAAAGTCAAATCTGTACCAACACCAACAAGTTCACACTGGAGAGAAACCCTTCAGTTGTTTGGACTGTGAAGCTACTTTCCTGCACAAAACTAACTTGGTTGCTCACAGGAGAATCCATTCAGGGGAGAAACCCTTCTGCTGCTCAGTCTGTGGTAAAAGTTTCACACAGAAGTCAACTTTACACAGACACCTAAAAGTTCACACTGGAGAGAAACCCTTCAGCTGTTCTGTTTGTGGGAAAAGATTTACAGAACATCGAAGTCTGACACATCACTCGGTTGTTCACACAGGAGAGAAACCGTTTAGTTGCAAAGTTTGTGATGAAAGCTTTGCTCGACTTTATCATCTGAAGAAACACAAGTGTGCTGTTGAGGGCGGCGCAAACAAATGAAGAAACAGAGGTGTTTTTTTTCTTGCAGGATTACTTGACTGTTCATAAAATCTTACTTATTATAATTTGAATTAAATTTCCATTCATCTTTTCTAATAACCACAGAACTGGTGCCCAGTTTGAGCAGATCTATGTTCCTCTCCTTTAAGGGATACTCCGGCGTAAAATTAAGTTAGGGTCAAACACACAGTAACATTGACCTAGACACCCCCCTCCAGAGATGAATGTTGCCGACCGCTTGTTTCTCTAGTTATACCAACTTTAGTAACGACCACACAATAGCGATACATAGCGGTGCCATAAACAAACCTCAACCAAAACGCCACTCTATAGCCACAAATAATGCTCCGAACAGCACCTAACTTCATCAACAGGACATATAGGGTCCAAGCCATAGTACTAGACACCAAACATCTTTTTAACTTTGACTAATTTCTTTAGCAAAGAGACTAAACACAACTCACCTACTCTCTTCCAGCAGCTGCTTGTTTGTAGTGAGACCTCAGGCCAGTCCATTATGGACTACAGCGGGGTGACGCAGCTCAAGGAAGAACATTAATGATCATTTCTTCATCATTTCCTTTAATTAATAATCTTCATATGAATCATTTTGCACTATTTTGCATAATTATAAAATACATAATGAATGAAGAATGCAGTCAGAAATTTGAGGAAAACTGTTGAGATGAAGGAAATTAGATCTCCGGGTTATGAGTAAACTCCTCAAAAAATTCACAACTTCACATTTAATCTGGTTTCTACTTTCTCCAGTGTAAATCAAATAAACACTGTTTGACGCTTCATTGGTCTTGATTCCTCATTTCAGTTCCTGTGAATTAAATGGTTACATTTGACCACATCTTAGTAAAAACAGTATTGAATTTTAAAAATTGACTGGGGATATTGAATTGCTTTTAATGGCATTTTACAATTTTCAGAGCTCTGTCAAGATTCAGCTTTTTTTTTTTTTTTACAGACTTTTTTTTACCCATCTGTTTTCCTCCTGCTTTGACTCAATTTATCAATCAGTCAATTAATCAAATTTTAATTTGCAACAGTCGTAATCCCAAGACAAATTTAATGCATCAGTAAATAATTATACTAATAGAATTGGGGTAGAATGGACTATAAGTAGTAAAAAGAACACCAATGATTATAATTTTAACATTAACCAATCTTTTATACGTTTTAAAATTGTGGTATGTTTACTTAATTTAACGATCCGGGTGTTATACTTTTCTCTTGCTTTTATTTTGAAGGTCAGGAAGGAGTTGGTGACCCGGAAGCATTGTTAGTGGAAGTCGTAAACAGACTAACGCTTTACGTTTTTATCCACTTTTATTGTTAAGATAGAGCCGTGAGGACTGTCCAAATGAATCAACGTTTATTAATGACTTTCTCTACAATTTAATAATATTTGATACAAAGTTAATAACATTTTAATCGACGCGGTTTGATCATGTTAACGTAGAGTGTTAGCCTGAAAGCTAAGCGGTAAGCTAACGTAACTTAACCAAACAGAGTGAAACAAACTATTTTATGGAGTATATCAGGAGGAAAAACTGCTGTTACTTTATATATAAAAAGATGTTTTAAAGTCCAAATCAACCAGAGACGAACTGTGGAAATAACGAGAGAGAGAGAGGAGCAACTCTTCAGGTTTGTTCAGTTTTATTATTTTATCAGGTTTTATTCTCATTTTCTCATTAAAAACATGGAACCAACAGTTGAAGGTTGTAAATGACCCAGTTTAAGAACTATTGATGTGAATATATGTGTTTAATGATAGGAATAAGTTAACCATCATGAGAGAGACTGTGTGAATAAACAGTGCGGTAATGTTTTTAGGTGTAAAATTGCAAAGAAATAAAGAACCAGTGAAAACACAGATGGACTCCAGCTCATCTACTGCCTTAGGAGTCACTTAGCTCCCAGTTTCTGTCCCTCTACTCAATGACAACCAGAAGCTATCCTGGCCCTGCTGCCTCTGCTAACATTCTGACCAGTAGGTCTGGTGGTGTTTGGCAGTTGTGGTGTTGCAAAAAGCACTGGGTAATAGATGTATGTTTTGTAAATACAGTCTATGGTCACATCTTTTGGCTGTATAACAATTAAATATTCATGGAGAAAGAGTGTGATTTAATGAGTTTGTACCTTTTCACACTTGTTTTCTTAAGCTCCTTAAGGGACAGGATGCTCCACCCAAAGTGTGTGACGGAGAGGTATCGCAGGTCGTTCCTTCCTGCACCTGTCAGACTCCACAACAGGAACCTCAATGTGCAATAAATCCTATTATAATGTAAATTCTGTACAAATGTAAATTATGACTCATGAACATGTCTTTTTAACTCAAAGTTTCTTTATCCATTTTCCTCTTGTTGTATCTACACTATGCTTCTGTAAATTTGGAATTTGCCCTCGTGGGACTATTAAAGGAACATCTTATCTTTATCTCTTATCTTTTCACAGTCTGAATCAAATCTTCCAGTGTTGGACAGGTTTTTTTGCATTATGATTTGTTTGTAGTGATTGAATTGACCGCTTCTTTGGGTTAACATTTCCTTTTTACATGTTGGAAAATTTGTCAAATTTCATGGTTAAATGTCTGCCACATAAATAGTGATTTGTAAAACTTGTTTGTATTTCATATTTTTCAACAGATGTTTAGAAGCTGGGAGAAAAAATGAAGGATCCCTCTGAGCAGCAGGAAAGGAGCCTCAGTCTGGACCAGGAGGACCCGCCGAAATCACCCCACATTAAAGAGGAACAGGAGGAACTGTGGAGCAGTCAGGATGGAGAGCAGCCTCAAGGGCTGGATGAGACTGAAATCATCAAGTTCACATTCAATCCTGTCTCAGTGAAAAGTGAGGAAGAGGATGATGAAGAGGAACCTCAGTCCTCACAGTTTTATGCAAACCAGACTGGAGAGAACAGCGATGAAGAGCACTTGAAAGCAGAAGCTGATGGAGAGGACTGGGGAGAACCGGTTTTAGGTTTTAACCCTCGACCAGTTTCTCATGAGGAGACTTCCTACGCCGACTCTGACACTGATGACAGTAATGACTGGGATGAGACCAGTGAACCTGAACCAGGTTTAAACCCTTTACAGAACAACCTAGTTTCTGCAAGTGATGAAGAATCTAACCCTGACAAAACAGCAGTGAGCTCCTCTGACTGCTCTACAAGTTCTGGACGGAGGAGACAGCTGCAGAAACACAATGGAGTACAAACGGGGGAGAAACCGTTCAGTTGTTTGGTTTGTAGTAAAAGGTTTGGCAACAAGAGATGCTTATCAGCTCACATGAAGCGTCACACGAGAAGACATTTCTTCAGCTGCTCAGTTTGTGAAAAGAGTTTTCCGATGAGAGGAGAGCTTGTGGAACACATGAGAACCCACACTGGAGAAAAACCCTTCAGTTGCTCTGTTTGCGGCAAAAGTTTCACGCAGAGGTCAAGTTTTTACTCCCATCAACACATTCACACGAGAGAGAAACTCTTCAGTTGCTCAGTTTGTAAGGCAAGTTTCTGTCGTAATCTTAGTTTAGTCGAACACATGCGAATCCACACAGGGGAGAAACCGTTTAGCTGCTCCGTTTGTGGGAGAAGTTTTTCACGTCGTTCGAATTTATACTCACACCAACAAGTTCATACGAGTGAAAAACTCTTTAGTTGTTCAGTTTGTAAAACGAGTTTTCAACGCAAAACTTATCTGGTCGAACACATGAGAATCCATACTGGAGAGAAACCCTTCAGTTGTTCAGTTTGTGGGAGAAGTTTTGCCAGTGGTTCAAATTTACACAGACACCAACAAGTCCATAAAGAAGAAAAACTCTTTAACTGTTCGGTTTGTAAAGCAAGTTTCCGTTGCAAAACTTATTTGGTTGATCACATGAGAATCCACACGGGAGAGAAACCGTACAGTTGCCCTATTTGTAGTCGAACTTTCACACAGAAGTCGGGTTTGTACTCACATCGTCAGGTTCATTCAGGAGAGAAACCCTTTGAGTGTTCAGTGTGTAAGAAAAAATTCACTCGGCTTTTGAGTCTCGACCGACACATATGCAAAGGGTTTGTCCCGTCTGAGAGCCAACTAAACTACAGCTGAAATAGTTATGTATCGAATAGATAGTTGTACATTCTGTATCAGACTTTTTTAAAGAGGGGGTCATAGGAAACAGGCCATCCACTTGAGGCACAACTTCTGTTTATTAAACCTATGGGTTTACGATGTCCCTCTATTCTGGTAGCTCTGTGAAGATATCAAAAATAACATGTAAGTGTTTTTTTCTATTATTATTATTATTTTAGTATTGTACTTTTGTTGATGCTAATGAAGGCAGAGAAAGAAAATGGAAATAACAGAAATAAGGTAAAAGGTGTGGCTCATTGATCCCCCCTTAAAGGGATATTCCGGTGTAAAATTACTTCATCATTTCCTCGGTATGATTGTATTTCCATGAAGAAATGATCATAAATGTTCTTCCTTGAGCTGCGTCACCCCGCTGTAGTCCATAATGGACTGGCCTGAGGTCTCGCTACAAACAAGCAGCTGCTGGAAGAGAGTAGGTGAGTTGTGTTTAGTCTCTTTGCTAAAGAAATTAGTCAAAGTTAAAAAGATGTTTGGTGTCTAGTACTATGGCTGGGACCCTATATGTCCTGTTGATGAAGTTAGGTGCTGTTCTGAGCATTATTTGTGGCCATAGAGTGGTGTTTTGGTTGAGCGCGTGGCTCTCTGTATTGCTATCCTGCGGTCGTTACTAAAGTTGGTATAACTAGAGGAGCAAGCGGTCGGCAACATTCATCTCTGGAGGGGGGGGTTCTAACTCGGTGTGACGGTGTGTTTGACCCTAAATTAAGTTTACGCCGGAATATCCCTTTAAAATGACCATGCTTGGGGTTGGTCCTACCGTGGCGACAAGGTTTAGAGACCCTCACATCTTCAGACAATCACAAAGTGAGAGAGAGAAAGCCTGCTCCTGCACTGTCTCTGTTTTTGTTTGTAAAACGGTTTGTCATCTCACCTCATCCACTCACAGATCACCTGTTGTGTTGCATAAAATTGAAACATTTCAAAACTTGAGATGTGTCATATGGTTGTGTTTTTCTACTGCTGGTCCATGTTGTCAAAAGACAATAAAAGAGTGTTGCCATGTGCTTTTTGATGCAGAAGTTTCTTTTAATATGAATAAATCTATCACACATTCATGTTACCATATCAGCTGAGTTGGTAGAATGAACTCCAGACGATAAAAGATGAAATGGAAAATGTCTTTTTGTCTCATTTACACGAGTTTTACGCAATTTCAGATGATCTAATATATAAAAATACTACTCAGACAGAGAGAGGTTGATACATTTCTCTAACACGAGTCTGCCTCATAGTTTCTTCAGCAGTGAAAGTAATTACAGGCCCAACTTTATGTCCAGGGATTCAAGCTTTATTTTGAAGGAGACCCGGAAACAATGTATGCTAAAGTTGCTAACGTTTTAACTCTTCTTAGACATTTCATAAATGTTGCCTTGAGATCCAGTTTTGGATAACCAAACCACGTTCACAGACATTTTTAATCGGACTTTGTTCGTAGTTTAAAGATGTTTTCCATTAAAATCATCATATTTTAGGTTTCAGTCTTTAGCTTTGTTAGCTTAAAGGAAGTTTAGCTGCTAGCTAACGTAACTGAGTGTTTCTGGAGAAAGAGAGTCTGTGGGTTCTTCTAAAAATGTCTAAAGTCCAAATACTGAAGGTTTTCATCAACCAGAGACTGAGTGCAGCTGCTGAAGAGATCTTTGAGCTGTTTGAAAGAACGATATTAGAGTACGAGGAGAAACTCTGTGGATCGAAAGAGAATCAACACAAACAGATGGAGAACCCCAACAGAGCAGGTTTGTTCTGTTTTACAGTTTTAAAGGTTATACAAAGTTTTTTTTGGGAGGGGGGGTGGTACCTTGCGGATTTTAATGTTGAACTTAAGAAGAAATTGTTACAGAGTTGTTAGACCAAACTATGGTCATAATAAAACAATTGTTCTTAAGACATCATCATAATAGCTGAATATAATACAAGATCACACCTGTTTCACTCTACATCAGAAATATTACTTTTAAAAGTGTTCAGGCGTGTTTATTGTTTCTTATTTACATGCTTTATGTGTAATTTTGTATTTCTGTCCACACTTTGTGTTTGTACGCGACCAAATGGGCTAAAAGTGCAGTAGGCAGGATTCTGTTAAAGAAGCATCTTTTTTTGTGGTGAATTTACAAAAAATCCTTTAATATCAGTCAATAGTTCTCAGTTATTGATGACATTTGGGAATATATCGATATCTCTGTGTTCTCTTATGTCTGTGTCGTCACATTTTAACATTTTTGAGCGGTCCGCTCTTTCTGACTGTAAACAAAGCCGTTCTTCACCTCCCCGACCTGATTGGTTGTGAGGCAGACACTGCTCCCCCGTGTCGTTCAGGAGCCCAAACAAAGTTAGCGTGCTACAATATCGGACAGTAGAAACCAACCAGAAAGTTCGGAAAACTGTCAGAATCCTCCTTTGGCCATGACTGCCGACACAAGCAAGAAAACAAAGTAAATACCGGAGACTCTGGAGGAATAACGGGCGCTTAAAACGGAGGTAGACCGGACAAGAGCTAAAAAGCCGGGTCAACATAAACCATGGGGGACGCTTGGGGATCTTGGTGACCCTGTAACCTTTCTGCTGGACAGGTAAACCGCTTTAACAAAGTAAGACAAGTGTCTGTAACAGAAGTGTTTCTTGTCAAACGGACCTGCTGTAGCGTGTTGTAGCGCCATCGCTAAACTGTCCTCCCTCAGGTCCTGGACTATGTCACTTTATCCTTGTTGTAGAAGTCCTGCAAACATTGTGTTTGCTGGTAGTCTGTTGGCATCTACAGTAGCACCAATGCTTTTGACTTTCACCTTGACTGGGCCCCATTTGTAATTATCCGAAGTATTTCTTTGCATTATATCAGAATTTAATTGGAACGATACGAGCGAGCAGGAGCGTCTGTTTGTGGGCGGGGCTTGCTGAAGCAGAGAGGGAGGGGAGAGGAGGAGCTGAGGGGGAAACTGGTTGGGAGGGGTAGAGTTTACATCCAAGATTTCTCCTAAAAACTGGAACTTCCTCAGATCCTGACTACCCCACCTTTAATTATTCAGGTCCTTTTAAAAAGGCCCATTGGACAGGTGTTATAAAGCAGTTGTGGGGCAGTTCAATAAGACAACACAGGATTGGAGACAGCTGATAGTGCAAAAAAAACTATTCAGATCTGATAAACAATAGCAGAATATTGAGCTCTGTCAGCAGTTTAAAGAGAAGATATTTTATCACTTCCAACCTTCGCACATCAGTCAAAGATCTTTCTTTGTCCCTCTAAAAATAAAATATAATAAAACAGTGATATCAGTGGTTTTAATAACAATCTTTGTTGTTCTCCACAGACATCCAGCAGCTGCAGGTACATAAAGAAGAGGTTCTGTCTGAGCAGCAGAGGAGTAGTACCAGTCTGGACCAGGAGGACCCAATAAAACCACCACATATCAAAGAAGAAGAGGAGGGACTGTGGGCCAGGCAGGAGGGAGAGCAGCTTCAGAGACGAGAGGAGGCTGAAATCAGCATGGTAACATTAATGCCTCTTCCTGTGAAGAGTGAAGAAGGTAGAAAACAAACTGAGGAGAACAGAGATGGAGATCATTTGAAAACAAAAGTTGATGGAGAGAGCTGTAGAGGATCAGAACCAGACATGGACTTTAATCCTGGAAGACATGTGCAACTCGCTACTGATGAGGAGACTTCACCCTCTGACTCTGACACAGACGACAGCAGCTGGGATTGGGAGGAGATCAGTGAACTGCGCTCAAGTTTCAACTCTCAGCAAAACAAAGAAGAAACTTTCAGTAACGCCGAGTGTAGTACTGTAGAAACATCTGTGAGCTCCTTTGAATGTGCCGCAAGTTCTGGGCAAAACGAACATCTACAAGACAAAGGGATCCAAACAGAAGAGAAACAGTACAGCTGCCACATTTGTGATAAAAGATATTCAAGTAAAAAATGTTTACAAAAACACACCATACGTCATTCAGAAGAAAAAAGTTACAGCTGCTCCGTTTGTAAGAGAAGCTTTAACTGGAGAGGAGAGTACGTGAGGCACATGAGAACGCACACGGGAGAGAAACCTTACAGCTGCTCCGTTTGTGGTAAAAGATTTTCACTCAATGGAAACCTGACACAACATTTTGCCGTCCACACGGGGGAGAAACCGTTTAGTTGTTCAGTTTGTGGTCACAAATTCACACACCGAGGAGCACTGAACAGACACTCTGTTGTCCACTCAGGAGAGAAACCGTATAGTTGCAGCATTTGTGGCAGGAGGTTTGGTCTTCCACAATATGTCAAATTACACAAGTGTGGAAGTAAAAACAGCAGATGTAAATGATTCCTCTAGATTCTCACAGGACCAGAGCTTATCTTAATATTTACTGTTTTTAAAATGGACTTTACACACAGGGAAACTTGGTCATTCAAAACTCCATTTACATTCTAAAAATCTTTACTCAAGCGCCCTTAATGTCTGTTTTTGTCATCATCTTTGCCACAACAAAACAAATAGTCACACGACTGATTTTCATGATGAAGTAATTTATACACATGCTTTCATTTTTATAAGTAATTCTAATTTATATGCATGATTTCATTATTTTAAATTCAAGTGTTAAGATTTGATTATAAGGGTACTGAAAACATGATTTTATCTAAAATGAGTTTCCAAAAAGACTTGGATTGTTTTATTCACAAAGCTTTTCTTGACATTGTTTTCAAAAAAGTCAAACTGTTTACAATTTATGTTCAGAAAAAAATAAAGACAAGTGTGATCCAATAAAAGACTCAACAAAGATTTTTATAAGTTCATCCTGATAAAGCCGAACTCTGCTCTAAGTCTGGACACGATCCCTCAGTCTACCTGTTTTTGGGGGGTGGTTATGTTCTCAGATTCTCAGATTTTTCATTCTCCTCAGTGCCTCTATGAGCATGGATCTACTGTAAATAAACCTCACAGATGTGTGTCTACTAGATGAGTGTCAGAAAAAAATATCTGGTTTGGGGTCTGACAGACCTATGAGGAGGATTAGGGCCAAAAAAAGGGTCAGAATTCTGTCTTTAATCTCAGGATTTAGAAAAAAAAGGTCAAATTAAAAAAAAAAAAAATCCTTATTGTCTGGAAAACGTATGACAAAGTATTAGAGCCACATTAAGAAAAAAAATTGAGCGCTTTGAGATTAAAATAATTACTTACAAGTATAAAGTCGTAATAGAGTAATTACTTATGAGGATAAAGTCAGAATAGAGTCCTCCAATTCTAACCTGTTGTTTAAGATGACAGTTGTTAAAGTGAGCGACATGGAGTATTTCGTGAAAATGAACTTTAATATATGTTTCTCAAACAAGGAGATACTTCATCTTTTGGCACATCAGCGCCACATTATCATAAGAATAGTGGTAGAAGTAGTTGATTATGACTTTATACTCAAAAGTAGTTTTTTTTCTTAATGTGGTCCTAATACTCCGTCGTAAGAACATGGATAACGATAACTAAATGCCACTGCAGGAGTCAATTTGGTCCACAGGGTGGCAGCAGCGGGACACGAACACATCGTACGGTTGAACCAAACCGTAGAAGAAGAGTTGGAGCAGCTGAAGCCGTCAGTCAGTTATTTACATTAAATCACCAGAAAATTAGCTTGAAATGTGTTATATTGATATGCTAATGTTCGAAGGACTTCCTTGAATAGATGTTTTTAAATCTCTTTTTTTAATATATATATCAGACTCCTTTACCGTTTAACGGTAATGATGCATGAAGTTAGCTTAGCTTGTAGCTTTCAATAGACGATAACAGAAGGAGACAGGCCTTGAGGAGGAAAAAGAGATTGAAACACACTTGTAGTGAGCGGATTATACATTTAGTCTTTTTTAGATGTTGATGTGAAATTCTAAAAAATGTCTAAAGTCCAAAAACTGAGAGTTTTAGTGAACCAGAGACTGAGTGCAGCTGCTGAAGAGATCTTTGAGCTGTTTGAAAGAACGATATTAGAGTACGAGGAGAAACTCTGTGGATCGAAAGAGAATCAACACAAACAACAGATGATGATCACAGAGTTACACACAGACCTGACACAAACAACAGGTTTGTACCGTTTTATTTTTATGAAAACAGCTGTTTTCTTCTTTCCGTTGTTTATGATTTGAATAGGGGAGAGTGGGGAAAGATGAGACATTTTTCATATTTCGGATCACTACATCAAGTCAGTGCTAGTTTTGTCTCTAACTAGTGTATCTGCATATACAAGATGTTCATCCCTGCAAACCAACAGAATGAGTTTAAACAGAACTGTCTTGATAATATAACATGCCAAAAAAGTGGTCTCCTATACCTTCTCTCTGTCCCTAAATAACAGTCACTTCTCCACAATCATTTTTACCCATTATACACTATTCAACTGGTACAATAATTATTTTTATTCTAATTACATATAACTGCTAAAAAGCTGTTTTCTAAAATAAACATTTAAACATGAGAATGTCCTTAAGTGATGGGGGGGGGGGGTTATAATCAGTAAATTTCAGTTTTCAAAAACCTGTTCGTTTTATGATCAGATGTTCTTTTACACAGACACAGGTTTTTTTAATTACCTTGCTGACATGTTTGGACGTGCTGGCAGCAGTCTTCCTCAGAGTGTTAGGTGATGGTTGTGTGACGCGTCTTAAAACAGCTGATGTTTCTTAAGGTGTGACCTTTCCGTCAGTTTGACAGATCAGTCAGCAAGGTAATTAAAAAAACCTGTGTCTGTATAAAAGAACATCTGATCGTAATTTATCAAAACAGACACAATGAACCTAATCCAAGAATTGTGTTTGTTTGTTTTGGTGCACAGATTCCCAGAAGCTGTTGAGTAAAGGAAAGGTTCTCCCTGATCAGGAAAGGAGCCTCATCCTGGACCAGGAGAACCCACCAAAACCACCACACATTAAAGAGGAACAGGAGGAGGAACTGTGGAGCAGTCAGGAGGGAGAGCAGCTTCAAGAACAAGAGGAGGCTGATATCATCAAATTCACATTTACTCCTGTCCCTGTGAAGAGTGAAGAAGATGAGGAGGTGGAGGAGAAACCTCAGTCCTCACAGTCTCATCGAACACAAACTGAAGAGGACAGAGAGGAAGATTGTTTTAAATTAGAGGCTGATGGAGAGGACTACGAAGAATCAGAACCAGACAGGAACTTTAACCCAGACAGTCATTTACAACCACTTCCTTCACACTCTGAATCAGAGACTGATGAGAGTAGTTGTGATTGGGAGGAAACCAGCGAACCTCAGTCAGATGAGTTCAGTCTCATTAACAAAGACGTGTCTGTCAGTGATATGGAATATAACACTGGAAATACCTCTCTGAGCTCTGAATGTGCTACAAGCTCGACTGAACCGCAGAAACAGAAAGGAATCCAGACAGGAGTGAAACCGTTCAGCTGCTCATTTTGTGGCAAAAGATATCCTCAGAAGATCTCCTTAACGAAACACATGAAACGTCACTCTGAGGGGACGTGTTACAGCTGCTCAGTTTGCCAGAAAAGTTTCCCTTGGAGAGGCGAGCTGGTGCGGCACATGAGAATCCACACGGGAGAGAAACCCTTCAGCTGCTCTTCATGCGGCATCGGGTTTTCCCAAAGGATACATTTGACCTCACATTTAAGAGTTCATACCGGAGAGAAACCGTTCACCTGCTCTATTTGTCAAACAAGTTTCAGCATCAGAAAGAATTTGGGTATACACATGAGAATCCACACGGGACAGAAACCCTTCAGTTGTACGGTTTGTGGGAAAAGATTCACACGGCGTGGAGGTCTGACACGTCACTCCGTCGTGCACACGGGGGAGAAACCGTTCAGTTGTTCGTTCTGTGATGAAAGTTTTGCTCATCTTGTAACTCTGAAACGTCACTTGACTGTCCACACAGGGGAGAAACCATTTAGTTGCAGCGTCTGTGACAAAAGATTTGCTCGGCTTCAGTACCTTAAAAAACACAAGTGTGTCGTCGAGGGCGGCATAAATAAGTAGAGCTCATGAACTTCACAATAAGTTGCATTATCAGCTGATAAGAAGCTGCATTATCATTTCAGTTCTCTTTTATTGCTTCTGTATAATTTAATTATTGATGTACTGTGACTGTGGTTGTGCATGCGTCAATTTTAAAGTCATATTTAAATAATTAAACGGGATATACACATACACACCAACATAATGCTGCTGTTGTTAATAAATGCTGTTTGACACTCAGTTGGTCATGGCTCCTCACTTCTTATAAATCATTAAATTTAGAAAATTGTCTCATCAGCAACATTTTCCTCCTCCAGGGGGAATTCATAGTGATGCATTAAACTGACCTAAAAAAAGATCATTAACCTATATGTACAGACAGTAAATATTGATACTGGTATCATACTGATACGTGAATAGGTCACATAGATCTGAACCACACAGTTCATTGAATAAACAAGCACTCAACTGTTGAGTAGTCCTAAAGTAATTATTAGGAAACAGTCGAAAAAGTGTGTATCACTAAATAGTACAGATTTGACCGCTAAAGACATTCAAGGAGAAAACATTAAACTTTCTTTGTCAGGATTATTGGGAAAAATGATAATAATAATAATGATAATAATAATAATAGCAAAAACAATAATAATAACTGTATTTTTGTAGCTCACTTTTGTAGAAGTTTACGAAGTGCTTTAAGAAGAAGAAATGTAATAAAAGGGGGGTAGAAAGCAGGAAACAGGATAGTAAATATAAAAAGAGGATATTAATAATGATAATAAAATCATAATAAATTTAACTAATAAAATGGAATAACAAAAATGAGCAGGAAAAAAATCAATAAAATCAAAAAAAGGCCTAAAAGGTAAAATAAGAAAAGATTGTGAGTAAAACAAAGGCTAAAAGGAGAGTAAGTCAAAATAAGTTAATAGAGGTAAAAGAGATTAAAGAGAAACAACAGGTCAGTATATGTGGTGAGAATATTAAGTTTAAAAGAATCCTGGTTTGTTAAAATGAACGAGAGCGCTTCATCAACACTCCAGTCCTCTTGGCGGCGGTAGTGCGCCTCTGAACTGGTTTACCAACCCTCATTAACAACGAAGAAGAAGAAAAAGCGGAAACGTTAAAGAGAAAAAGATCACCGAGCAGACCTTTACTGACTGTTTACCTTAATATGCATCTGATTAAAACACCAACGACTGTATAAAAGGACACATTAGCTATTTCTGACTTTGTGTAACCTCTCTGTGTTGTTAAAACCAGACTTGTAATCCGGCTGTTGTAATGCTACATGTAGTTAGCTCGTTAGCTTTCAGGAGGCGGTGACGGTTAAATCTGAACAGGCCTGAAGAGTCAAAGTCCAGATTTACCCCGAGGAGGGTTTTTTTTAAGTCTGTAATAAGGATTTGAAGGACTTTAAAAACATGTCTAAAGTCCAAAAACTGAGAGTTTTAGTGAACCAGAGACTGAGTGCAGCTGCTGAAGAGATCTTTGAGCTGTTTGAAAGAACGATATTAGAGTACGAGGAGAAACTCTGTGGATCTAAAGAGAACCAACACAAACAGATGATCACTGACCCTCTACAGACAGCAGGTTGGTACTCTTTTATTGATATATAGTTAGTTTATAATGCACAGACATCAGCTTCTATTCTTCTTAAATGTCTGTAACCTTGGATTGAGTTCACTTTGTGGTCATGGAAGATTCTCACGATGCTGTTTTGAACATAAACTCAACATTATGATGAGTTCTAAAAATACATATATACTGTAGATATCTACAGTTTACTATATACTGTAGGCTACTACTCTTCAAGCTGACAGGAAGACCGACTGATCAAACTCAGGCCAGAAAAGCGTTTTCAGCTGCCCACCAAACTAGCCACCAAACATCTTTTTAACTTTGACTAATTTCTTTAGCAAAGAGACTAAACACAACTCACCTACTCTCTTCCAGCAGCCACTTGTTTGTAGCGAGACCTCAGGCCAATCCATTTGGGACTACAGCGGGGTGACGCAGCTCAAGGAAGAACATTTACAATAATTTCTTTATCATTTCCTGAAAGTAATAATCACCAAATTAATCATTTTTCACTGCAGATGCTGTAGTTCTTCTGTCTAAGCGTCTCGGTCTGATTGTATTTTCATAAAGAAATGATCATAAATGTTTTTCCTTGAGCTGCATAACCCCGCTGTAGTCAGTAAAAGACTGGCCTGAGGTCTCGCTACAAACAAGCGGCTGCTGGAAGAGAGTAGGTGAGTTGTGTTTAGTCTCTTTGCTAAAGAAATGAGTCAAAGTTACAAAGATGTTTGGTGTCTAGTACTATGTCTGTGACCCTATATGTCCTGTTGATGAAGTTAGGTGCTGTTCTGAGCATTATTTGTGGCTATAGAGTGGCGTTTTGGTTGAGTGTGTGGCTCTCTGTGTATTGCTATCGTGTGGTCGTTACTAAAGTTGGTATAACTAGAGAAGCAAGCAGTCGACAACATTCATCTCTTTAATCATCAGCCCTATTGTACTTGTCATTAATGATTCAATCAGAGTTAATGTAAAACATGTGGATGGCTAAAGTAAATCAATATTAGATTATAATGAATTTGTGGACTCAAGGATTTGTACGTGACTTTCTTTTCTAAACTATTCCAGTCCCAATATCTGTCATGTATTTTCTTTTCTGTTTTACCAACAACCTTCTCTCTCTCTCTCTCTCATCATTATTATCCTTTCCTATAAAGTCCAGGGTTTATTTCTTTGGTGCAGAAGCCTGTTCCTCTGTGACAAGAGAAAAAAAAATAGCCATCTGCTGCCACCAGCTGGACAAACACAGCGGGATGATAGAGGGAGAGGCAGACAGAGGCCTTGCTCGGACGAATATGTCGTAGCAACGAATGGCTTGTGGCGTTTGCAGGCATTCCAAAAAAACAGCCACATAAAATTTGAAAGATTTATACCAAAAAAGAAATTTAACGTCCACAAAGGCTTCTTGAAATCAAAATCAAATTCAAAGATAATGAAATTTCTGTTTTAACTAAAACTAATCCAACATGTGTGGTCAAAAAATGTATCAAACCACAGCCTTCACCTGCCCAACACCACCAGCCGTGACGTGTGACCATAATCATGTGACTAAAATGGTGACATCAGAAATACCAACCAATAATGAAATCAGCTGAGATCCAACCAAACAAAAAGGACGTAAGTCAGTGTCTTTTAAAAATGAAATGGCTGCAACAGAATATATTTGTGTACATTTTGGCCTAAAAACTTTACTTTTGGAAAACTTCGGCCAAAGTGAAGATTTTGGAAAACTCTGGTTTTGCGTTTTGCGTGTGGACAAAGATAACCTAAATTAAAAACGCTGGCTTCAGGCGGATGGTGCGTACTTTAGAGCTGTGTTACAAGATGCCGCAACGCGCCAACTCAGCTGAGCCCAGGATGTATGAAGAGGTAAAGGAGGCTGTAAAACTATCTTTTGGTTCTGCACAGAGGGTTGCATTAACGGGTGACGGGTGAATAATATGTTTGTATAGACATCTTTGTTTTTACTTGATCTATAAAGTTCAGACAGAGAAAGGAGAAATAAACTTCATTTTGAGCATGTAGGTTAAGATGCTTTATTGTTTGTTTTTATTCAAGTGTGTATAAGAGTGAACTTTATTTTAGATTTTCTCTTTGTGTTCCGTGACACATTTTTGAATTTTCAGAGTCAGTCACTATGTACTTCTTTATTTTGCACTTAATTTTCCACATACTTTTTATCTTGGTCTGTTCAGAAACATGTAACCTTTAGTTTGAGTCTTCCTGTTTTCCGTCTCTGTCTGCAGATGTCCAGCAGCTGTCAGCGAGTAAAGAAGATGATCCCCCTGAGCAGCAGGAGAGGAACCCTGTTCTGGACCAGGAGAACCCACCTCACATTAAAGAGGAATGGGAGGAACTTTGGACTCCTGAGGAAGAGCAGCTCGAAGGTCCAGAGGTGGCAGATATCATCAAGTTCACATTCAGTCCCATCCCTGTGAAAAGTGAAGAAGAAGAAGAAGAAGAGGAGAAACCTCAGCTCTCACAGCTTCATCTAAAACAGACGAAACAAACAGGAACTGATGGAGAGGACTTTATGGGATCAGAGACAGAAGGACAACCACCAACATACGACAAAACTCTACAGTCCTTTGAATCGGACACTGATGACAGTGATTGTGACTGGGAAGAGACCAAGGAGGCTCAGTCAAACCCTCTGCAGAACAGCGAGACACCTTCAGGTGAAACAGAATTTAAACTGGAGGATACATCCGCCAGCTCCTCTGAATGTGCCACACGCTTCGACCCAAAGGAACAACTACAGAATGAAAAAGGAGTCCAAACGGAGGTGAAACCGTTTAGTTGCTCAATTTGTGGGAAGAGATTTCTCCGGAAAGCTTCTTTGACGAATCACACGAGACTTCATTCAGAGGGGAAACGTTTCAGCTGCCCCGTTTGTAAGAAAAGCTTCCAGTGGAGAGGAGATGTTGTGGCACACATGAGAATCCACACAGGAGAAAAACCTTACAGCTGCTCTGTCTGCGGTATAAAATTTGCACAAAGCTCCACTTTGTCCTCGCACTTAAGAATTCATACAGGAGAGAAACCCTTCAGCTGCTTATTTTGTAAAGCCAGCTACAGGTTCAGGAGAAGTTTGATTATTCACATGAGGAGCCATACTGGAGAGAAACCATACTGTTGTACAGTATGTGGCAAAGCATTTGGCGAAAGAGGACATATGAGACGACACATGGCTGTCCACACAGGAGAGAAACCATTCAGTTGTTCCGTTTGTGGTAAAACGTTCACGTTGCACGGTAATCTGAGACGCCACCTGACTGTTCATACCGGGGAGAAACCGTTCGGTTGTTCGGTTTGTGGTCAGAGTTTTGCGCAACAAGTAACTCTGAGCCGACACATGACCATCCACACAGGAGAAAAACCTTTTAGTTGTGATATCTGTGAAAAAAGTTTCTCCCGACTCGATTACGTCAAAAGTCACAAGTGTGTCGGTGAGAGCAGCAAAAGTACGTGATGTCTCATTTATCGTTCTTCTTTAGGAGACAGACTCAGATTTTAGAGGCTTTGGGCTCTATTTTTGTGCCTTGCCGGCGACGTGGCATAGGCGCGGCGTAAGTCAGGTTCGCCACGTCAACAATTTTGGTGCGCCCCCGGCAGGCACCAAAATGGAGCCCTTTATCCACACAGATGTCAGATGTCTGCTGAGAGTTGTTGGTTGCTTCAGTCAGTTTTCAGGTTCATCTATTTGCTCAGTGATCGTTAGGTACAAATACAAAACACAAACATTTCCTTCATCAGTCCAGTAACTGAGCTGTAAAGTGGAGAATTCTTTTTCTGTGAAAAAACAAAGATAGTCCTGACTGTCCCGAAACATTTCTGCCTTTTGTTTTGATTTTCATACTCTGCACTGGTGCTTTGTAAATGAAAGTACTCATATGACACGTGAGTACGTGTTTGAAACTTGTAAATGTACATATTTCTCATTTTTTTACTGACCCACTTCAAAGAGCTTCTTAGGAGTTTTATCTGGTTATAAAACCACCAAAATGTTTATTACTGATGTGACTTTATGAGCTACGAAAACAAACAGCACTATTAGAGAAGGGATCGAATACTTTGTTCTCATGAATTTTTAATGTTTAATAGTAATACTGATGCTCAACAGTACCAGTGTTTTTAACAGCAGCCAAAAATAGGGATGAGATTTTTTGATGGTAATGAACTCACACACAAACAGGACAAGGACAGCAACAAGATAAGAGATCATGCGCAGTCCAAAAGATGCCAAAATCAACACAAAGTCAAAGATCCTCCTGTTTGTATAACAGATTCAAACACTGGTGGAGTTTGTCCTCTACCAAACTAAAATGTTTTTTTTTTTAAAGTTGACCCAATCTCTAAATGTATATAACTGTCTGTGAGTTCATAATAATCAGCTCAGTTTGCAGTTTGTAAAGCTCTCCTCTTTAAAAAAAGAGACTCTGGTTGTTTTTATTTGTCTTTTAAACTCCGGACATTAAACAGAGTATGAAACTGTCACAGAAACTGGTACAGACCTGTGTGTGCAGACTTCTCTATCCACTTCAGATAATCTGTGACAGGATGACTTATTGTAAATCTGTTTAATGGCACACGACGTTTGTTTTATGTACTATATTTATATATATACATCAGTGGAAATACATGTAAATAACCTTTCTGCACAGGTTATATTTACATGTCACCTTTCATCCAAACAGAAACCTAAACAAGAACAGCTGTTTGGAGGTAAAGACTCTGTTGTTACCTGAAACTCTGTCAAAACTGTATTTTGTTCTTTCTTTCAGTGATATGTGCATTAGACCAATAAACTGAATGTGGAGCGAATTTTGTGCATTTGTTTTATTTATACTGGACTGTAGTGTGCTGTTCCTGTTCCCCAGATCACTGATTCACCTATGCCGCTTTTAGAGCGTCGACCTGCCGAGTTACCTCAGGCGTCGCTTGTGATTATTCTGCAAAAAAAAAAACCCCAAAAAAACGGAAATAATAATCGAGACAAAACAGCTTATACACCTTTAATTGATAGAAACACACATCCAGGTTTAAAATCTCACATGATTTTTTTCCTGAAGTAGTAAAAAAAAAACAGGAGTTCTTGATAAGTTTGATCCACAGATTGACAGACTGTTTGACATTATTATATCTACAGTGTATAAAGTTCAGCAGAGTTATAAAGTAAACTGTACAGCGTCTCAACACTCGTCTATATTTTAAGAAATGAAAGAAGCTGAAGAAGTTAACAAAGAGAGTCGTTTCAAAAAAGTTTACAGACTGTGAGATAGAGTATGAAAGTCATCACGATAAGTCAAATATACATGTGGATCAAAGATACTCAGAGTGTCTCAGTACAAATACAGTCGTATTCTTGGGGGGTATTTTAGTAGGAAATGGGTTGCAGTCAGTTCAGTATTTTTTTTTATTAGAATATCATTAAATAACATTTAGCAGTGTGACTTAGACGTACGTACGACATCGACTCATAACATGCAACTCAAGACATTTCAAGCCTTCATTTAAAATAATTTTGAAGATTATGGTTTACAGTTTAAGAGAACCTCAAATTGAAAATCTCAGAAAATTAGAATATTACACAATATTAGATACAATTCATAGAAAGGAGATTTGAAATAGAGAAATACTGGCCTTATATTGAAAAGTTTCATCTTGCATATGTGCTTAGGACTTAGTCTGGACCAAGACCAGCAGATGACATGACTCTTCAGACTGAAGAAACTTCACACTGGACTTTAAGCTTCTTGGATTGTTTGTTTCTCTGTTCTTCCTCCACACTCTTGGTTTCCAAATGATGCAAAGTTTGCTCTCATCGGAAAAGAGGACTTTGGATCACTGAGCAACAAACCAGTTCTTTAGCTCAGGTAATAACTTCTGATGTTGTTTAGGAGCGGCTTGATAAGAGAAATGTGACATTTGAAGCCCATTTCCAGGATCCGTCTGTGTGTGGTGGCTCTTGATGTATGAACTCCAGCCTCTGTCCACTCCTTGTGAAGTTCCCTCAAAACTTTTAAACAGCCTTTTCCTGACAATCCTCTCCAGACTCGGGTCATCTCTGCGGCTTCTTCACCTTTTTCTTCCACATTTTTCCCTTCAAGCTTACTTTCCGTTCATGTGCTTTGAAACAGAGGAGGGTGTCAATGATGGTTTTCCGCACAGCTGTCAGCTCAGCAGTCTTCCCCATGATTGTGAATTCTACTGAACCAGACTGAGAGACCATTTAAAGGCTCAGGAACCCTTCACATGTGTTTTGCATGTGACACTTTGAGCCTTTTCACAGTATTCAAATTTTTTGAGTTTCACCTGCATGTAACCTCTTCGCCCTGTGAAGTGACACAGACTGATTATTTTGGACCAGTGGCACCAGTCAGAGGGTGTTACATGTGAGGCAGCAGATCGACATTGTTCCCTTGAAGTCCCCGCCTCACAACTTCCAGGACCTAAAGGCTCCGCTTGGACCTGCTTGTTGCTCTCCCTCGGTCTCATTTCTCTTTGCTGCTCTCACCCACACACTTGTGGTTTTTCACACCCACAAGCCGAGTGAAACTTCTCTCACACAAATTGCAGCTGAATGGTTTCTCCCCTGTATGGACCCTCAGGTGTTTTGTCAGATTTCCTCTATCTACAAATTTTTTATTACATAATGAACAACTATACGGTTTCTCCCCGGTGTGCAGTCTGGTGTGCCTCACCAAATCTCCCTTTTGACCGAAACTTGCGTTACAAAATGAGCAAGGGAACGGTTTCACTCCTGTGTGGATTCTTAAGTGGGTGGTCAAACTTGGTTTTCGGGTGAACCCCATTCCACATTCTTGGCAGCTGAAGGGTTTCTCTCCTGTGTGTCTTCTCATGTGAGCCGCCAGCTCTCCTCTGAACGGAAACCGTTTCGAACAAAACGAGCAGGTGAAACATTTTTCCTCTGAATGTCGTTTCATGTGTTTCCGTAAACATCTCTTATCAGGATAATTTTTACTACAAATTGAGCAGACAAATGGTTTTTTCCCCGTCTGTGTCTCCTCTTGTTTCTGCACTTGTTCTTTTTGGCCAAAGCTCGCAGCAAATGTAAAGGAGCTCTCTGATGTGTCTTCAATACTGCACTCAATTTCACCTACGGGTATTTCTTTGTTTTGTTGAGAGTTTAAACTTGACTGAGGTTCACTGGTTTCCTCCCAATCACAACTACTCTCATCAGTCTCAGATCCAGACCGGGATATTTCTTCATCAGAAACTGGTTGCAAATGTCGGTCTAGATGAAAGTTTCTGTCTGGTTCTGATCCTCCACAGTCCTCTGGTTTCAAAAGTCCTCTGTCTCTGTTCATGTCAGTTTGTGTTTGATGAGACTCTGTGGTCTGAGCGTCATCATCTCTCTCACTCTTCACGGGAACAGGGGTGAATGTGAACTTGATGATTTCAGCCTCCCCCACTCCCTTAAGGTGCTCTCTCTCCTGGATGCTCCACAGCTCCTCTGGTTCCTCTTTAATGTACGTCGTCTCTAGAGAGTCCTCCTGGTCTGGACCTGGCCTCTTCTCCTGGTGCTCAGGGGGAACCTCTGACATCTGCTGGGTGTCTGTGGATAAATATGAAAGTGTCATTTGTGGTTGTTGACGTTTGTAGATGCTGGTTGTTGATGTTTGTAGATGCCAGTTCTTTATGGTAGCCATGATCTTTGATAATATTTGTGTATTGTGTGGTTATATGTTATATACAGGGATGAGAGTCACGTGGTGCGGATGGAGGTAGTACATCACCACCGGTAGTAGTAAAGTCCTCACTAAGCAGTCCAGCGGTCACTGGCCCCGTTTACATGGGTCCAAAAATCCTATTTACAATCAGATTGAAAGGTCAATCAGATTCAAAATGTCTCATATAAACACCTTAGCCAATCTGATTCACCTGGATCTGATTGTATTTCGGGTCGGATTGTAAGAGGTAGTCTACACCGTTTGATAATCCGCTCCATGCTCCATATATACGGCTGAGTGGAGCGGATCGGGTTTACAGAGAGGCTTGTTCGGTCTGCGCAGGCGCTCGGTAGTACATAACACTCCTTACCGACTCCTAGTGCTACACTTTAGGACAGAGCGCCACTGGAGGTCCTTTCTTTCAACAGCCATCAGACTGTTTAACAGAACCAGAGTCGAGGACCTGTGCACCTCAGCACCATATATACATGCTGCACTGCTAGCACGACTACATTTATTGCAGTTTTTATACTGGTTTGATACTGTTTTTTTAACAGATTTGACTGTACTTGGCTGGTCCTCAGATGTGCACTTGTTGTTGTTGTCTTTGTTAGTGTACTGTGTATGAGTCTGTGAGTGGCATGACCCCTGAATTTCCCTTTTTATTCGCCAGGCGAATATCTGGACCTGCTAGACCTCTGGCCAGAGGTCAGAAAAACTGGACGGTGGCCAGAGGTCTAGCAGGCCCAGATATTCGCCTGCGAATCTCCGAAGAATTCGACACAAGTGCGAAAACATAAAAGACGCTTTTCGCCCCGCGGAAAAATCGCCGCCGGTGTGGAAGCTTGCATTGACTTTATGCTGTTATTAAAAAAAGGCGAATAATTCGCCTGGCGAATTCGCACCTGGTGTGTAAGGACCTTAGTAATTGATGCAAACGGACGATTTATTAGATCACAAAAAGCAGGATAGTTCATGTACATTTTTCACAAAAGGCAGGAGGTTGTAGGTTACAATTTCCCGGTGAAAAGTGAGAATATCTCTAAATCGGTACAAACCTGCTCCGTGTGAGCGGACTTCAGGGTTGTAAACAGTGATCATCATCTGATTGTGTTGGTTCTCTTTAGATCCACAGACTTTCTCCTCGTACTCTAATATCGTTCTTTCAAACAGCTCAAAGATCTCTTCAGCAGCTGCACTCAGTCTCTGGTTCACTAAAACTCTCAGATTTTGGATTCCGGACATTTTTACAGAAGTATCAGCAGCTTGTTCAGCACTCGTACTCCTTAAAAAGGGAGCTTAGCTTCACTTAGCACTCTCAACTGAAGAAAAAAAAAAAGTCTTCGGTGAAACCTGTTTGATAAAAGAAAAATAATAAAGTCGTTTTTTGACATTAAACTTTGCATTCAGGTCGCGGTGTTTGACTCCTCTAACTAATTACAATTATAAATCTTCTTCTTCTTCTTCTTCTTCTTCTTCTTCTTCTTCTTCTTCTACTGTTTTACGGCGGATGGCAACCAACTTTAGAGGTGTATTACCGCCACCTACCATACAGGGGTGCGAGCCATCTCACGGTGGCAGAGAACCGCCACTGCTGCAAATAAAAAAATAAAGCAAAAAAAAAAAAAAGAAACCGAAGCTCGCTGCAGATAAAAAAAGAAACTTATACTAATACTAAACTATGACCTTTTTATCATACTATTCTAGTACATGTTTTATTATACTTTGACATTTTTTTCATACTAAAATTTCCAATTTTTTACAAAGTTAAATTTGTAATCTTCATCATACTATACTATGACATTTTTATCATACTATAGTATGTTTTTTTTTTTTTTTCAAATTAAAATATCAAATTTTGGCATCCTATGTTTATCATACTAAAATATCCAAATTTTTATTTCATACTATACTATGACATTTTTATCATACTAAAGTATGACTTTTTTTTTTTTTTTTTTTATTAAATCTACAATTTTTGGCATTCCTTTCTATGACATTTTTATCATACTATTCTATTCTATTTTTTGTCATACTTAACTATTACTATTTTTATACTAAACTTTAAATATTTTATCATTCTAAAATTTTACATTTTAAACTATACTATGACATTTTTGTCATACTATACTATGACATTTTTTCATACCAAATTATGAAATTTAATTCCACTCAGATTCAAATTTTTATTTCATACTATACAATGACATCTTTTCATACTTAAATTTTCAAATTTTTTTTTTTAGCCAGTTTGACATCTTTATCACAGAGTCTTGTGTTTTGTTAGGTTTAATATGATAAACTTATTGTCCCTCTTCTTTTCTTTCAGGACTCATCGCAGGTGGATTCTGGAGTTGTTTTTAAATAAAAATGAATGAAATGTTTACGTGTTCTTTTTTGTTCTCATAACAAAAGCACCAAGTTACAAGTTACAGAAACCAAGTTACACAAGCACATTCACATGACAACCCTCTCCATTATTGATGCCCTCTTTCCCTTTTTTACCCTGTTACTGTGTTGTAAAGACAGACACCATGTTAATAACTTCATAATTCTGTAGTGGTAACACAAAAACATGGCGTCATATTCATTCATTTATTTAATTTGAAGCTTCATGCGCCAAAGTGTATCCTTGCTAATCACTCTGCCTGATTGACATTTATTGTCCACTTGATGGCACAAGAGAGCAAATAAAGCACAATCAAGCCTTGGCCCCTAAGTACAGCAATTGTAAGAAAAGCTTCAATGCTTCCGGAGAATTAATCTCACCATCACAAATTTTTATCCCACTATACTATGTAATTTTTATAAATACGAAATGATGACATTTTTATCAAACTGTGCTGTGACATTATTATCATACTATACTATGAAATTTTTTTCATACCAAAATCTAAAAATTCTTTCATACTAAAATTTGAAATTTTCAACATTTTTAACATACTTTTCTATGACATTTTTATCATACTATACTATGAGATTTTTTTCATACCAAAATTATGAAGTTTTTTAATACCAAAATATTTTCAAAATACCAAAATAAATCTCTTTACAATAAATATGAATTTTTTGAACATACTATACTTTGACATTTTTTTCATACTAAACTTTAAATATTTTTTTCATACTAGAATTTGACATTTTTAACATACTTTACTATGGCATTTTTTTTATCATGATATACTATGAATTTTTTTATCATACCATACTATGACAATTTTTTGTACCAAATTATGAAAGTTTTTTTTATGAAATTTGAATTTTTTAACATACAATAGTATGACATTTTTTTATACTATAGTAGCATTTTTTTACATAGTAAAATATGAAATTTTTTAACATACTATACTATGACATTTTAATCATACTATACTATGATAATTTTATCATGATATACTATAAAATTTTTACTATACTATAGTATGACATTTTTTAAACTGAAATTGATTTTTTAATATACTATACTGAGATATTATTGTCATACTATACTATGACATTTCCTTCATACTCAACTTTTAATGTTTTTTTTCATTCTAGAATTTGAGAATTTTTTAACATACCATACTATGACAAAACATTATGTGCTTGGACATATTTATCATACTATACTACATACTATACCACAATTTTTTTTACATTTTTTTTTTACATATAAATTTTTTTAACATACAATACTATGACATTTTAATCATACTATACTATGATATCTTTTTCATACTCAATTTTGAATATTTTTTTTTAATTTGATATTTTCAACATACTATACTATGCCATTTTTTCACACTAAATTATATATTTTTTAACATACTGTACTATGACATTTTTATCATACTATATTATGACTTTTTTTCATTCCAAAATGTAAATTTTTTTATACTAAAATATATATATTTTTAACATACTATACTATGACTTTATCATACAATACTATGACTTTTTTTTATCATACTATGACATTATTTCATTAATACTAACCATTAACATTATAAACATACTTAACATTTTTTTTTTCAAACTAAAATATGAAATTTTTTAACATACTATACTGTGACATTTTTATCAACTTTACTTTAACATTTATAAGTATAAAATTTATCATACTTAAATGTAAAATTTTTACTATACTATACTATGACATTTTAATCAAATCTATATTTTTTTACACAAGTTTAAATATTATTTTCAGAAAAAATTTAAAGTTTCAACATACTATAGTATGATATTTTAATCATGATAAACTATGACATTTTTAACATACCATACTATGACATATCTTTCTTACCAAAATGTGAATTTTTTTAGCATATTTAAATTTTTTAACATACTTATTTTTTTTAAACAAAAATATAACATTTTTGTCATATCATACTATGATATTTTATCATACTATACTATTACTTGTTTATCATACTTCACTATGGAAATTTTTTCGTACCAATATATATATAATTTTTTCATACTTTAATTTTAAATTTTAATCATACTATACTATGTCATTTCTTTAAATACTAAAATACATTTTTTTTATTTAAATTAGAAAATTTTAAACATACTATACTATGACATTTTATCATACTATAACATGACATTTCTTTCATACCAAAATTATAAATTTTATAAATTTTCCTCTGTTGACTCACACTATTATTACTACATTATAACATTAATGCAAGGGAGGACCTTGAATATTTCAACAAGACTATACCAAACCACATTTACCAGCAGCATACCTCTGTTGTGGAAAAATACAAACTCAATTCTAATATTTGATGTGTTGTATGAGAAGTATTTTTAGTTACATATAGGTTTTGACTTAATCACAAACTATCAAAATCTATTTGTATTTAAAAAAAAATCATTTTCATTTTATTTGACAGTATACAAGGAGCCCTTGAACCATAAACACGATAAGAAGTTTGGTTGACATCTGGTAATTGTTAGGGTTACAGCATAAATCACACTAAAGGCACATATGAAGGTACATAGTTCAATTATAACTCAAACATATCTAAATATGGGAATGCATAAAAACAGAACAAACTTAACAAACAAGTCAGAACAATCAAACACAATTTTCTTTGAGTCTCTATCAAAACCTAACACGAATCAAACATAGTCTGGCATTAGTAATTCATACATTTTTGGGGGAAATGGCCTCACAACCAGCTCCACTGCCTTGTTGATTTGCACTGCTCTCACCCAGACACTTGTGCTTTTTCAGATACCAGAGGCGAGTGAATGCTTTAACACAAACATCACAACTGAACGGTTTCTTTCTGGTGTGGACAGTCAAATGTTTTTTCAAATTTACATTTTGCGCAAATCCTTTACCACAGACTGAACAACGAAAGGATTTCTCTCCCGTGTGAACAGCCAAGTGTCGTCTCATGTGTCCCCTCTGTGAAAATCTTTTGCCACAAAGTACACAGTTGAATGGCTTCTCTCCACTATGAGTTCTCAGGTGTTCATCTAAAGTTTTTTTCAAACTGAAATGTGCTTTACAAATTGAACAGGCGAAGGGTTTTTCACCTGTATGAACCTTTAAGTGTGAGACCAAATTGGAGCTTTGAGCAAATCTCATCCCACAGAGAGAGCAGCTGTATGGTTTCTCTCCTGTGTGGATTCTCATGTGTGTCAAAATGTCTTTTCTCCAATAAAATTTTTTGTTACAAACGGAGCAGCTGAACCGTTTTTGTTCTGAGTGGAGGCTCCTGTGATTAATTAAGGAGTTTTTTTCTGGGAATCTTTTGCCACAAATTGAGCAGCGAAATGGATTGGCCTCTGTCTGGTCAACACGTTGTTTCTGCAGTTGTTCCTCTTGACCACAGTTTGTGGCACTTTCAGAGGAGCTAACTATTGTTTCTCCAGTATGACTCACAAACACGACTATATTTTGCAAAGAGTCCAAACCTGATTGAACTTCACTTATGTTATCAAAATACCACTTCACATGGTTAGTTTGACACTGAGGAGAGTCTGGTGGTTTTACATGGGTAACATGTTGTAAATGACTGTCTGGATTCAAGTTCCCGTCTGGTTCTGATCCTTCACAGTCCTCTCCGTCATCTTCTGTTTTCACATGTTTTGCATCTCCGTCTTTTTCAGTTTGGTTTTCATGAGACTGTGAGGATGGAGGTTTCTCTCTGTCTCCTTCCTCACTCTTCACAGGGACAGGATTGAGTATTACTGTGCTGCTATCAGCCTCCTTCATTCCTTGAAGCTGCTCTCCGTCTTGGCTCCACACTTCCTCCTGTTCCTCTTTAATGTGTGGTGGTTCTGGTGAGTCCTCCTGAAGCTCAAGGGAAACCTCTTTTTTACTCACTGAAAGCTGCTGGACACCTGTAGAGGACATTGAATCAAATAAAAAACAGAAATTGCTATAAGTACCAGAGATTAAGATAAAACAACTGCCTTGAGGGTTGTCATGGAGACTAGAGAAGCAAGCGGTCGGCAACATTCATCTCTGGAGGGGGTGTCTAGCTTGGTGTAATGGTGTGTTTGACCCTAAATTAATTTTCCGCCGAAATATCCCTTTAATCCTGTGCATTATCTGTGAAATATAAGAACTACACACCAGACTAAAATCTCCTTTTTCCCCCTAAAGCAGATAAATTATCTGCATTATTCACAGATCTCAATGCTTGTTGCACCACATCACCAAAAACTCAGGGGTTCCTGATAGTGACACTCACAGCATGTGGAGACAGTTCATGGATTAGACTCTGACTTTCAGGCTGTCAGTTGAGAAGAAAGTGGACATCCATACTGATTTACTGTTTGGGGTGTGTACTAACAAAAAGCTAAGGCTGTGCAAAAGGTCAATCATAGTTGTCTGTGAAGTTCTGGGTTTACATCAATAATGTGTTTGTAGAGACAGGACATGAGTGCACAGACCAGTAACCGACCTGAACCTCATAAAAAAAACTGTTCCAGAAGAAGGAAATTTTCACAGGAGGCTGAGAGGGTAGTCCTCTTTAAACAGTAGTCGTCAGTAAAAATATAAAAATGTTCAAACCTGTTTTGAGTAAATGGTCTTCATGGTTGTAAACAGTGATCATCTGTTTGTGTTGATTCTCTTTAGATCCACAGAGTTTCTCCTCGTACTCTAATATCGTTCTTTCAAACAGCTCAAAGATCTCTTCAGCAGCTGCACTCAGTCTCTGGTTCACTAAAACTCTCAGTTCTTGGACTTTAGACATTTTCAAGAAAAAGATTTTGAGGATTTGGAATCGATGAAAAGGCTGAGCGGTCTTCTTCTTCTTCTTCTTCTTCTTCTTCTTCTTCTTCTTCTTTAATTCTGACAGAGCAGACGCCGCAAGGCTCATACTACTGCCCTCTTCTGGTCTCTCGTTTAATCAGCTCTTGTTGTAAACTCCAGTATCATTGCTGTAAATGGCATTTGGTGGTTCTCGTTGTGGCCAAAGAAAGAAAAGATAGATGAGCAGGAATTATTCCTTAACTTCTTACAGCTCATGTCCAGCTTGTTCAAATCCTGCTAACTACCTTTGGTATTCTTAGAGGACAAGAAGGGAATCTAGTGTAAACATCCCACAAATACATGTCTCTTACCGCAAATAGGATCTAGTACACGACGGCCATCTTACTCCGGTATACTATTCTGGTACACTCTATGGTAGATGACGGGAGCTGCAATAGAGTGAACTTGCTGAAATCTTTCCAGATTTACAAATGGTTTTGTTTGTTACAGACCTTAATAACGTGGCTATGAGTCGGGATGCTTGGACATATTGAAATGGTAGATTTACTTTGAGAAAAAAAAGACTTAATCATAAAGCACGGTTGATTCACAGCTATTTGCGTGCAAGGGCTAACTTTGAGTTGCTTCGTCAAGGCTGAGACCACAATCGAGATTTTCATTACTTGTATGTCAGCCCATATTTACATTTTTTTATTCACTAATTTATTAAGTCTAAGTGACAGTCGATGTGGCTGTGCTTGTGTTTATCAGCTTGGCTAACAGACTCGCTGTGAGTGAGACCAAGTACATATTTCAAAGTTGACCCAGTAGTTTTACATCAGTTGGAGAGTTGCACATGCACATGATTTCCAAGCTGTTTGGTTTGTTAAAAACATCTAAAATGGCAACATGAGGCAGAAATTCATATTGAAAATAAATATTTATATATGTTTTTGCTACATGTTATTATTATTATCCCTTTAATAGAATTATTACTAATATAACATACATGAAATGATTAAATTTTTTATAAATAAATGATTTAATATAACTGCCTTGTGTGTGTAGGCCTATAACTATTGCTCTACCTATCTGTTTAATGTTTATTCATGTAAATCTATGGTTTAAATTATTCTTCAGTATGCAGGAACATAACTAAAACTCTGAGGTTTATTACAAACCAAACCGTTTGAAAATCTGTTTAAAATTAATCAATCTATGGTTATTTAAATGCTACATGGACCGTAGACTGGAATGTTATGAGTGGGCAAGCTGTCTGGAGCAAGATGGCCGCCATGGGCTGACGTCGATCTTCATTGGCTAACAGCGTGTGTAAGACATCTAGCGATTATATATATATCTATGGCTCTCACTTGTCCCATAATGCTACAGTACTGTAACTGTTCTAACAGATTGCTGAGACGGTGCTAAAATCTCGTTTTCTACGACCCTGTCAGTGGACAATCTCACAGGAATACATTGAGATTCTCTCCCCTTTAAACAAGTAGTAAAACTACCGACTGTAGCTTAATCCAAGTAAAGAAACCGCCTCGTTACACCCATTTATTGCGCATTTGACTGGTAGTTACGGTACTGACGTCCAAGCGACACAAATTCCCAGAATCCTTCGCGCCGGTTGGTGAGAAGGTGACAGGGGACGGCGAAAATGGCCGCCTATCTGACCCACCAGCAGAAAGTTCTGCGACTGTACAAGAAATCACTGAGACACCTGGAGTCATGGTGCGTCTTCAGGTAAGGAAAAATGTTTTAGTTCAGGTTCGATTGTGGAAAAATGAGAAATACTGACAGCAGCGTCGATAGAGAGGTCTGATCTGTGCAGCTAAGCTAACAACAGCTAACTGTCCTGAAGTCAGTGTCACAGCCGAATCCACTTCATTACCTGCTCATTTTATTTCATATTAAACTGGATTAAACACATATATTAATATTTGATGCCCTTTTTAGACTACCAACGTCTTATAAGTTAAGATATTTGGTTTAAGATATTGACCATGCGCCGCCTAACGTCCAAACCAGAGAACAGCTGAGGAGCAAAAATATTCCAAACTTGAAATCTTACGGTGGCCGAAAACCGCGACTGCTGCAAATAGAAAAAAAGAAAAGTCAAAAAAAGAAGTCAAACATGAAGCCACTGATGCAAAAAGAGATAGAGAGAGAGAAACCACAGCCTGCTGCAAATAAAAAAAGAAACAGTGCAGATTAAAAAACAAAAGCCACACCGGACCTTAACAATGCAAGTAAAAGTGTTGATGTAAAACAAAAAAAAAAAGAAAAGTTACTGCGAAAATAAAAGAATGCAAAAAAGAAAAAAGCTACAACGGAAGTCATCGTCGTCGTCTTCCACATATCCGGGTCCGGGTTTCAAATTTTTTTTCGTTGAATAGTATTGGAAGGTCCTGCCCTCCTTTGCCTCTGATTGACGAGAAGTGCTGGGCTCCGATTGGTTATTCCTAATGGCTGTGAAATGTCAATTTCTGTGGGATTATGGGTTAGGAGATTCAGAGGTGCGATAATGTTCTGAACAGACAGCTCGCGTATGGCTTGAGCGTGTAACAGCGTTTCCAGCTTTTCTAGCCAATCAGAGTCGAAGGAGGCGCGACTTTCCCCTACAATCCTACAAAAAAATATGTAAAAATAAAAGGATGCAAATAAATTTAAAAAAGCACATTAGGTGAAATTAAACAATAACCTTTCCACCTACTTCTTTGCTTGTCCTCTGTACTTAGATCGTAAAATGGTGCTTCATCATTGTTGGTCCCCGGCAGCTCACTGCTGTTGTGTTTTTTTTTTTTTTTTTAATCCATCAAAGTTTATGGACAGAATTAAAGATTCAAAGATACAAATTCTTATCATATGAGCACAATGTTATTGTTAATTACTTTTTTTACTTGTTTTATTTTGTTCATATTTATCTGCTTTTGAAACATTATATGAAAATATGGCTGCTTTGGCAATACCGTAACTTTAAAGTCATGACAAAAAAACTTAGACTGATCTACTTTACAGCAACCTTTGCCGAAAAGTCAATCATAATTCTGCTTATTATTTTTTGTGCAGCAAATTAAATTAAAAAACACCTCAATGGCAGCTGATTTGTGATTTTTGGTGAAAAATCGGCCACCGTAAAATCTCTGGATCAACACAAAATAAATATCCATTATATGTGCTCCAGCGTATCTGTAATTATTAAAAGAGATCCATAATTAAATTTTTTCTCATTAAGGATTATTAACGCTTTACAGGCATCAATTAACTACAACAAAACTGCCCTAAATAGCAAAGTAAAAAGCCAGTTTATAAGCAGTTTTTTAAAACACTTATGATCACAACTATAAACCAAAACAAGCTGACATATCTCAGTATATGACGTTAAATTTAATCATGACAACAAATCACCAAACAATGATATAAATCCTCGTTGATCGGACAAACCCACTTTAAAATAGAGGAGTGATCTACACTAGAACTGGAACTTTAACGCTGTTTTCCTGTTACAGAGACAAATACCGGTTCTACGCCTGCTTGCTGCGCGCTCGTTTTGATGAGAACAAGAATGAGAAGGACATGGTGAAGGCCACCATGATGCTGAAGGCGGGAGAGGAGGAGTGGTGGGAGAAACAACATCCTCAGCCCTACATCTTCCCCGACTCTCCTGGAGGGACTTCCTATGAGAGACACGAGTGCTACAAGGTGAGACCTCCTCCAGACAGGGACCGTGAAATTATTTCAGATAGGATACATGTTTTTCCTTTCCATTACTCTTTATATTCTCTCTTATGGTACAGAGACAAACTTAGTGTAACGTTTAACAAACCTTTTTTTTTTCCCGGGTCAGTTTTTTATGATCAAATTCTCACACTGTTCGAGTTGCTTGATGAATTTCCTGAGTCCCTCTTGGTTCTTGTAGCACCCAGAGTGGCTGCTGGACCATTGGCACCCCGCGGAGAAGGCCATGTATCCTGACTACTTTGCTAAGAGAGAGCAGTGGAAGAAACTGAGGCTGGAGAGCTGGGACAAAGAGGTGAGCGGTCCAGGGTCCAAACATGTTACTTTGTCTTAGATTAGAGTATTTCATATTTATGAAAAATAAAAGATTCTAAATAAATCTGTCCGTTTGACCATAAAAACTCGCCCCCAAATTTCACCGCATCCGGAATGGCAGCCATTTTCGTTGTTCACCAATTCCTACCGGATCTGTTGGTGAGGCGAATTTCATGGGCGGATTATGGACAGCAATAATCACAAAAACTCACAAGAACCCGCGGATTCACGTCCAATCGCGCAATAACGAGTTGTCTCTATAAAGACAGACACATAGACATATAAGCAGTAGATTGTGTCCTTCCAGAGGACGAAATCTACTTTTAGACTTCTAGAATCAGCATCTCCTCATCCATGGTGTCATCGGGGTGAAATGACGTCTAAAAACCTTTCACTTGTTCGTCTCTGCCCAGAGTGTTTTATTTTGAAAAGAAGCCGGATGTTTTATTTTGTGTCTGTCCCCGACTTCCTTTCCAGCACGGGTTAATCTGTGCTGAATTTATCCGGCATGCTCCGGCGTCCAGAAAAAAGGGACTTTTGTGATCAGCTGTGGAGTCCGGCGATCTGCAGAGGAACGAAAAGAAGCCGGTGGAAATTGACACGTTAACTTGAATGGTTACGATCAGTTTAGGAGCTCTTTGACAAAAGTACCTGGAACTTTGAGTTCAGTCTCCTGCTGCTTGAAATGATATTTGACCCCAAAATGATTTTAAATAATTTTATGATTTCACTGAAGATTTAGTTTCAGGTCATTCAGGTGAATTGGAATCTGTTTTGATGGTTCATAAACAAAAATAAAGAAAGAAACTAAGATTCTGTCTGCTTGTGTTTGCTCTTAGGTGGCCCAGCTGCAGGCTGAGACTGAAAAGGAGGGCCCCAGGACTGAGGCCCTTCCTCCTGCCCGTAAGGAGGGCGACCTCCCCCCTCTGTGGTGGCAGTTTGTCACCCGTCCTCGGTCGGTTCCCTCGTAAACACTCACCACCTCCTGGGGTCAGCCCTCCCTTCGGTCTGTGGGGAAACGTTTCCAACTGCAGTACTTTCTGACCTCTTGTTGAGTTCCTGTGTGTCTGTCCGAGGAGCTTCACCTGTACAGTTAGCCTGATTCCTCTGGGATCGGTTTGAAGTGGTCATTTACTTCCTGGAATCTTGTAGACTTATCGCACAATGGCTTTAGGTGTTCCAATAAATCACTGTATGAAACAAATACACGTTAATGAGTGTTGTGTTTATTGAAAGAGTGCTGTGCCACAGACAAATAATGTTGACTTTTCTCCTCCTCTGGTTCTGGGCTACACAAAGCCAACTCCCCAGGGTACATGACTTTTCAAACTGTTGTCCAACTTGAAGTTCTTGTGTCTGCTTCCCCTGGGGTTACACAAAAAAAGTTCCTCAACTCTTCCTGTCGTTGATGAACACATTAGTCCATGTGTTAATTATTTTATTGCCTGAAGCTGCTGTACTTGTCCAGTGATAAAAGGGATTGTTACGGTGAAAAGCTCGGTCTGAAGTTGCTCGGTCGAATCATCATGGTGACCCCCTTCAAGGAATAGAAGTCCGATTCTCTCCAGGAGAACCAGACGATGCCGTCCGGTCCGAGTAAATTCTGAGCTTTGAGAGAGTAACGACCCCCCTGAAGGAGAAACACATAAACACAACATATCTCCGCTTTCTCGGTTCCTCTCTGAACATTTCTGTTTCCTCTCACTTCTTTTCTCTTCACCCTCTTATTGGAGCCCTTCACCTTTATCTTAAAAAACATCTTTTTCTGTCTCCTCACAAAGAATCCGACTCTGTTAAGTTAAACACAGATGATTGAGGTAGACGTACCTTGTAGTAGACGCCGTTGAGGTTGGCGTAGAAACACTGATGGAACCACCAGCCGGCGTGGCTGATTTCAGCGCAGATGTTTCCCGTGTCTGGCGTGCTGAAGCTCTGCTGATTGTGGTACCAAGCAAACGAGTCTTTCACGGTGCCGCTGAAACCGGACACGTGGAGGCGGTAGTGGTTCTCCTCATCCTCTATCCTGCAGAACAAAGAGGAGGAGAAACGAAACCAAAACCAAACTACTACAAAAACATGTTTGCAAACAGCAAAAAAATCTAAAGATTTTCTGAGACAGTTTCAGGAAAATTAAAGCTTTAAAAAACATTTAAACTTGGATCTGTCGGGTCAGTGAAGCTTAGATAATGTGTGATGAGATATTTTGTCTAGAAATGAGACAAATTTTGGTCAAAATTCTTTTTTTTTTGCAGTGTAAATATCAATTCAAACTTGTGGCCTTGAACAGCATGTTTTCCCTGACTCTCTCCTCTAGTTTACTAGTCCACCGACTGTCAAAAAAGCACAATAAAGACTTGAAAAGCTCCAAAAGGAAAGGAAACAAAAAAAAAAAACAAACTTGCAGTTAAATGTGCGATGTGTAAGAATGAGCAGCATGTGGAGGTACAGACTCGGTAGGAGTGAAATATTATGAATAATATTATGAAGTATGGTTAAAATAAAATCAACTGTATATAAAATCGCAGATGGATCCCCTTCCACAGAGTCTAGCAAGCAGCGCCATGTTTCTACAGCAGCACAGAAGGGACAATTTTTGTAGTTTGTGAGAGGACACACTAAACGCACCAGTAGGGAGAGCGGTTGTTGGGCACAAAAGAATTTGTTCTGCTAGACATTGTTGACAGTAAAAACCTAACAAATGAAGGATTGTACTCAAGAGTCATCACAGGAGTTTCTTGTCCTGGAAGGCCACCATTGCTTTGCTGAGGGAAGGAGTGAGTGAGGGAGCATTTACTGTGGAACCTGACTGCAAGCTATCACCAATTATAAACATGTTCTGTTCCTAAAGATCTAAACCTGTTTTCCTGTTTTCCACAAAGTCTCCTTTTCTACCTGAAGGTGTGGTAGTGGGCGTGTCTGTGGGCGTTGCTCCAGTCTTGCAGTTTGATGCGAAGGCTGTAGTGGCCCTGATTGGACAGCAGGTGGAGCTGTTGGTTCCCCACCCAGTGTTCTCCTCGCGGCTCTCCGAAGCCTTCGCGATACTCCGACCAGCCTCGATTAAAATTCACCGAGCCATCGCGCCGTCGCTGGAACACCGTCCAACCCCCACCTGTTAGAAGGAGTCTTCATGAGCATGCTGCCCTCATATGTCACTCTATTACACATATTTCTATGCATGTAGCTTACAGGTGTCTATATCGTGGATGTCTCACCGTCTGTCTCCATGTCACAGTACACCGGCTGGGATGAACCTGGGGACACGATAATGCTGTAAACGCCAGATCGACGAACACCGTTGTGATACAGAGTCGCACAGTCTGACGGACAGAGAGACAGGTGGCGTCCATCTGAGGGGTGAGACAGAGAGACCGCAGGTTTTAGTACACCTGGATTTGCTCTGAAGGTGTCTGCTCTGTGTGTGTGCATCTACCTGGCGGCGTGTCCCTCATGCTGAGCAGAGAAGTTGCTCTGATGACGTTAATCCTGCAGCCCGTGTTCAGGTTCACGCGCTGCACCGTGGCTGAAAGGTTTCGGAGCTGCGTCTCTAACTCCTGCAGCAGCGTCTCATGAATGTGGAGCAGCGTGTCCATCTTGGTCTGATGAAACTCCAGGGAGTGCAGACGCTGGTCAAAGGTCAAGTTCAGATTCAATCCTCCATCACCCTGAGAAGCAGAAAAATGGATGTTAGCCTGTGTGGTTCATGATTATTCAACTCGATCAGGGGTCAGACAGATCTTTCTGTTGGATCTCTCCCATCGACGATGCCTCCGATCCATCCTAAAGGTGTCATGTAGAGACCACATCACCATGGAGAGGTGATGAGAAGGGCAGGCACCCTTGTCTGACACCGTCTGTGACAGGAGAAAGAGAATGACCGGACATGGACTCCGACCGCCAATAGAGAGAGACCGGCAAGTGTGGCAATAGAGGGAGGCCAAAGAAGACATGGCGACAAACAGCCAAGGAAGACCTGAGCGAGATGGGAGTCAGCTGGCATGGAGCAAGAAGGGTCGCTAGGGACCGGAGCAAATGAAGGGGACTCGTCGCCCAATGTTCCAATAGGAACGGGAGGAACTAAGTCTGAGTAAGTAAAGCAGCAAAAAGGAACAAAGACGTCTAAAATCTCAGAGAGTCTCAAAGAAACTGCAAAACTGAACATTTGTTTCTAGAGAAAACCAAACTTCTTTACGTCAAACTTCTCTACGTCAAACTTCCTTCGGTTCAAACCGTTTCACAGCGTCACAAGCTCAGCAGCGATCCATTTAATTGGATTGTGAGGAAGGGCGGCCCGGGGACACTGCAGCCCAGAAACATGCTCTCTGGGTCAGGAAGCCTCGGAAGGATCCGGGACTCCATCCAAAAGGTTTGCAGCTAATCCTGTTAGCATTCAGGGTTAAGGAGGACTTAGTGGGTGTCAAGACAGAGAGATAAGGAGAAAGAGTGAGATAAAGACGGGCTGTGTTGATATTGTCACACCTTTTTCCCCCCTTTTCTTCTTGTTCTAATCACACGACAGCTTTGGTGGAGTAAACAGCTGCTGGATAAAGCCGATTAGGTATGAAGTGAAGTGAGCGAACGAGAACAGATGAGAGAGTTAATGACCAAATAAAAACATCTGTTTGTTCTCTCGTGTTTGAAGCCTTTTCTTTGGTTTCAGCTCATTTTTTAACAGAAATATTAGTATCTGTTCAAGCTTGAAGGGAAAACTGAAGTGAGTTGTACAAATCCAAAAAATACATCAGACTGTAGCTCGCTGTTTGATCCAGCAGAGGGCGCACTCGTCGTTACCTGACCATTGAAGCGCACTCTTAACACCAGTAAAGTGTCTGTTGGTTTAATGTTAGACACTCCTCACAGGAGATAAAAGGAGGTTCAGCTGCAAACTCCTAAAACACTTCACTGATCTCGCCGTTGGTGTACCTGCGTCTCCAGAGCCCTGACTCGATGCCCGTGGTTCCTCAGCTCCTCCTGCAGCGTTGACATGGTCTCCCTCAGCTCATCCAGCTGCTCCTTCCTGTTCTGGTTCTCATGCAGCCAATAGGAGATGTCGTCTGTACAGCGAAACATATCAGGGCAGCGTTTCTGGGATGTTCCCACAGGTACCGCGGGCAGCGTGGCCGTCAGCCGGCACTGTCCGTTGGAGGTCATCTGGCTGCTGTACTCGCCGCAGTGCTCTGCTGAACTCCGGTTGTTGCTTTCTCTGACTCCAGTGTTTGTTCTGTGCATCACCGGTGAAGAATCAGGATGAAGGTTGTAACGTGTTTCCAGGAGGGTGGATGGAGGGTGCCAGTCAGCGTCCTCGTAGTTGTTCTTGTTGATGTCCGGTAGGTCCCAGTTTGCTCCGATGTTTGTGTCTAATACATCTCTGCTTGCTCGTCCTTTCACGCCCAACAAATCTGTGCGAGTTTCTCTGAGGGTGTTGTGGTGGACGTCTTCACCAGGCTGGACATCTGTGTGTCCATCAGAGGCGGCAAAGTCACCCGTCACAAGCTGGTACCACCACCAGGTCAGGAAGGAGCAAGTCAGCAAAACAAAAGGACGCTTCATCCTCAAAGTTCAGCGACTCGCCATCTTTCATTCATGAACTTTGACCCACATCCCAAGAAGACTCAGCGTCAATATCCAGATTGTCCAGGTCAGGCATTTCCCAGAGTTCAACTTTTCATGCATTCGATCATTCCTGCAGGGTTTCTTGTCATCCTGGTCGGTCGGATCGGTTCAAAGTTCAGTGGGAGTCTTTCTGGACCCAGTAGGCTCATACATCCTGCAGAGTCCTTGTCAGGTCAGAGATTCAGACCTGCTGATAGATTCTCCTGCTGAGAGACAAAATCAGAGAGTTTTTTAGACGTGTGGACTTTTGCATGATCCCATCTACTGAACTACACATGAACCATGAAACTGCAAATAAAGATCAATGTAGGTCGTCACAAACTCAAATTCAACAGGACAAACTTGTATTAAAAGGTTTTCATGACCTCAATCTGAACTTGTTTGGTAGCTACTTTCATTTGAAGTTACTATGGCAGCCAATAGAAACGAGTCGTGTTTTTAAGAAACTGCAAACAGAGGGGAGATGATCACGGCTGGATCTGAAAGATATTGTCACTAAACATCTCCAACTGGAGCTGGTTTAATCAGTTTAACAGTTTTTACATCTTATTTCCTTCACCTCTGGAGCGTCATCAGACACACCTGTAGCTGAGTCTCCACAGCAGTCAGATGGTTCCTCTTTTCGGAGGATACTCAGCAGTAATCAAGAGTTTCTGGTTTCATTCAAATTAAAGTTCAAACAAAGAGAGTTCACATCAGAACCACTGTCCTACCTGTCGCCATGTAAGTCCCAGCATCCCAGCACCGAATCCAGCTCAATGGAAAAGTATCAGGACAGCCAGGAGACTGTTTGTATGTGGGTGTGTGTGCTCAGCACCGGGTATGACATCTTATCCTGATAATCCTCTGAGAGGATTGGCAGCCATTGGCTGGAAGGTAATAGATTACAGATAATGGGATCAGAGTAATGTCACTATAAGTAACAGTGAGTGATGCAACGCTGCCGATGACAGACAGAAGGAATCTGGGGCTGACCTGAGGGGGGTGCATGGCTGCCGGCTGAGGGAACAAATCCAGGTGCCCCTCAGCCCTCCTGCTCCAGGGGGTTCCAAAGACGGTTCCAGATCCTGCATCCTTCCAGCATGTTCTGGGTCTACCCCACGGTCTCTCACCAGTTGGACCTGCCCAGAAAACCGCAAATGGACGACACCCAAGAGGCGTCCTAATCACCGACTTGAAACCAACTTCGCTGGCTTCGCTCCATGCAAAGGGGATGGAGGTCTATTTTGAACTCCTTACTCCGGATGTCTGATCTCCTTATGCCATCACTAAAGCTGGGCTCAGGAGGAAACTCATTTCTGTGGCAGATATCTGAGACTGTTTTATGGTTATAGGTGAGTGTACGGTGAGCCAATTAAACTCAGCTCCTTCTCCGTCAGTATGTTGAGGAACATCTGAAGAGCAGCCAACTCATCCTGGTGTCATTAGAGCTTCTGCCTGTCTGCTCTGTCGCTTCAGTAAAGCTTCGGGGTGTTAGTTTTTACACGGCTCTACAGTCCACAGTTATCCCTTCACAGACAATGTTTTTGACTGAAAACTTGACGAATAAACTTTGTTGAGATAATTAAATAAAGATGGACTGATTTTTCTGCAGAAGTTTGTGAATGAAGATCTGAAGTTCTGATCAATAATGTCGTCACTTTGACTTCTGTCTGTCTGTCTGTTTGTTTGTTTTTTTTGTTTGTGCCATTACCGCTCCATCTTCTCCTGAACACAGCAGACAGAGCCGGCGTTTGTGTGCGCTGGTCTTTAATGGATTGAACGTTGGTTCAAGGCCGTGGGAGAACCTCTAATGGGTTTATATTTACCGTCTGACTCGATCAGATCCATTAGAAGATAAACTCTGAAAGTTTAGGATGAGAGAGTGAAAGAACAGCCGACTCTTTCTCTGATGGAGTCGTACTGATTCATCCACACTAGCATTCAAGCCCTCACTCTGAACGCCCTGAATGAACGAATGAATGAAGCTAAGGTTTTCTGTCTGTTGTTCTTCCTTTTTTTTACATAATCAGAATCAGAATCAGGAAAAACTTTTAAAATACCCAGGGGAAAATTGCTTAAATAAAACATTTTCATGGATTTATGTCTTAAATTAGGAGTAATCAGACATTTTAACTGGAAACAAGACAGAAACACCTGGTTGGATTTGGGAGTTATGGCGCTGATACGATATTTAATCACACTCGGGCTTTAACCTGAACGGTGTAACAGCTAACAGACCTTTTCCAACAAACTTCAGTATCGTTCTGGACTTGTGAACTTCTGCTAGAGTGAAAGGTTTCAGTACAAGTTAAGTGGTGTAAGAAATTAATCAGATATTTAAAATAACAACACAAAGTGATGAGATTTATCATCCTTTAAGAGTGAATGGTCGATGGCGAAACGGTTGTTTGAATTCCTTTGAATCAATAATGGGTCATGCAGAGGTTATCTGCTGTATGATAGAAGACAGATCCATCTGTAGGTGAGTGTGTAAAGCTGTGAACTTTGACCCTCAGGCTCAAACATCTCACCTCTGCCGTAATCTGTCAGATATTTAACTCTCAGACTCTCGACTGTGGACTCAGTTTCAGGTGATTTTGTTGTGTGAAGATAAGTTTAAGGATGACACAGGTTTGTTTTAGATACTTTTAAACAGTCAAAATAACTTCAGAAATCAATGTGCAATGTTCAACATACAATATCTTTTCTTACCTTTAAAATAACAGACCTCAATATTTCAACCCTCACATATTAGGAATAGTTTTACAGTTAATTTATCAAGACAAAATGTCAGAATGTCTTATGTCAATACTCAGAATGTCACCATCTTCTTTTTGCATGTTCATCGTGTTTTTATCTGCAAAAAAAGAGAAAATTTCAGAAAATCTGAGTGTTTGAGCAGCTGAGGTTGAATTTTCTTTTGCAGATTTTTGACCAAAAAATAAATAAAAAGTAGAAATTTAACCTGCTGAAGAAAGTTCAGTATTAACAATTAAAGAAGCTTTTCAGTCTCATAGTGTGCTGTAGACTTACATTCATGATGAAGATGAAGATGAAGATGATGATGGTGATGATGATGTGTGTTGGTGGGTGGAAGTGAACAGGAGCAGTTTGTCAATGACTGTCTGTCCTAATGCAGCAGTTTGTCCTCACAAGAGCACGATGGAGAGACGTCAGGTAATGACGTGTGTGTGTGTGTGTGTGTGTGTGTTGGCTGACAACATATAAAATGGTCCGGTCGATTATTGGACAGACAAAAGTGAAGAATCAGAAATCTCTGTTCAGAACGAGAAGAAAACACAAAAAGAAGACGACGACGACGACGAAGGACGAGAAAATCTCAGAGACAGAACGGGGGTGAGTGAAACATGAGACTTATTTTTGACCTTTTTTGATCCTTACTGTCTTCTTACTATTGTTTAGAAACTGTCTGAAACTTCATAAGAACTCTTAAAATACGCCTCTTAATTTAAAAGGACCTAATAGAATCAGAATCAGAATCAGAATCAGAGTGCCCTTTATTGTCCATATACTGGAGTACAACAAGATTGGAGAGCTTCTCCATTTTCAGTGCGATAGATAAAAAAAGACAACAGAGCCAATTAAAATGACAAAAATAGTTGTAAGAAAAAAGAATAGGGACAGACTATACACAAGATAAAATCCTCTAGTGCAGGGTAAATAGTGTTAAGTATTAAGAATTATATATACATGTTTATATATAATATTGAGGTAGGATTCAACATAGCAGCAATGGTAATATATTGCAGTTTAATTTTATTTGACCAAACTGTGTTGACATTTTTGTATAAAACTGTACAAAACATGAAGATTAAGGACAAAAAATTTAACCTGATAAAAATGATGAAATCCAAAGTAACAAAAACTTGTAAAAGAAAATATATTATATTGAAAGCATTTAAAAATGTAAAGGTAGAAGTGGCAAAAAATGTTTGTTTAATGAACATTTAATCAGAATAGGTGAGGATGATATCAGAAATACTCTACAGCTGATGAGCCCAGATTTTTTTGGATAAATTAATTTTGTAATTTACTCATTTACACAATTTGACTGTTTTCCTTTTAGTTACTCCTACATTACCTTTGTTGTCCATGTTATTTTCAGTTCTCTAGTTTCTTTTTTCTGGATTTGGATTTTTAATCAAGTTTTTTTTTTGTTTATTAAAATCTTTTCAGTCTGCAGTTTTGGTTCTTTTGTTTAAACTTCATTGACGAGATTTCACAGACAGGGATGAAAACTACAAAAACTAAAATCAGGAATCAAACCCTGAAAACACAAAGAGAAACTATCCTGAGTGTATGTATCATGGATTTTACTTTGAAGTTAGTACAAAGTCACAATGATTTAAAAAAAGAAAACAAAAGAAAAACTTCATTTTTGTTTACCTGTTTCTGATTGGCCGGCAGGAGAATGCGTCCTGTGTGGCTATTGGTGTGTGTGGCCATGGTGGGCGTGGCCAGAGGAGCTGTCAGTAATTGTATGGAACACCGGAGCTGTCAGGAAGTCAACTCTGAGAGCAGGATGATGGTGAACACACACACACACACACACACACACACACACACACACACACACACACACACACACACACACTATTGTAGATATTGGCTGTGTTCGAAATGGATCCCTAACCCCTATATGGGCGACTATCGTGGGGTTAGCATCATTTTGAGGGGTGTCCGAAACCTCAGTGATCAATTCCAGTGCCCCATATAGGCAACTCAAAATTTACCATAAAGCATTGCAAAATGTAGTGACCATCTGATGGTCACTCACCGGTGGTGGGCATCCCATCATGCCATGTAGTGCCTGAAACCTCAAGGGATTGAGCTCACTACATAGTCAGCTATATAGTGAAACCCTATATAGGGGTTAGGGATTGAGTGAATCATTTTGGACACAGCCGTTGTCTTTTCTTTTAAATTGAACCTTTTGATCAGACTGTTAAGCACCAGTTTATATCCTGTTTTATGACCCATCTATATAATCTGTCTATAAGGTATAATAATGTAATCTATGACTATATAAATAATGGATATAAGGTTAGACACAGTCTGAGCCCTTGTCCTCTAAAGGGATTGTGTTCTAAAAGTGCTGAAATCTCAGCAGAGCGTTTTTAAATGAGCTAAATCTCATGGTGGTAAACTTGAGCCTCGCTTTTGTACCAGTTTTCCTCATTAAAGGAGCAGAACTGTTCACTTTCTCATGTCATGTAACTAATACAATTTAAAGGTGGGGTCGGCAGGAATTCGTTAAAGAAACATCTTTTTTGTGGTGTATAAACAAAAAAGCTTTTAATATCAGTCAATAGTTATTAGTTCTTGATGACATTTGGTAATATATCGATATCTCTGTGTTCTCTTATGTCTGTGTAGTCTACATTTTAACATTTTTGAGCGGTCCGCTCTTTCTGACGAAACAAAGCTGTTCTTCACCTCCTCTAACCTGATTGGTTGTGAGGCAGACGCTGCTCCCCCGTGTCGTTCATGAGCCCAAACAAAGTTAGCGTGCTACAATATCGGACAGTAGAAACCAACCAGAAAGTTCGGAAAATTGTCTGAATCCTCCTTTGGCCACGACTGCCGACACAAGCAAGAAAACAAAGTAAATACCGGAGACTCTGGAAGAATAACGGGCGCTTAAAACGGAGGTAGACCGGACAAGAGCTAAAAAGCCGGGTCAACATAAACGATGGGGGACGCTTGGGGATCTTGGTGACCCTGTAACCTTTCTGCTGGACAGGTAAACTGCTTTAACAAAGTAAGACAAGTGTCTGTAACAGAAGTGTTTCTTGTCAAGCGGACCTGCTGTAGCGTGTTGTAGCGCCATCGCTAAACTGTCCTCCCTCGGGTCCTGGACTATGTCACTTTATCCTCGTTGTAGAAGTCCTGCAAACGTTGTGTTTGCTGGTAGTCTGTTGGCATCTACAGTAGCACCAATGCTTTTGACTTTCACCTTGACTGGGCCCCATTTGTAATGATCTGAAGTATTTATCTGCATTATATCTGAATTTAATTGGAACGATACGAGCGAGCAGGAGCGTCTGTTTGTGGGCGGGGCTTGAGGGGAGAGGAGGAGCTGAGGGGAAAACTGGTTGGGAGGGGTAGAGTTTACATTCAAGATTTCTCCTAAAAACTGGAACTTCATCAGACCCTGACTACACCACCTTTAACTTCAAAAACAGTGAAATATCCCTTTAATAAACAGAAGAGCCTGATGTAGAGCACATTGTCTAATGATGTTTAACGCTGTGACATCTGACCACAGGACTGTATCCAACTCTGCCGCTCAGACCTCACCGCCGAGACGCCCATCATCCCAGGCGAAGCACACCTCCAACCTCCTCCTCCATCAGATCTGGTGTCTCTGCTTCCTCTCTTACCCTCCTCCTCCTCCTCTCCTCAGGCCAAGCGCTCCTACTCCATGGAGCACTTCCGCTGGGGGAAACCTGTCGGGCGAAAGCGCCGCCCAATCAAAGTCTACACCTCTAACGGCGCCGAGGAAGAGTCAGCTGAGGTTTTCCCTGGAGAGATAAAGAGGCGGGAGCTGGCCAGCAAAATAATGGCAGAGGAAGAGGAGGAGAAGGAGCAAGAGGAGGTGGAGGGGGAGGGAGAAGAGGACGAGCAGAGTCAGGACGACATCCATGAGAAGCAAGACGGCGTCTACAAGATGAAGCACTTTCGCTGGAGCGGGCCGCCAGCCAGCAAACGGTACGGCGGCTTCATGAAGAGCTGGGACGAACGCACTCAGAGGCCGCTGCTCACGCTGTTCAAAAATGTGATCAACAAAGAAGGACAGCAGCAGGAGTGAGAGAGCGGGGAGGAGAGAGGGAGAAGGAGGAGAGGGGGGGAGCAGGGGGAGAGAGGGAGAGAGGGGAGGAGAGAAGGAGGAGAACAGCTGACCAGAAACACAGGAGCTCTCCACATAATGTCCTTAAAATCACAACAAGCAGAAGTTACTGATTCATTTTTTTTTTGCACGGATCAGGATTTAGAAAGACGACTGAGAAGTTTTTGGACAGTTCAGTTCAGCCTGTTCTGTAGTGAGAGCAGCTTCAGTGTCATTCAACACTATATGATGTATTTATAAGTGTGTTTTTATTGACATGGTACAGGTGTGATCAGGATCAGGGGGCTGAAACCTCTCCGATAAGACTGTTGTCATGTTTGTGTGTACTTTCTGAATATTTGCAGAGTTTCTTCGCTCTGATCAGTTTTATAAAAAGGTTGACAAGCACAAGAATTACATGATGGTAAGAATCTGCTTTTTTCCTTTGTCCTGTCTGCACCTCCACACACAATCTCAACAAAAGAGAGCTACAGGAAGATAAACAGAGAGAGAGAGAAAAATGTTTTATATTCTGATGAATGTAAATAACTGTTAACAGCATTAAAACAAAGTTATTTGCAAGCAAAATCTGCCAGGAGTTCTTTTTTTTTGTTTTATTCTGCCTGAAAACCCACGATAATTATTTTTTGTGTGTGTAAATTAACCTCATAATCAAATACCGTATTTTTCGCACTTAAAATCCTTTAATTTTCTCAAAAATCCTCAGTGCGCCTTATGTATGAATTCTGGTTATTAAATGAGTTAAAGTTTGACTTATCTGACTGTTTTGTTTGGCTTAATGCGCTTTATAATCCGGTGCGCTTTATGTACGTAAATAGACAGGAATAGATGCGTTCATTGATGGTGCGCCTTATAGTGCGAAAAATACGGTACTGCTTAACCTCTGTCAAAACCTTCTTTATACGTTTAAATACAAAAAATAAAATTCAGAACATATTGGTGCTTAAAATTACTCCAGAATACAGGACAAAACTCTAGTTAGATGTATGGACTCAGTAACTTATAGTTCATATTTATTGTTTTATGATAACTGGATCAACACAAATAAGCTTCATCTGATTAATTTATGAACATTTATTAAAAATTTTCCACATGGATTTATTTACATTCTTCGGAGAAAAAGAAAATAATTAATAATAATAGAGTTTTTTAAGAAACAATGCTTCACAGCGATTGAAGGAAAAAGAGACATGAAAATAATAAAATACAAAAACATTCAGGAAATAAAAAACAACAAAGAAAATCAAGAAAATGGACGAACCCAAAGAGTCTTAGGACCCTCAGAGGAAGTACCAGAGCAGGTACAGACTGGTCATTTAGGTCATTCAAGTATAAAGGTGCACTGCGGTTTACTACTGTGCAGAATTAGTTTATATTTACAGAAATGTCTTGAATTAGCCAATGAAAGAAGGCCCACTGCAGCAGAGATGGGTTCGTATTTACATGATCCAGTCAGAGAACGAACCAAAGCTTCGGGAATGAATATCTGGTCATTTTTACAGCATAAAACAGCAGGTAAATGGTTTCTCTCCAGTCAGAGCATCTGGGTGGTTTTCTACCTCTGAAATCTCTGAAAGTAGCTGAAGGTTTTCTCCGGTTTTAAAACCGTCTGATGCCCTGTGGTCCCCCTCTGATCATCAGAGTAAACGTTCCAGTTTGGTCCCAGTGGTCCTTGTGAATCCCCTCCTGTAGACTTGGGTATTTTAGCAGATTATTTAAAGCCAACCGTCTCAAATTTGGGTTTTAAGATGGACAGTGATTTTAAACTCGACAGGCAAATCAGCTCAGTAGTGAAATCCACCTTTTATGATATTACGCAGCTGGCTTTTCTTTGCACAAACAGTAATCCACGCCTTTGTTACATCTCGGTTTAATGGATTACTGTAACGCACTTTGCTTTGGAGTCAGCCAGTCCTCCCTCGCACGTCTCCAGTTAGTACAAAACGCAACTGGAGTATAAGGAGCACATTCCTCCCATCCTGGCCTTCCTCCACTGGTTATTCATTTTAAGATTCTTTTATTTGTTTTTAAATCTTGAAATGGTCTGGCTCCATCTTACCTCTCTGAGCTTCTCCACCCCTACACCCCTGCTCGCTGCCTCAGGTCAGCTGATCAGCTGCTCTTGGAGGTACCCCTCCGAGTTACCCCTCCAAATCAGACAAGCCTCCACACTGTCCATTTTTAAAACCTCGTCTTAAAACCCATTTTTATTCTTTGGCTTTCAACCCTGTTTCAGTGTTTTATGGTTTGTTTTTAGTTATTTGTTCCTATGTTTTTAATAAGTTTTTAAGAACATTAAAACTATATTTTACTTTTTAACATCTGCTTTTATTTCATCCATTGTTTTAATTGTCTTTTGATTGTTTTTTATGTCTGCGTTGTTTTAAAGTGCTTTACAAATACAGTTGAGTTGAGTTTAGAAGAGTCTCCCCTTCAGTTTTCAGTCTCCTGCTGTGAAAGTCCCTCTGGATCTGAGTCACACATTGTTTCTGTTCCGTCACATTTTTCTTCATCTTCATCAGCGTGGTTATGGTTTTGGTTATGACTTTGATTCAGCTCTGAGGAACGGCAGCCAGAGAGCTCTTGATCACAAACATCACAGCTGATGAGCGCCTCCTCTCCTTGTTGATGTCTTATTTCAGGCGTCAGCTGATGATGATGTTCAGGTCTATTACTGGCCTCTGAAGAGCTCAAGGATTTCCGTCTTGCATGAACTAACATGTGCTTCGTCATATTCCCTTTAAAATTAAATCTTTTCCCACACTCAGAGCAGCTGAAGGGTTTTTCCCCCATATGAATCACCATGTGTTTCGTCAAATGACCTTTTTGGTTAAATCTTTTACTGCACTCAGGGCAGCTGTAGGGTTTCTCCTCCATGTGAATCATCATGTGTCGGGTCAGATTTCTTTTATAGTTGAATTTACTCCCACACTCAGAGCAGCAGAAGGGTTTCTCTCCTGTGTGACTCCTCATGTGTTCGGTGAGATGGCCTTCAGAGATAAATCTTTTCTCGCAATCAGAGCAACCAAAGAGTTTTTCTCCTTCATGGTACGTCATGTGGACAGTCAGACTGGACTTGAGGTAAAATCTTTTTCCACACTCAGAGCAGCTGAATGGTTTCTCTCCTGTATGAGTTCTCATGTGCTCTGTCAGACCGCGTTTGTGAGTGCATTTTTTCCCACATTGAGGACAGATGAACGGGTTGTCTTCCGAGTGTATCCTCATGTGTGTGGTCAGATTACCTTTATGGGTGAATCCTTTCCCGCAAACGAAGCAGCTGAAATTTTTCTTTCCCGTGTGAATTCTCATGTGTCTGGTCATACTTTCTTTACGGGTAAATCTTTTACTGCACTCGGAGCAGCTGAAGGGTTTCTCTCCTGTGTGATTTCTAATGTGTATAGTCAGATGCTGTTTCTGCTTGAATGTTTTGCCACACAGAAAGCAGCTGTGTAATTTCTTATTCCTCTTTGACTCAGCATCTCCTGTATTTTCAATGGAGATCAGTCCTAAACTCTGTTCTGTTGTGCTGTTGATATCATCATTATCATCCGTTTCAGCTTCAGAGAAGTCTCCACTTACGTCATTAGTGTCAGGTTCAGAAAACTCTTCAAGCTTGACCTCGATCTCCGGCTGTAAAAGTATCTCTGAATCTGAATTCTCGGCTGACTCCAGTCCTTCACAGCCCTCTCCTGTCTCTACCTTTCTTCTCCTCTCTTTCTTTTCTTCCTGTAACTTGGCAGCCTGACTTCTTCCACACTTGTGAATTTTTAACTGCGAATGCCAGGTGAATCTTTGCTCACAAACACTGCAGCTGTAGGGTTTCTCTCCTGTGTGAAGCGGCATGTGTCGGGTCAGATTTCTCTTACTGTTAAATCTTTTTCCACACTCAGAGCAGCTGAAGGGTTTCTCTCCCGTGTGAATCAGCATGTGCCTAGTGACGTGATGTTTTTGGTTGAAGGTTTTGCCACACTGAGAACAGCTGAAGGGTTTCTCCTCCATGTGAATCGTCATGTGCTGATTCAAGTGTTTTTTATAGTTGAATCTCTTGCTGCACTTGGAGCAGCTGAAGGGTTTCTCTCCTGTGTGAATCCTCAAGTGTTCAATCAGATGACCTTTACATGTGAACCTTTTCCCACATTCAGAACAGCAGAGGGCTTTTCCCTCCAAGTGAATGATCATATGCCTGGTTAGATTTCTTTTATGGTTGAATCTTTTCCCACACTTGGAGCAGCTGAAGGGTTTTTCTCCTGTGTGAAGTCTTGTATGCTCTGCCAGATGACCTTCACAGATAAATCTTTTCCCACATTCGGAGCAACTGAACAGTTTTTCTCTTACATGATAAGCCATGTGAGCCCTTAGACTCGAGTTGTGATGAAATCTTTTCCCGCATTCACAGCAGCTGAATGGTTTCTCTTCTGTGTGAATCCTCATGTGTTCTTTTACACCATATCTAATCAGATGTATTCTCATATGTGTAACCAGAATACTTTTATGATGAAATCTTTTACCACACTTGAAACAGCAAAACTTCTTCTTCCCTGCGTGAACACCCATGTGTCTGGTCATACTATCCTTACGAGCAAATCTCTTCCCACAATCAGAGCAGCTGAAAGGTTTCTCTCCTGTGTGAACTCTCATGTGCGTGGTCAGATGTTGTTTCTTTCTGGATGTCTTCCCACACTGAGAACAACTGTGTAACTTCCTCTGTGTCTTGGATCCGTTATCTTCAGTGTTTTCTGTAGAGTTTGATCCTGAATGTTCTTCATTTGTATTCTCCCAGTTCTCACTGTCATCAGTCTCAGCTTCAGAAACATCTTCAATCTTGACCTCAATCTCTGAGTCCGAGACCCTTGCTGGTTCTGATCCCCTCAAGTCCTCTCCATCAGCCCTTGTTTCCATTTGTTCAGTGTCTTTTTGATGAGGTTGCAAGGACTGCGGTTTCCCTTCCTCATCTTCACTCTTTACATTGGTAGGACTAAATGAGAACTTACTGGTATTGGCCTCCTCCTGACTGCTCCAGAGTTCCTCTTGTTCCTCTTTAATGTGAAGAGGCTTAATGTCCTCCTGGTCTCCATATTGGCTCCGATCCTGCCGCTCGGGAGGCTCTTCTTCTCCGACCACAAGCTTCTGGATGTCAGCAGGAAACTCTGAAGAATGAAAAGAGACATCATGAGAGGCTGTGAAATAGTCCTTTTTGATATTCCTGTTTTAAGCTGCTCTCAATCTGACAGTTGAATGGTTTCACTTCTGTTTGTTAGCTGTGATGATCCATAAACAGCAATATATAAACCAGTGCTGGACCTGCTCTGATACTCTGTTTTAGCAGAGACTGACAGTCAAGTCAATACAAATTCCTTTAGAAACTCTCCTACGTAATATGATGAACCTTTCCGCTGGCAAACTTTGAGAGGGACATTTTATATTCAACCTGTTTTTTTAACCTGCTCCTAGTTGTAGAAGTCCTGCAAACATTGTGTTTGCTGGTAGTCTGTTGGCATCTACAGTAGCACCAATGCTTTTGACTTCACCTTGACTGGGCCCCATTTGTAATTATCTGAAGTATTTATCTGCATTATAATTGAATTTAATTGGAACAATACGAGCGAGCAGGAGCGTCTGTTTGTGGGCGGGGCTTGTTGGAGCAGAGAGGGAGGGGAGAGGAGGAGCTGAGGGGAAAACTGGTTGGAGGGGTAGAGTTTACATTCAAGATTTCTCCCCAAAACTGGAACTTCCTCAGATCCTGACTACCCCACCTTTAACCAAAATATTTATATCAAAAGCAATATACGGTTAGACCTCTGTTAACCGGCTAGTCTGAACTTGGTCTAGATTTAGACGTTTAAAAAAACATTCATTTTTAGACCTGTGGTAGCCTGATTTTAGACCAGTCATCTCGGCTACATTTAGACCTCTTATAGACCAAAAAATGTTCAGTGGGTGTATTTCTGTATTTCTGTGATACTAATGAAGTTCAGCTCCACTCTCTGACATTTCTTAAAGGAGGTGTTGGTGATTTTGGTCTGAATTTGAGCAGGAGGATCGCTCAGCTTTGGAGAGAATCAGACACTGTGAAAACTGACCTCCAACCTCTGCCACAGTTTTACCCTTCACTGAAAGTCTAACAGGTCTGTATACGGAGAAAACACATCAAACATCAGTGTATTCAAATAAGAGTTTACGCGGCGCTGATGGAAAAACCAGCAGTTAAATGACAACAAATAATGACAGTGATGGAGTTTATAGAAAGAAGCTCTGCCTCTCCTCATGAAAAGGGTGACGCAGCTCAAGGAAGAACATTGTTTGTGCTTCTCCTCATTAAAGTAACCCACCTTTAAATCTGATCTCAGTAAAAACAGTTTTATCAGGATCTGTGAGGGTGTAAACATTAGAGACAGACTCAGCTCCCTCATATATTCACATCAAACCCGTTTAAAGCAGAACCAATAAAACAGACCTGCTCTCTGAAGTTTTATATCAGCTTTAAGATCCATCTGCTGGAGCTCCTCTTCGTGTCCTGTCGGGGTTTTTCGGCCTGTAAAGTCTTTTCTCCGCTGTTTGCAGAAATCTGGACGATCCTGAAAGCCGGACGTCTCAGACTGATCCCGGAATTAAAGAGAGGAGAGGAAAGTTAACGCTGAAGCTTTTCTGGTGTTTACTCCTCTCATGTTGGACTCTCACTCATCCAAACATGCTAACCGTGCAAGTTGGGATACGAGCTAACGTGACCCGGAAGCAAATCTTTTTTTGGGGGCGGGTGGCAAACCAGCTGAAAGGTGCATTACCGCCACCTGCTAGACTGGAGTGTGGTTCTGGATTTATGTAGTTACTCTTAAAGGGATATTCAGGCGTAAAATTTATGATGTCCCAGCCATAGTACTAGACACCAAACATCTTTTTAACTTTGACTCATTTCTTAAGTAAAGAGACCAAACACAACTCACCTACTCTCTTCCAGCAGCCGCTTGTTTGTAGTGAGACCTCAGGCCAGTCCATAACGGACTGCAGCAAGGTGACGCAGCTCAAGGAAGAACATTTATGATCATTTTTTCATGGAAATACAATCAGACTGAGAAGCTAAGGCAGAATAACTACCACGTCTGCAGTGGAAATGATTAATATGGTGATTATTACTTCAAGGAAATGATAAAGAAATGATCGTTACTAAAGTTGGTAAAACTAGAGAAGCAAGCGGTCGACAACATTCATCTTTCGAGGGGGTGTCTAACTCGGTGTTACAGTGTTTTGACCCTAAATCAATTTTACACCGGAATATCCCTTTAAATTCAGGAGGTGACATATTTGGAATGTCTTCACACAGAAGAAAAAATCACAAACAGCACAAACGTTCACCTGTAACTCTACTGTTGATTGATTGGATCTATGTGAGGTCAGTGATGAGGTTGACTCTGATAAAATCTTTGTTTTCCGAATTTATGAACGTTGTTAGGGGTCTGGACCAATCAGAATTGAGTTTTTGAGACAGCCAGGTGATTAGTGAGAAAGATAAAGAGATCTCAGGTGCCTGAGGGACTCGTGTTGAACACTGAAGTGGTGATTTGTTTAATTTATCATTTAAGGAACATCTTTCACATCAAAAGTTTGAACATTGGTACATTCAACAGTTTCAACAACATTCTCGTATGAACATTAACAGTGAAGTAGTAAGTGGCAATAAAATACTCACAGATATTAATGAATGAACTTCGAACTTTGCAAGATACAACAGGTATTCATATATCCATATTTAAGCGTACCGTAGAACACCAACACACCTTTGAATTTTAACTTAAAAACGGAGACAGAAACATTAAACTTTCAGCTCAGATTTAAATAAGATAAAAAAAACAAAGACATATTTTCGGTCAGGTTTCAGCCTGTGTGAACCGTCATGTGTCGGGTCAGACTTCCTTTAAAGTTAAATCTCTTCCCGCACTCAGAGCAGCTGAATGGTTTCTCCCCTGTGTGAATCGTCATGTGTTGTGTCAGACTTACTTTATAGCTAAAGCTTTTACCACATTCGGTGCAGCTGAAGAGTTTCTCTCCTCCATGGTGCGCCATGTGGGCGATCAGATTGGATTTATGATTAAAACCTTTACCACAATCGGAGCAGCTGAACGGTTTCTCGCCAGTGTGAGTTCTTATGTGCTCCATCAAACCACGTTTTTGGGTACACTTTTTCCCACACTGGGGGCAGATGAACGGATTATTTTCCAAATGAATTCTCATGTGCGTGGTCAGATTACCTTCATGGGAAAATCCTTTACCGCACTTGAGGCAGTGAAAGTTTTTCCTCTCCGTGTGAATTTTCATGTGTCTGGTCAAACTTTCTTTACGGGTAAACTGCTTCCCACACTCAGAGCAGCTGAACGACTTCTCTGTCCTGTGAACTGCCATGTGTCTGCTCAGATTTCTTTTATAGTAAAGTTGTTTTCCGCACGTAGAGCAGCTGAAGAGTTTCTCTCCTGTGTGAATCCTCATGTGTTTTGTCAGATGATCCTCACAGATTAATCTTTTACCACATTCAGAGCAGATGAAGGGTTTCTCTCCTGTGTGAACTCTCATGTGTATTGTCAGACTGCATTCTTGTCTGCATCTTTTCCCACACTGAAGGCAGACAAACGGGCTGTTCTCAAAGTGGATCTTTCTGTGTGTGGTCAGGGAACCTTTTTGGTTAAAAACTGAACCACACTTGAAGCAGTTGTACTGTTTCTTTTTTGTGTGATTTCTCATGTGTCTGACCATACCATGTTTACGAGTAAATCTCTTACCGCACTCAGTGCAGTGGAAGGGTCTCTCTCCTGTGTGAATTTTGAGGATTTTGGTCAGAGGCTGTTTTCTTTTGGATGTTTTACTGAGCTGAGAGCAACGATGTGACTTCCTCGCTGTCTTTGATTTATTTCCTTCAATATTTGATCCCAAACTAAGTTCTGTTGTGTCCCTCCATTCATCGCTGTCATCAGTCTCAGGTCCAGAGTTGTCGTCAATCTTGACCTCGATCTCTGGTTGTATATGTCTTTCTGGGTCGAAGTTCTTGGCTGGTTCTGATCCTTTTAACTCCTCCCTCTCTGCTCTTTTTTCAATCTGTTCAGCTTGTTTTTGATAAATCTGTTCGAAGTGAGGTTTTTCTTCATCATCTTCACTCTTCACAGGGACAGGAGTGAACGGGAATTGGACCCTGATGATATCTTCCTCTAGTCCTTGAAGATGCTCTCCCTCCTCCTGAACGCTCCAGAGTTGTTCCTGTTCCTCTTTAATGTGGGGGGAATTTTTGCCTCCCTGGTCCAGAGTGGGGTTAAAATCCTGCTTCTCAGGAGGCTCTTCTTTTTCCACTGACAGCTGCTGGACGCCAGAGGAAAACTCTAAAATATGTGAACACATGAAGGAAATCTGTGAGATTCATGTAAAAATCATACTTGGAAAACTCTTAGCAGGTATTTCTGTTATGAACTAGTGTTGACAGTTGCACTTTCATGACCAGATTGTTGTAGTGTTGTGTCATTTGCGAACGATTCATTCAAAAGAACCGAATCTTTGAAGTGAACATACTCAACCGAATCACTTCCTTGAGTGATTCATTCATTTCTCACTTCAGTTGAGCTGAAGTGAAAAACATCATTTCCAGGCCAGCAGCCGGTGAACAAGGGAGCACATTTACCGACGCCTGAATCACTTGGTGAACGAATCACACTTTTTTTTTTACTGCTAATTGCCACCACATACAACTTGCATACAATAGGACACAGCATGTAACAAGTGGTGCGTTAAACCCGCAGCATCCTATCATTGCAGCAGTTTGTGAGGGAACGGTGCATATTCAGTATGAATTCTTCTAAACTTTCAGTGAACGAATCACTCCCTGACCCCAATATACTGAGCAGACCTGATAAATAGCATACCATAGGACGGTACACTTAAAACATCATGACTTACAAACAAGTTCATTTTTACAAACCTGTTTGCCAAAGAAACACAGACAACACTCTCGTCTCCAAGTCCCAGAAACTATGATCTGAACTGAATCCTGAACCGTTCAGCTGTGAATCAGTTCAGGAGGTCAGAATCGTAGTTTTCTCCCACTAAATGATTCTGTGATTTGGTGAACGAATCTTTTGAACAAATCTTTTTAGTGAACTGATTCTAGTGATTCAGTAAAAGAACTGCCGTGCCCATCACTAGATTGTTGCTTTGTAGTTTTTTTTAATGTATTTTTCCAGGTGATCTTTTCATCTATAAGAATTTTATGAAATGTTGTGATCTTATTAGCTGTGGCCTTAATTAGTTACAAACTCATCTTTCTGACACGTTTACAGTAAACTCACCTGATCCCTGCAGGTTTGCGTTAGCTGTCAAAATCCCAGCATGCTGTTCTTCTCCTGGACGGTGGAGCTCCTCTTCGTATGTTTGGTCTGTGAGGTCTCTGTGCCGTCTGAATGAATCTTCATGATCCTCAAACCCGGACATTTTCTGATCATCCAAGAGTCTAAGGACGGACAGGATTGTTCACCTTTACTCTGCCCATGTCGGAAACTCCGCTCATCCAAACACAGTAACCCTACGCCGTGATTAAAGGAGCGACCCGGAAGCAAAACATTTTACCGTTCACACTTACGCGGCCTTCAGAGTAAAAGCACAGCTTCAAAATAAAAATTCATTACTTTAAGAGTGAAATTTTTATTCTATCTATCTATCTATCTATCTCTGCTTCCTGTCACCAGGTCTAACAGTGAAGGTCTGTCATCTACAAACACATTTCACCTAAATTCATTTACAGTTTCTACAACACAAACTTGTTTTACTGAAATTCTGCTTTTAAAACTATATATTTTGTTGGTGGATCAGCTGTTTAACAAGTTGGACTTTTTTCTTTTAACATACTGGTGCACCTTGAAGGGATATTCCAGTGTAAAATTAATTTAGGGTCAAACACACCGTAACACCGAGTTAGACCCCCCCTCCATGAATGTTGCCGACCGCTTGCTTCTCTAGTTATACCAACTTTAGTAACGACCGCAGGATAGTAATACAGAGAGCCATGCGCTCAACCAAAACGCCACTTTATAATCACAAATAATGCTCAGAACAGCACCTAACTTCATCAACAGGACATATAGGGTCCCAGCCAGAGTACTAGAGACCAAACATCTTTTTAACTTTGCCTCATTTCTTTAGCAAAGAGACTAAACACGACTCACCTACTCTCTTCCAGAAGAGAAAGAAGAAGAGGAAGAAGAAAGAAAATATGTGGAGAAGAAAACAGACACTAAACTGGTATATACAATGTTTATTTGAACATTTGCATTCAAACAGTTGGTGGCAATGAAACACATTTTTCCAACACATGATCTGTTGTTTTTACTGCCACACAGTTTTACACATTTTTTTGTCTATAATGAATGTAGACAATCGCTCATATTGTGCATCTTTTCATAAAATCTCCTGTTAGATATGAACGCTCTCATACTCCTGTTTTGATAAGTTATGTGCTGGTTACTGCCATTGTCATCTCATACTACCTAAGTGTGGATCAAACCTCATTCACACACATATTATTATTCAGGACAACAGAAAACGAAGCAAAATATTTCAAAGTAAGAGTTCTGAGAGCATTTTATGAAACATGCTGGTGATGACTATTGTCCGATGATCAGTCAAAGAAGGAAAGTGTTAAGTGCTTTGTGTACGATGACAGGGAAACTGAAAATACAGAGTATGTGAGGATCGGTAAGGTGTTAACGGAAATAAAAGATAAAATAAGGTGAACTAATATAAGTCTTAAAATGCGTTTGGGAACCTTTACGTTTGATGTACGAGTTTTTCTGCTTCGTGACGTGCCATGTGAGCTCTCAGCTTTGACTTGTAGTTGAAACCCTTTCCACATTCAGAGCACTTGAATAGTTTCTCTTCGGCGTGAATTCTCATGTGCACCTTCAGATTACCTTTTCGAGTGAACATTTTGCCACACTGAGGGCAGCTGAAGGACTTCTCTCCCATGTGGACCGTCATGTGTGCAGTCAGATTGCCCTTCTGGTTAAAACTTTTTCCGCACTCGGGGCAGCTGAACGGTTTTTCTCCTGTGTGAATTCGTATGTGATCGGTCAAATGACCTTTCAGCTTAAAACTCTTACCGCATTCAGAGCAGCTGAAGGGTTTTCCTCCAGTGTGAATCGCCATGTGTTCAGTCAGACTCTTTTTAAAGTAAAATCTGGCGCCACATTCGAGGCAGCTTAAGGGTTTCTCTCTTGTGTGAATCGTCATATGTTGTGTCAGACTTCTTTTATAGTTGAATTTTTTATCACATTCAGAGCAGCTGAAGGGTTTCTCTCCTGTGTGAATTCTTATGTGATCAGCCAGATAACCATTTTTGGTAAACATTTTTCCACACCAAGGGCAACCAAAGGGTTTCTCTTCCACATGGATTTTCATGTGTGTGATCAGGTAACTTTTTTCAGTGAATCTTTTGCCACATTTGAAGCAGATAAAATTCGCCCTTTCTTTGTGAATTCTTACGTGTCTGGCCATGCTATCTTTACGGGCAAATCTTTTACCACAGTCAGAGCAGCTGAAGGGTTTCTCTCCTGTATGAATTCTCATATGTGTGATCAGATTGTGTTTCTTTGTCGATGTTACACCACACTGTATGCAGCTATGTACTTTCTTGTCCACTTTGGATCCCTTGTCTTTAATATTTTCCTCACAGTTTAATCCTAAACGGCGCTCTGACGTCCCCTTCCAACTATCACTGTCATCGGTCTCAGCTTCAGAAAGATCTCCTCTTATTTCATCGGTCTCAGCATCAGAGTGGTCTTCTCTTATCTCATCAGTCTCACCTTCAGAAGAATCCTCAATCTCAACCTCAACAGCTGCCTGTAAATGTCCCTCCAGGTCGGAGTTAGTGTCTGGTTCTGATTCTCCACAGTCGGCCTCTTCAGTTCCTGTTTCCGTTTGTTCAGGGTGTGTTTGATAAAGCTGAGAAGATTGAGGTTCTTCCTCATCATCTTCACTTTTCACAAGGACAGGAGAGAAAGGGAACTGGACCCTGATGATATCCCCCTCTAGTCCTTGAAGCTGCTCCTCCTCCTGACTGCTCCAGAGTTCCTCCTGTTCCTCTTTAATGTGTGGGGGCTTTGTGTCCTCCTCCTCCAGACTGGGGCTCTCTTCTTGCTGATTAAAGGTTTCTTCTTTTCCCACCAACAGCTGCTGGACACCAGAGGGAAACTCTGACATAAGAGACACATAAAAGGAAAGCTTTAAGTGAAGTTTTAATGGTAGAAGACTCAGATGCTCGGAGTCAGATCTGTACAGTTATCAGTACAGTCGGCTGATTCTGCCAAATGTCAGGTGCTGAGATCGAGAACATGTCTAAGAAACGATGTAAACCAGATCCAGTTAGGGTGAACTAAAAACATCCAGGCAAAGCCTCACCTGATCTTTTCACAGAGCTACCAAGATGAGGACATCTCACCCCAAATGTCCACCACATCCGAAACAGTTACAAGAAGGTTGTATCCCCCAATCGCTGCTGATTTTAACGTGTCAATTTCCACCGGCTTCTTTCTGTTCCTCTGCGGACCGCCGGACTCTGCAGCTGATCGCAAGAGTTCTATTTTTCCCAGACAACGGAGCATGCTGGATAAATTCAGCACAGATTAACCCGTGCTGGAAAGGAAGTCGGGCACAGACACAAAACAAAACATCCGGCTTCTTTCCAAAATAAAACACAACCTTTCACTTGTTTGGGCGGAGACGAACAAGTGAAAGGTTTTTAGACGTCGTTTCACCCCGATGACACCATGGATGAGGAGATGCTGATTTTGGAAGTCTAGGTTAAATTTACTCAGCCTTGGTTGTTCTCAGCTCTCACTTAAACTGTTTTTTGTTGGTTTATGTTGATGTTCTGCAGTTTTACACACAGCTACATTATTCCTTTTATTCATATATATTTACAGACAATGCCCTTTTCTCTTTATTCTTTAATATGTGATAATACGGTATCTGCTATTAAAAAACGACATATTTCTATAATCACACAAGAGTAAAAGAAGGAAGCACAAAGATGAATTTCTAACAGGAGAAAGAAGAGAGTAAAATAACATCTGTGTGAAGATGTGAATGTGTCAGTTAAAGAGAGATGACCTGTTCTCTGCAGTTTGATCTCAGGAGTTAAAATCACATCCAGCAGTTTCTTCTGTCTCTGAAGCTCCTCTTCATATCCAGACGGTGAAGTTTGATCCACAAAGTCTCGACGAGCCGCAGCGAAGAGTCTCCGTCTGAAGAAATCCTCCAGATCCTCAAACCCGGACATCTCAGACCCATCCAGAGTCAGGGGAGAGAAAATAAGAAATACAGGCTAACTTCTGCTAATGCTACTCTGCTGAGGGACGCTGGTTAGTTTTCTTCCGCTTTTAAAGGCGGCTGGCAACAAGCATAAAGGAGCATTACCGCCACCTACTGGGCTGGAGTGGAGAATATAAGAAGAATATAAGAAGTTAGGAAATTAGGCCGACCGATATATATATATATATATATATATATATATATATATATATATATATATATATATATCAGTGGCGGCTGCTGGTCTTTCAATGAGGGGAAGCTCATTTTTCTGGCCTACATCATAATTGTATTTGTTTATTAGTATGTAACAGAACAGAGTCGCCAAACACAACGGCAGTCGTTTTTAACAAAGACAAAAGTCGTTGAGGATCGGTAAAGTCTCTGGAGCAGTTAAGAACAACGGAATGAATGACTTGGAAAATGCTCTGGTAGATGTTTTATTCTTCAAGATCGCTGATTCGCTTGTTTAGCTGTCAATCAAAAAAAGGATTTCGCCTCAGACAGCTCATCCAATCATGGATGCAGAAGCTTGGAGTCCGGGAGAAAGTCGGGACCGCCCTCTCGCCATAGAACTCCAGTGAAGCTTAGCTTCCATTGGGCGGGACAAAGCCCAGCATTTATCCAATGAGCGTCTAGTTTCGCTGCTGGAACAACCCACTTTTAGCTTCCACATTGAAGTCAGCAGAAGCCCAGCGTCCGGCTGTAGTTTAGTTAATGAAATGTACACACAGCCGTACGTATTTCACCACTTTTTCTTTTTTTGGGGGGGTGACATTTTAAGGGAAGCCGAGCTTCCCTTGCAGTCTTAGAGCAATCGCCACTGATATATATATATATATATATATATATATATATACACACTCAAAGTGTTTGTATGAGTCCTCTAATGCTTGAGTGAATTGCAATTATAGAACAAATACCACAGTCATGTTTAACTGTCTGGGCTGGTTAACAGTTAAAAAGAGATTATTGTATTCATTGCTAGTGTTTTCTGAAAACTTTCTGATAAGAAAAAAAGAATTTTGTATAAAATTTTGTATAAAAATGTACATTTAAGTTTGGATAAACACAGCTATGTCACCAGACATGCGACTAGAGGAAGATTTACACCACCCAAAACAAAACAAAAACAAACATATAAAGCGGGTGGTTACGTATAGAGCCATGCAAGTATGGAACAAATTACCAGAAAACATTACACAAGAAGATAGTTGTTTGTATCCCATTTATCTTGCCATCATTTATAGACTTCAAATTAAAGTGACCGTCATATTTGTTCAATTTTTAAAAAAATGATCCAGACCAAAAATCTCACCAAGTCCTCTAGATTTGGAAATTAATCTTTAAGTGTAACTTTTTCCTCAATAAAGAGGTCACTGTTTCCTGTTTGTTCTCTTGTTTTGTAGTTGGACGTCGATGTCAGGTAGAGGTGCAGTGTTATTGTCAGGCTGTAACTCTTTATTGCGGATGGATTTGATATTTATGATTCATGTGCTGAACAGAAATGACACAAATCAGGCATTGGTGCATTAAATATTCACTCCACTTTCATATGAGTTTTTACAATTCAGCAGTAATGAAATATTTACAGTATTTCTCACACATTACAGATTCCGGGGTCAGCCTGCCTCTCTACTGTCGTCACTGACGGTCTGTACTGTCATTCTTTTGGTCTGCTGCTCAAACCTTGTTCACAGTGGGATCACTTTGTTGTGATAACAGGGAGAGGAAGATTTCAAAACACAAGCCACGAAGGCAACTTAATGACTATATGCTGCTGTACGGATGTGTACTGAGGGGAAAGCTGCAGGTACAATGTTTGAGTACAAACTCATCTGAAGAGGTTCAGATGAGTTCAGCACCTTTTTAAATCCTCTTAATGACACTTGAGCAGCTGAGAGGTTTTCAACACGACTTATCATGTGTCTCCTCATATGGTTAAACAGAGCAACCTCAGAGTTTCTCTCCTTTCTGCTGTTTGATAGTTAAACACTTTTCCATTCTCGAAACAGCTGAATGGTTTCTCTCAGGTGTGGGTTCTCATGTGTGCTCTTAAATTACCTTTTCTGGTAAACATTTTATCACAGTGAGGGCAGCTGAAGGGTTTCTCTCCCATGTGAACTGTCATATGTGTTTTCAGATTACCTTTTTGGTTAAAACTTTTTCCACATTCAGGGCAGCTGAAAGGTTTCTCCCCTGTGTGAATTCTCATGTGATAGGTCAGGTGACCTTTGATGTTAAAACTTTTCCCACACTCAGAGCAGCTGAAGGGTTCCTCGTCCATGTGAATCGTCATATGTTGAATCAGCGTTTTCTCGTTGATGAATCCAAGACCACACACTGAGCAGTTAAAGGGTTTCTCTCCTGTGTGAACCGTCATGTGCCGAGTCAGACTTCCTTTGTAGTTAAAGCTTTTTTCACATTCAGTGCAGCTGAAGGGTTTCTCTCCTCCATGAAATGCCATGTGAGCTGTCAGATTACACTTCTGATTAAAATATTTTCCACACTCAGAGCAGCTGTATGGTTTCTCTCCAGTGTGCGATCTCATGTGTACCATCAGACCGCTTTTATGGATGTATCTTTTCCCACATTGAGGGCAGATGAAGGGTTTCTCTCCTGTATGGGTGGTCATATGTGAAATCAAATGGCTGTGTTGGTTAAAACTTTTCCCACACTCGGAGCAGGTGAAGGGTTTGTCTTTCAGATGGATTGTCATGTGTCGGGCCAGATTTCTTTTATAGTTAAATCTTGTTCCACACTCAGAGCACTTAAAGGACTTTTCACCTGTGTGACCTTTCATGTGTTCAACCAAAATGCTCTCATAGATAAATCTTTTCCCACATTCAGAGCAGCTGAACGGTTTCTCTCCTCCATGTAAAATCATGTGTGTAAGCAGATTACTTTTTTGGTTGAAACTTTTCGCACACTCAGGGCAGCTGAACGGTTTCTCTCCTGTGTGAATTCTCACGTGTCGGACGAGATTTTTTTTGTAGTTAAATTTTTTCCCACAGTCGGAGCAGCTAAAAGGTTTCTCTCCTGTGTGAATTCTAATATGCTCGGTTAAAAAATGTCTGTAGATAAATCTCTTCCCACATTCAGAGCAACTGAAAGGTTTTTTCCCTCCATGACACGCCATGTGAGCTGCTAGATTCGACTTTTTACAAAATCCTTTTCCACACTCTGAGCAGCTGAACGGTTTCTCTACTGAATGATTTGTCATGTGTTTGTCAAGGCAGATATTTCTGACATGAATCTTCATGTGCGACATCAGGATACCTTTATGGGTAAATCTCCTGCCACACTTGAAGCAGATGAACCTTTTCTTTCCCGTGTTACAGGTCACCTTAACTTTCTGTGTACATTTTCTCGTACACTCAGAGCAGCAAAAAGGTTTCTCTCTTGTGCTATTTCTCATGTTTGCGTTCAGATATTGTTTTGTTTTGGATGTTCTACCACACAGAAAGCAGCTTTGCAGTCTCTTATTTGTCTCTGACCTCTTATCTCTCATATTGTCCGAGGAGTTTGATCCTAAAAGTTGTTCTGTCGCCTCCCTCCAATCATCACTGTCATCAGTCTCAGCTTCAGAAACATCTTCAATCTTGACCTCAATTTCTGGTTGTAAATCTATCTCCAGATCCAAGTTTTTGGCTGGTTCTGACCCTCCACACTCCTCTCTGTTGGCTTCTTTTCCCACCTGTTCAGTTTGGTTTGAATAAAGCTGTGATGACTGAGGTTTCTCTTCATCATCTTCACTCTTCACAGGGACAACAGTGACAGGAAACTCTGTGGCATCATCCTCCTCTGGTCCTCGCTCCTCCTCCTGACTGCTCCAGAGTTCCTCCTGCTCCTCTTTAATATACAGAGGCTTCATGTCCTCTTGGTTCAGACTGGGGCTCCACTTCTGCTCCTCCTCAGGGGTCTCCTCCTCTCCAACCAACAGCTGCAGAACGTCAGCAGGCAACTCTAAAATATGAGAAAACATATCAAGGGGAACAGTCAGACTTAACGTGGCATTTCTTTTAAGATTCAACCAAAGACAGTGTTGCTCTGCCAACTCCACAGCAGCTTTTTACTACATTTTTTACTAAATGATCAAATATATTTCAGGGTTTTTAAATGTTAGGAGGCTAAAGAGTTCTCACCAATTATTGTGAAGGCAAAAGGAAGGTTCACATTCCTTTAGCACCCAAGCAATATTGGTTTCAAGGTGGTGTAGTCAGGATCTGAGTTAGTTCCAGTTTTTAGGAGAAATCTTGAATGTAAACTCTACCCCCCCTCCAAATCAGTTTAAGCGCCTGTTATTCCTCCAGAGTCTCCGGTATTTACTTCGTTTTCTTGCTTGTGTTGGCAGTTGTGGTCAAAGGAGGATTCAGACAATTTTCCGAACTTCCTGGTTGGTTTCTACTGTCCGATATTGTAGCACGCTAACTTTGTTTGGGCTCCTGAACGACACGGGGGAGCAGCATCTGCCTCACAACCAATTAGGTTAGAGGAGGTGGAGAACGGCTTTGTTTACAGTCAGAAAGAGCGGACCGCTCAAAAATGTTCAAATGTTGACGACACAGACATAAGAGAACACAGAGATATCGTTATATTACCAAATGTCATCAATAACTGATAACTATTGACTGATATTAAAGATTTTTTGTTTATACACCACAAAAACAGATGCTTCTGTAACAGATTCCTGCCTACCTCACCTTTAAGAGATATTAAATGCACATGGTGTTTACAGTCCCCTCTAAATATGGGGTGTGTGAATTCTGTTTTCCCTTTTTGTGATTGTGCAGCGTCTCTCATTGTGACTGTCTGCAGGTGAGAGTGGACACACCTGAAGTCAGTGAGGCGGTGATGAACGCTGCAGGTAGCAGAGCGTATGGAGCTGAGTAGTGGACTTATTTTTGTACATGTTGACTTCTATATTAAATCACCGTCTGAGTATTTCCTTTGAGGGATAGATGTTGTCAGTCATTTTAAAGTGGGTTTCTTTTGTTTTGAGGGAATTTTAGAAACATTTTTTGTAGTTTGTTGGTCGATTCTTAATCAAATTGATGTAATTGTATCATTTTTGTTTTGTCTACAAGGGAATAACTTTTCCGTGGGGCAGCTTCTTATGAAAGAATTATTATATTTTTTACTTTTAGTCCGTGTTTTAATCAAACAGTTTTTATTTTGACTCCATGTGGATGTAAATTTGCCTGCTCTTCTTCAGGAACATCATTGTTTGGAGGAACTATATGCGGCCTTCATACTTTGAGGGGGGTGAACAACAATAATAACTGAAGAAAAGACTTCCTGAAACATTTAAAACCATTAAAATCAAAACTAAATCAAGTTAATCCGTTTCTAGATGAAAGTCAAACCCACCTGCTCCCTGTGGTTTGAGTTCAGGCTCTGAATCTCCATCCTTCCTCCCTCCTCGGTGGAGCTCCTCTTCATCAGACTCTGGGTCTCGGTGAGTCCTCCATCCGAACCCACGATTCTGAGCCTGAAACCCGAACATCTGCACTGATCCCAGAGTCAAAGAACAGACTTCAAACCCATTTTAAACCCTAAAGTTATGACTGTTCTGCTCATACGGAACTCATCCACATATGCTAACAGTGCTAGCCGAGAGAGGAGCGTGACCCGGAAATAGAACCTGTGCCCTACTCTTTCAAATTAAAAGTACTGTTCTAATAATTGTGTTTAATTCGTAGCTGATCACTCGGCTCTAAAATAAAACGACTGGGTTTTATGGCAACAGTCTGATTAAATCAAGATCATTTAGTTAAAGAAAGCGAGTGTCCTTTTATCCCTCCTGTCCCTTCAGACCCGATCATAAAGTCTGTTCCCCTTCAAAACTCTAACACCACCTGAACCTGTGCCCTCTCTTCCAGACTTACAAGTCTTTCTAATGTGAATTCCTGTATCCCTAATTCTTCAACCTATTCATCCTCTCCTCTCTCTGCACTTCATATCTCCTACATTAACTTCATGTTCCACAGACCCCTCCTCACAAGCCTGTCTGCTGCTTCCTTCTCAGTTTCAATGTTTTATTTAGTCAGACCCGGACTCAGAAGGGAAACTACATTTTGACACTTTGACAATGTGAATAATACAAATAGTAAGGTTTGTTTGTAACTTTACATAAATTTAGAGCTGTAGATGAAGTACTTTAAGTGTTTTAATAACTTTGGTTTTTCAGATTTTTGTGTTAGTTTTATATAAACTGAGTAGTTGCAAACTTACAAAGTCAGTAAGTAAGATTACAATAAAAGAAGAAAATAAAACTGAAATCAGAAATCACATGTAGAATCACAGGTCCTCTGGATCCAGGCGGTGATTTTTGGTCTACAAGGTCTCTGCAAACATCCCCGTCTGAATAAATCTTCAAGATACCGAACTCCGCACATTTTAGACTGAAACAAGAATCCAAGAAAAACTACACACTGACACTCTGACTGGGATTATTAATCTCCTGCAGCATGCTGACTCCTCCGATCAGGTTAATTTTATGAGGTGGAAACCAAACATTACATCTCTGCTGCGAATCTAGACGGGTTTTAAGTGCTGCTAAAAATGTCGTTAGAGGGTTCAAAAAAGTCCTAGGTTCAGTCCTAGGTTCAAGAGATCTTTGTCGGAAAGAGTTTTTCAAAAATCTAATCCTTCATAGAAAAAAGACGAGGGCGCGGTTATTAAAATATTACACAACAACCAACACGAATAAAAAGAAAAAAGGAAAACACAAGAATATTTAGCCCAGATCATACTTTTTGTTTTGAGTTTGAAGTTTTCATGAAAATATTTCGGATTCTAAGTTTGAAGTGTGACTGAAAAGTTTTGCCAGTAAAAACGAGAAATCCGACACAAAAATAATCCATATTTTATTTCTTTGGTTTCAGGGGGAACAAATACTGTTTTTGAATCTCTTCATGTACTGATCAGCAAGGTAACAACAACAAACAATAACTAAAAGGCACAGCGTCCAACTTATTGGTCATTTACAAAGAATTAACCTGGGCTGATTTGGATGACCTTTAGGGTTCAGTGTAAGGCACAAATGAGATATTTGTGTTGACTAAGACGAGATACTAGAAAAACAATTTAGAGCCCAAATAAAATTAAAGAAGTGGGAAATTTCAGAATCCTTAAACTTGAAATTTAAAGAATTGAGTGAGAAACATTTTTCTTTCCTGACAGGTGATTCATCTTACTGAAGTCAGAGGTGTCTCCTGATGACACAACTATGAAAAATAGTACCACTGATCATCACCACATTTCCATATAAATATTTACAATAAACAGACAACGGTTAAGAAAAAAAAACATGTAATTAACACAAAAGATTTTTAAAGAATGGCGTTGAAAAAGAATCAGAGAAGCTGCCACAAAACTAAAATATAACAGGATAGGGAAGAGAAGACAGATCTTGAGTTTCACGCCAAGTTCTAGTTCTGCTTATAATTGCAGATCACAGGGTTAACATCTCTGAAACTTAAAACCAAAAATGAAGCTAAGAGTAAAGTTTTCACAGTGAAACTCGTGTATGTACATTTGGAACAGTCTTTGCTCTCACCTCTCCGGAGTTTCTCACCTTGAACTTGACAGATTGTCTCTGGTCCTCCTCCAAATATCAGAACAGTTGTCGATCTTAAACTTAATCTCTAGTTGTGAAATCTTTCTGGATCTGAGCTCCAGGTTTGGTAGAATTCTTCAGAGTCCTGTCTTAAATCTTGTATGACACCAAGAGAATCTGGAGGGGACTGATCAGAGTGAATTTTTATGTGTCGGATCAAACTTCTCTTATAGGTAAATCTTTTACCACATTCAGAGCAGCTGAAGGGTTTCTCTCCTGAATGAATCCGTATATGATCGGTCAGGTGACTATGACGGATGAATTTTTTTCCACACTGTAGACAGCTGTGAGATTTCTCCTCCTTGTGAAATCTCATGTGTCGGGTCATACTTCTTTTATAGTGAAATGTTTTCCCACATTCTAAGCAGGTGAAGGGTTTCTCCCCTAAATGAGTCATCACATGCTCAGTCAGGCTGTTTTTATGGCTAAAACTTCTCCCACACTCTGAGCAACTGAAGGGTTTCTCTTCTCTATGTTGCGCCATGTGAGTTTTCAGATTCGACCTTTGGTGAAATCCTTTCCCACACTCAGAGCAGCTGAATGTTTTCTCTCTGGTGTGAATCCGCATGTGGACCGTCAGAGTACTTTTTTGGGTGAATCTTTTCCCACACTCGGAGCAGCCGAAACATCTCTCCCCGGTGTGGACTGTACTGTGTCGAGCTAAATTGATTTTTTGGTTGAATTTTTTGCCGCACACAGGGCAGCCGAACAGTTTCAAACCAGTGTGAATCCTCATGTGCACCATCAGAGTTCCTTTTTGGGTAAATCTTTTAAAGCACTGAGAGCAAATGAAAGGTTTCTCTCCTGTGTGAGATCTCAGATGTGTGGTGAAATGGTGTTTGTTTTTGTATGTTTTATTACACTGAGGGCAGTCAAATGATTTAACCTCTGCCTTTGTCTTCGACCTCTTTTCTTGAACATTTTCCACAGAGTTTGATCCAACATGGTCTTCCACTGGCTTCTGCCAATCATCACTGTCATCAGTCTCAGCTCCAGAAGAGTCTTCGATCTGAACTTCAATCTCTGCTTGTACACATGTCTCAGGATCGGAGGGTCTGACTGATTCCGGTCCTTCCCAGTCCTCTCCTTCAGATCCTATTTCCAACTGGTTTATTAGTCCTGAATCGAGCTGTGAGGACTGAGGTTCTTCCTCATCGTCTTCACTCTTCCCAGGAACACAGCTCAGTCGTTGAAGTTTCTCCTCTTCCTCTATAATGTGCAGGGTAAGCCTGTCCTCCTGGTCCAAACTGCAACTCCAATCCTGCTGCTCAGAGGGGTTTTCTGTTTTGACCAAGATCTGCTGGACATCTGCAGGAAACTCTGAAATATGAAAAGACATACCAAGAGAAGCTGAGAGAACTCTCGACAAGTCAAAAGTTACATACGCAGCGTGTCAAACAGAACAAAAACACTAAACACTTAGAACTGCGCTGGATCGCGATCCTAAGTGACACCATTGATATTGTTTACAGTTTCTCAGGAACTATAGTGTGTATCTCTATGGGATAGTAATTGTTCAAATGTTTACCCTTTCAGCGATCTGTTGATGGTTTCCAGACATTTCTACACCTCCCACAAGGTTTACAATCCAGACACAAAAATAGGTGTTTGATCAGAGACGTTTGATGGTAAATTTGCAGTGATATACCGGTGAAAACAGGATTATTGATCATATTGTTGTGATAAAAAATATAGCTAATGTTTTCCGGGTTTGACAAGTTGTTTTGATGACGTCTTTTTCTGTCAAACGTTCGACCAATTACATGGTCTCATATTCTTGGTGAACCGGATCCTAAAGATTCACAAACTTCACTTCCCTCCTCAGTCAAATAGATGCAGGTTTATTTTAATGTCTGTTTGATCAGGTCCAAGCTCTTTAACCCTCATCTACTCCTGCAAAGATCAGGTCCAAGCTCTTTCACTCTCATCTTCTATTGTTCCCTTGATGGTAGTGTCCAATAAGAGGCGACCAAAGATCAACAAGAGACAAGAAAGTTCCCTGTTTGTCTGCAAAATCAGAAATAATGGTCCTCAATGTTTGGGAAACGAGCAAAGAAGAGATTCTGAGCAGTATGATGTGGTCCTCTGTCTCATCCCAGACAGGAACTGCTTCAGGGAGTGGCATAAATAACTGTAAATAGTAAAAAAATGCCTAGAAGAATGAGTGTAAATATGTCAATGGTTTCTGTTGTGTGTTTGTTCCAATCCCAATATTTCTTCTCCTGATAGCCAAGACTTGAGAGAATGATGTACAGGTGAGAAAAGGCTTGGTCACTGTAGATTTATGTGTTTTTTGAGCAAAGTACTGTTGGTATCAGTTTCTGTTTTTGTTTTAAGGTTGACTTTGATGGTTCTGAACCTTCTGTCACATCTTACAGGATTTTTGCTCCATAAACTGACAGCTGAGGTTGTCCTGAAAAAAGAGATGTGTTTATATTTGCTGTGCTTAAAAGGATCGAGTTGCTACATAGACTTTAAAAAAATAAAACTAAAACAGGCGGACCAAAAATAACAAAATAGAGCTGGGAGTTCTAAGGGTTAACCTAAAGATTGTTTAAGGATCATCACGGACCTGCTCTCTGGATCCTTGTCCCATGACCTGAAACCACAGCAGGTCCTCCTCTGGTTCGGTGGAGTTCCTGTTCGGACCCGGACCGTCTTTGGTTCCTGTTAGCTTCAGTGAGCAGCCATGATCTAAATACTTCCTGGTTACCTTGGGACATTTTCCTCTGATTCAAGAGTCACAAAAGTCAAAACTAAAAGTTCTTCTTTTTGTAACGATGGGAAAAAACTTAACCGAAGAATCTATGACTACATTATTTTCCTGCAAATTGCTTTAGCTCATCCAAACCTGCAAGCTGTGCGGAACAACCCACGCCACCCGGAAATAAAACATCATAACACAAGACCTTCAGATTAAAAGCACAGTTATTATCATCAAATTTAATGTCTGGGTCCGTTTTGAATCAAGTCTTGGAGGTCAAATAATGATCTTAAAGGGATATTCCAGCGTAAAATTAATTTAGGGTCAAACACACCATAACACAGAGTTAGACACCCCCTCCAGAGATGAATGTTGTCGACCGCTTGCTTCTCTAGTTCTACCAACTTTAGTAACGACCGCACGATAATACAGCAATACAGCAATACAGAGAGCCATGCGCTCAACCAAAACGCCACTCTTTAGCCACAAATAATGCTCAGAACAGCACCTAACTTCATCAACAGGACATATAGAGTCACAGCCATAGTACTAGACACCAAACATCTTTTTAACTTTGACTCATTTCTTTAGTAAAGAGACTAAACACAACTCACCTACTCTCTTCCAGCAGCTGCTTGTTTGTAGCGAGACCTCAGGTCAGTCCATTACAAACTGCAGTGGGGTGACACAGCTCAAGGAAGAACATTTATGATAATTTAAATTAAGTTTAAAACTTCTTTTTTCATTAAACTTGAATTTTCTCACTCTAGTATCGAGTCTTCATGGGTCAAAGGTCATTGTAAGAAAGTTGAGAGGAATTGTCTTCAATAAATCTTTATTTTAAAAAGACAAAATACACAGTTTGAAAAAAAAAAAGAAGAACACAAAGAAAAACATTGAAGCTGCTAACAGTGTTGAGCGGGCTCTGGTACCTTTAGGGAAATTTGAGTTTAATCTTAAAGGTACAGTACGTACAAATAGAGACTAGGTCAATATTTGGTCATCAGATTTTAAATATAAGTGCTCCTTTGCTAACAGTGGCCTTAAGAGACAAGAAGCAAAACCATCGGAAACATTAATTTCCATTACACACATCAGTACTAAGGGCTGCACAGTGGTGTAGTGGTTAGCGCTGTTGTCTCACAGCAAGAAAGCGTTTGAATCCGGCTCAGGGCGTTTCTGTGTGGAGTTTGCATGTTCTCCCTGTGTCTGCGTGGGTTTACTCCGGGTACTCCGGTTTCCTCCCACATCCCAAAAACATGCAGAAGTGGGGTTAGGTTAATTGGCCACTCCGCCCGTGGGTGTGGATGTGAGCGTGGATGGTTGTTTGTCTCTATATGTCAGCCCTGCGATGAACTGGTGACTTGTCCTGGGTGTCCCCTGCCTTCACCTGATGATGCTGGGATAGGCTCCAGTCCCCCCGCGACACCGGGAACAGGAATAAGCGGTAGAAAATGGATGGAAAATGGACGTCAATACTAATTATTTTGCACACAACAGCCACTGTGTTATTTTTTTGGCTGCCACCAGCTAAATCCAAAAATACTTGACCCTAATTTTTTTAAAAATTCTTTTTGGTGTTACTGTAGCGACATGGCAGAGTAAAATGGTGGCCTCTATGTGGGGCGACCTGCATTTATTTAAATACAAATTAGTCATTTTCAGTTGACAAAAGCAAATCAACGTTTATGTTCAGGTGACTTTGCACTAAATTTAACCTTCTTGTAACCACACAGCTCCAGAATTTTGCCAACCATTTTTTTTTTTTTTACATTTTACTGTATTTTTGTGTTAATAGGAGATCGCTATTCACTAAAAATCAACAAGGAAATTCTTATTTGCTTTCTGCTCCTCACATCTACTCGTAACGCTGGACAACAACTCTGCTGCATTTGTTCAGAGCGGAGGTTCTTCAGTATGTCCCTCCTGTCAGTGGTTTAAGTGCAACTTTGCATATTAAATACAAATACATAGATCTATAAAAGTCAGTTAAGTCACTGGTAAAGTGCCATTCAGTGGGAAACCCAGTGGACCAGTGCAGAGAAACCACATTTGATGAGGTCTCAGCCAAATCTACAAATGATTAAACATAAGTTAAAAAAATCCAACAACAGAATCAACGTTTTTTTTCTCTCTTCAGTGGACTCTCATGTGAAGGGTAAGAGAATATTTTCGGGTGAATCTTTTACTACACTCTGAGCAGCTGAACGGTTTCTCTCCTGTGTGAATTCTCATGTGTGCAGTCAGACTCTCATTACGACTGAAGCTTTTACCACAATCTAAGCAGCTGAAGGGTTTCTCTCCTGAATGAACAGTCATGTGTTTCGTCAAATCACTTCTGTAGCTGAATCTTTTCCCGCACTCGTGGCAGCTGAAGAGTTTCTCTCCCGTGTGAACTAACAAGTGTCTGGTCAGATTTGTTTTTAAATAAAATCTTTTGCCACAGTGAGTGCAGCTGTAAGGTTTCTCCCCGGTGTGAAGTAACAGATGACTCGTCAGGTGACTTTTTAGGTTAAATCTTTTACCACAGTCAGAGCAGCTGAAGGGTTTCTCTCCCGTATGGATTCTAATGTGTGTCGTCAGATCACCTTTACGTCTAAAGCTTTTGTCACACATCGAGCAGTTGAGGAGTTTCTCTGCTGTGTGAACTAATGTGTGTCGTCTCAGGTTTTTTCGGAAGGTAAATCCTTTATCACAGTACATGCAGCTGAAGGGTTTCTCTCCAGTGTGGAGTAACAGATGACTTGTCAGGTGACTTTTTAAGGTAAAGCCTTTGCCACAGTCAGAGCAGCTGAAGGGTCTCTCTTCCATGTGAACTCTTTCGTGTGAAGTCAGATTTCTTTTTATGGTAAATTCTTTACCACAGACAGAGCAGCTGAAGGGTTTTATCCCCCCATGATTTTTCATGTGTTCTGTCAGGCGATCTTTCCGGGCGTATTTTTTCCCACACTGGGGGCAGATGAAGGGTTTTACTCCTGTATGAATTGCCATGTGTGAGGTTAGATGAACTTTACGTTTATATTTTTTACCACACACAGAGCAGCTGTGTGATTTCTCATCAGTCTCTGGCCTCTGGACTTGAGAGTTTCTTAAGAAGTTGAAACCCAAGTCAGTGCTGTCCATCCAAACACAGTCTTTGGTTTCAAGCTCAGAGGAGCCCCTACTTTTATTGTCAGTCTCTAAATGAACATGTTCCTCTGGGTCTGAGTTTCTGACTGATTCTGATCCTCCACACTCCTCTCCCTCAACTCCAATTTCCATCTGTTCAGTTTGTCTTTGATTAAGCTGGGAGTGCTGAGGTTTGTCCTCGTTATCGTCACTTTTCACTGCGACAGGTATGAATGGAAAAGAGGTGATACGAGGCTCCTCCCATGCTTGAAGCAGTTCTCCATTCTGACTGCTCAGGGGTATCTCCTGTTCCTCCTTAATTAGAGGGGGCTTCATGTCCTTCTGGTCCAGATCAGGTCTCCACTCCTGCTCAACAGGAATCTCTTCTTTGACAACAGTCAGCTGCTGGATGTCTCCAGGAAACACTAAGAAACAGAGGCATAAGTCAAGAGAAGCTGTGAGTTGATGACCAAACCAAAATACTAGATACTCATGCTTTGTAACCAGTTTGAGATCTCATATCACATATAGAAATTTAATCATGTTCAGGAGTTCAAACCTGATTGTTGATCTGTGGACTCCATCATTTCATCCTCACTGTCTTCGATCTTGACTTTTATCACTGGTTGTAGATGTCTCTCTGGATCTGAGGTCCTGTTTTCTGACTCTCTTGTGTCCTCTGGTTGTTCTTGATGTGGTTCTGAACCCCGGCTGCTCACACACTTCAGTTTTTGGAGAGAACCTTTCACTGGAACTTTCTTGTGTTCGGTGTGTAGTGGAGATCTTTGCCTACACTCTGAGCAGCTGAAAGGTTTCTCTCCTGTATGAATTCTCATGGACCTGGTCAGATCTTCTTCAGCGTTAAGACTTTGACCACACTTGGAGCAGCTGAATGGTTTCTCTCCTCCATGAGTTGCCATGTGTTTGGTCAGATAACATTTACTACTAAAGCTCTTCCCGCACTTTGCGCAGCTGAAGAGTTTCTCCACGGCGTGAATCGCCATGTGTTTGGTCAGATTACATTTAAGATTAAAGCTCTTACCACACTGAGAGCAACTGAAGGGTTTCTCCCCCGTGTGAATTCGACTGTGTTTGGTCAGATCCGCTTTATTACTAAATCCTTTCCCACACTGAGAGCAGCTGAATGGTTTCTCTCCAGTGTGAGTTCTCATGTGTATGATCAGAGGACTTTTTTGGGTAAATCTTTTGTCACACTTCAAACAGCCGTACGGTTTCTCTCCTGTGTGAATTCTCATGTGTTCACCCAGGATCCATTTAGATTTAAATTTTTTACCACAATAAGAGCAACTGTGTGGTTTCTTATCCATCTTGCGGCCATCTTCTGTGATGTTTGAACCTGACTGATGTTCTGTAGGATCCTTCCAATCATCACTGTCATCGGTCTCGGGTTCAGAAGCGCCATCAATCGTGACCTCGATCTCTGGTTGTGGGTCTGAGTCCCTGGTTGGTTCGGCTCTTTTTAAGTCTTCTCTCTCAACTCTTGTTTCTATCACTTCAGGTTTTCTTTCATGAAGAAATGAGGACTGAGGTTTCTTCTCATCATCTTCATTGTTCACATGAACAGGAGTGGGTGGAAACCTGCTGGTATCCTCCTCCGCTGGTCCATAAAGCTGCTCTCCTTCCTGACTGCTCCACAGTTCTTCCTCTTCTTCTTTAATGTGCAGGGGCTTCATGCCCTCTTTGTCTGGACTAGGGCTCATCTCTTGTGGTTCTGGAGGTTCCCCTTTACTAATATTAAACTGCTGGATATCAGAAGAAAGCACTACAAAAGAAAAGACATAAAAATCTGTGAGTTTATGTTAACAGAGTCTTTTAGCTGATTGGCTGTGAAAGTGGAAACAAAGAGGACGGGACGCTGTCATCTCAACATCATCTAAACTTAAGTGTTAAAGAAAAGCAGGACGGTGACTGTCTGGAATAAATACAGGATGTTTAACAGTGCCAGAATCTACATTACTACTGTCAGAGTAGGGGAGAGTGGGGTAAGTCAAACCAACCCCTGTTTCTTAGAAATGGTCAAAGAAATTGATCATGTGACTAAATATTTAGGAGATGGACATCAATTCATGGAGTCTGTGAAGGTTAGAAGTACATGGGTGAAGGGGTTAGACATTTATTTACAACAAAACATTTTTCACTCTTGAAAGTGAATTTAGTCTGTCATAAGTTTGATTAGAATTGTGTTCAGACCAAAAAAGATCATTTTAAATTGGTTTTGGGATCTATGAGCTACAACATGAGGTCAAAAACCTAACATAAAAGTCCACCATTTTAGCTCAGAGGACTAATAAAGTCATCACAGTAGTTCAGGGGTAACTGAGAAAGTAAAGGAGTCTGATGAGAGGATCAGAGTTTCAGTTTAGGTTGTTGAAATGTTTGACTTTTACAGCTGTGAATGTTCTGCATCGCGTAGCCCTTTTTACACCCTTTCCTCCTCTTCTGGCTGTTTTTAGACACTAACTTTAGCTGCGGGGTAAGTTGACCATAGGAGACCACTTTTTTTTTAAACATGCTATATTACCAAGACAGTTCTGTTTACACTCATTCTGTTGGTTTGCAGGGATGAACGACATCCTGAAATATCTGCAGATACACGAGTTAGAGACAAAACTTGGATTGACTTGAAGTGATTGTTAGTTGTAGAACCAAAACATAAAAAATCTGATCTAATAATGTTGATGGACTGCACATAAAACCACTTCAGCCTCACACAGTTATTCATAAAAATACCTTATACCCCAGATTTCATGTTAGAAGGACGCCCCCTTGTGTTAGCATGAGTTAGCTGCCTGCGGCCTACAGGCAGAATAAAGACCTGAGTGTTAGCTTACAGTTCAGCTCCCTGAAACAAATATTATTAAAAACAGAAGACTAACCTGCTCTCTGCAGTTTGATCTCAGGTGTTAAAATCACATCCAACAGTTTCTTCTGTTTCTGAAGCTCCTCTTCGTATCCGGACGGTCTGGTCTGGTCTACAAAGTCTCTACGAGCCGCAGCGAAGAGTCTCCGTCTGAAGAAATCCTCCAGATCCTCAAATCCGGACATTTCCTACCGACCAGAGAGGAAAAACAAGAAAGGGAACAAACGAGTCCACATTTTCTGTTGTTACTCTGCTCATGATCGCTCATCTGCTAACTGTGACCCGGAAACAACCGGCAGTGTTGTGTCGTTCGCGAACGATTCGTCCGAAAGAACCGAATCTTTTAAATGAACTCGTCGTTCCCAAAACTCGTTTGAAAACCCGTGGCGACCTAGCTTTCTCGGCTGTGCCACTCGAGATGAAAACCTCCCCCACTCTGTCTACTTTTAAATCACATCTTAAAACTCAATTTTATTCCTTGGCTTAGCTCAGCATGAGAGTTGTGTGATCGCTGTCCTTTTACCACTTCAATGCATTTGTGTTTTATTTCATTTATTTTATTTCATTTTAAACGTTTTTTTTACCTGATTTTCTTTAGAGTTCAACCATCTTTCGTGTCAGCTTCAGAGGAGTCCTGACTTTTGTTATTAGTGCTTGGTTGAACATTTCTCTCCAAATCAGATGATTTACCACAAACACTTAATTGTTTCAGTTTTTTATTGTAAAGATGGGATTGAGAAGGTTTCTTCCTCGATCTCGACCTTAATCACAGGTTGTCTATCGGGGTCTGAGTTCCTGACTGGTTCTGGTCCTCCATCAGCTTCTGTTTCCATCTGTTCAGTTTGAAGAAGCCGTAAGTATCGAGGTTTCTCTCCGTCGTCCTCACTCTGCACAGAAACGGGCTCAAATGGGACAGAAGCGATACGAGCAACTTTACATCCTTGAAGCTGTTCTCCCTCCAAACTGCAGCAGAGGATCTCCTGCTCCTGCTTCATCAGGAGGGGTTTAATGTCCTCCTCATCCAGACTGGGATTCATCTCCTCTTTCATCACCAGTAGCTGCTGGACGTCTGCATGAAACAGAAATAAAAGCACATAAAAGTGAAGTTTTATTCATATACTGTCAAATCACAACATGTGTTTGTTTCTGTTTCTTCCCTGAAGGTAACTCCTCGTGACTGAATTACCAAATTTTAGCAGCTCAGTGAAGAACATCTCAACTAAAGTTAATTCATGTTGAAGAGGATTATCATGAGCACTGTTCTGCTGTCTTACTCCAGTTACCACGGTCATCAGTCTCAGGTGCAGATGAATCCTCGGTCTTGACCACACGTGTCTCCTCATGATCTTCACTCTTCACAGCAGCCTGAACGAACGGGACGAAGGTGACAGAAACTTCCTCCCATCCTTGGAGCTCCTCTTCCTCCTGCTCCTCCTTAATCCTCAGGGGTTTAGTGTCCTCCTCATCCAGACTTTGGCTCGACTCCTGCTGCTCTGAAGACTCTTCATAACTTCCATTTAGCTGCTGGTCGTCTGTAGGAGAATCTACGATATGAAAATGATGCACAGAGGGAAACTGTGAGTTAACGTAGTGATACTTGTCATTTTCAGATTGTAAGATTGATGCATTTTAGTTTGATAGCTGTCTCACAGGACACTTCAGAGATGAAGCTAATAGACTAATATCTGCACTAAAGGACACTTTGATTGAACAATAATAAACAAGCACAACCCAAACTGCAGAGAAACAGGATAGAGTTCAGATTTCTGTGTGTGGAAAAAACAAACATCCTCTAACTCACCTTCCTCGCCGTCCTCACTGTCCTCTTCACCCCCAACAACCACCAGTTCATTACAAAAGAGCTCCTGATCCTCCTCCTCATCTAGTGGCGCTGTGATGGAACCCTCCTGACCACGCTGTCGGAGCTGCTTTAGAGCCTCTCGTCCAGAGGAGCAGGGCTGTCCCTCCTTAAAGCAGTGGATCAGGTGGTCTTCACTCCCGTCACTTTTCAAGGCCAGCCCACACACTCGGAACGACGTCCTTATCGTTTCATCGTCCAGTTTATCCCACGCAGAAACCACCCACTCCACCAGCTGTCGGTGAGGAGGATCTTCATTTGTGAGTCCTCTGCCTGCCCCCCCACTCACCCACTGAGTGTAGGCCTCCTGTAGGCTTCTCTTAAAGGGCTGGATCCACATCAGATCAGAGGCTTGTATATATTTAGCGCAGCCTGGTGGGATCACCGCTGTGTCGATATTGTAGCCGGACTCGAGCTCCTCTTTGGTGGCAGCACTGATGTGGCAGCGGTATGAGTCCCACACCAGCAGCCGGGGCGTGGAGCTCCTCTTACCCAGTACAGACTGGAGCCACCCTGCAGTGAGGGAATCATCCATCCAGCCGTTCACAGAGGAGGCCATAACTGCAGCGGTCATCTCTAACTGCACTGACTTCCCTTTGAACACGATGTAGGGCTCCAGTTTGGTGCCGTCAGCTTTAGCAGCCAGGACGACAGTGAGATGGTTTCTCCCATGTCTCATGTCTTTCAGCGGGACGCTCTTTTGTCCAGCAGCAGCAGTGGGAGGATTCAGGTCAAACCACACAGCCGTCTCGTTCATGGCGATAATATCTCTGTCTAAAATCTTCTTGGAGCTGACGATGTGGCTCACATAGCCAACGAAGGAAACCAGCTCCTCTGTGAGCTGGACCGGATCTTTCTGGGTCACTGCGCTGCGTTGGTGAAGCGACAGGGCGTTACGTTGGAGAAATCGATGCAGCCAGCCTCTGCTCGCCACAAAGCCTTTCTCTCCATCAGCCACAGAGGAGTAGATCGCCAGGGCTTTTCGTGTGATCATCTTTCTGGAGACGCGTTTTTTTCGGTCGCTCATCGTCCAGACCCACTCAGCCAGTCTGGTCTCCAGCTCTGTACTCACTTTCTTCCTCCCTCCTCCAACAAGTCTGGCTCTGCTCTTCTCGGCTCGCTGCAGCTCACCCTTCTGCTTCTTCCAGTAGCGGACTCTCCTCGGGTCGACGTTGAAGAACCGTGCAGCTTGTTCTCCAGAATGTTCTTCAGCATATTGTAAAACTTTCTCTTTGAATTCCACATCAAACTTTCTTCTCACCCCCAAACTGCCTAACTTCTGCTCCTCATCCTCTACCTCCACGGGGACAGAAGCTAAAGGCGTTTTTCTGACGTCAGTCTGATCCCATCCCTGAAGTAGATCTTCTCCATGACAGCTCAAGAGGTCTCGCTGTTCATCTTCAGTATGGGGGGACCTGCTGTGCTTCTGGTCTGGACTGAGGATCCTCTCCTGCTGGTCATCAGATGCATTAAGCTTCTGGACATCTGAGGGAAACACAACAAAACAAAAGACAGATCAGGAGGGGCTGTGAGTTCAAATCTGACGTTGTGATGATCAGGACTGAACACGGTGACCTTTAAAGATAGATGTGAAGATGATCAGAAGAACCAGAGACGGGACAGAAAAGACTGAGAGGAACAGAGACGGAGACACTGTTACTGAGTCGGACTGTTTCACAACCTCCTGTGGGAACCTTCAGTCTGATGAACCTGCTGAGACGGCGGTCTCTGATCCTGCAGAAGACTCGCTCCGCCGTGTAAGATAGTCCAAAAACAGAGTATCATCAGGAGGCTCACCTCAGGTGTATTTCCTCTAAAGATATCAGGATCTTTGAGGTTTGGGAACTTTATTCGCTGATATTAAGTTCCCACCTCTTTGTTCAGAAGTGATAAAATTAATAAAGATAAGTTTAAAAAAAAAACAATTCAGCTACAGCAGGTTCAGAACAAGTTTAAAAAATGGGATAATCCCCTGAAATGTGAGCAGCTTGTTGATCGTCTTTGTGTTGAACGCTGCGTTTAAAATAATAATAATAATAATTACAATAATAATAATGATAATAATAAAATAAATAAATAATACTACAAAAAATAATACATTTGATTTATAACATGTTTTTACAGGTGCTTGAAGAGGCTTTACAAAAAAAAAACATAATTTAAAATACAGAAAATTTTAAGAAATGAAACCAACAATGTAAAAGGTTAAAAAAGACACATGATGAAAAGAGAATAAGAAAACTGTTCACAGGTTGAAAGCCAATTTAAAAAGGTGTGTTTTTAGGAGTGATTTGAAAGTATGGGGGTCTGTACAGTCTTAATTGGGTTTGTTCACGTTCATGGTGATCATCATTAGATTTTAGAAATTCTCGAGCGCTTTTTGGATCCATCACTCGGACCACCAAAAACCAGCAGCTACGTCTCGTTTGGTGGAATGAAATGAACCACACGGACAGTTTTCTGTGAAAACTCTCATGTTCTGTGTTTTTAACTCCTTGTTCAGGTTAACAAACTCAAACTTTGGTTTCATCTCATGACTGAAATAAAATAAAATAAAATATAATCAGATTCATTCTTAGGTCTGAGGTGTTGAGGTTGATGAAAAACACCTTGAGTGACCGCCTACTCACCTTCCTCGCCATCCTCACCGTCCTCATCAGTGTTCACGGAGAGGTCAGTGTGAAGAAGCTCCTGGTCCTCCTCTTCATCTAGTGGCGCTGTGATGGAACCCTCCTGACCCCGCTGTCGGAGCTGCTTTAGAGCCTTTGTAATAACCGGATCTTTCTGGGTCACTGCGCTGCGTTGGTGAAGCGACAGGGCGTTACGCTGGAGAAATCGATGCAGCCAGCCTCTGCTCGCCACAAAGCCTTTCTCTCCATCAGCCACAGAGGAGTAGATCTCCAGAGCTTTTTTTGTGATCATCTTTCTGGAGACGTGGTTTTGTCCGTCCCTCATCATGTGGATCCACTCAGCCAGCCTGGTCTCCAGCTCCACGCTGACCTTTTTCCTTCCTCCTCCATCAAGTCGTGCTTTGTTTTTATCGGCCCGCTGCAGCTCACCCTTCTGCTTCTTCCAGTAGCGGACTCTCCTCGGGTCGACGTTGAAGAACCGTGCAGCTTGTTCTCCAGAATGTTCTTCAGCATATTGTAAAACTTTCTCTTTGAATTCCACATCAAACTTTCTTCTCACCGCCATACTGCCGCTCACTCTCACTCCTTCCTGCACTATTTAGACCTCAGCTACCATCGCAGCACATTGGCGCTCATATCCAGTCATTATGATTTGGTGTCATGGCACTTCCTGGTAAACATGAGTTGTTTTGAATGCGGGGAGAAGACCACATCTGTTAGAGCTGATTGGTCTGAAATGTGGACGCCCTGTAAGAGTAAACACAGAATTATTAGTATTATCGCCATATTTGAACTTTTATGTCCACATCAGGACTGCCATACTGCTTACATTCAACTTCTTCCACTCACCTTCCTCCTTATATTTATACTGTTACACTGTTTATACTGTTATCTTTATTTTGTAAATTGATGTGAGTATTCAAGACAGTCTTTTGTTCAGCTTAGTTGTTCATTCTATATTTATACTTTCATAGTTTTATTCTTATATTTTATTGTTATGCACCGTGGGTCTGAGAGGACTCATCTCTGCTGTATGTTTAACATGTAAAGCATATTTGATAATAAATTTGACTTTGACTTTGACTTGATATGAGGCGGACAAAAGTTCAACATTCAGTTATTTCTGTGTTCATATCAGCCCAGGAAATCTACAAATTTATGACTTTATTATTTCACTTTTTACAGTTAATAAAGACCAAAGATTATACGGCCAAGTTATGACCAGGGATGGAAACTAATAAATCACATTCAGTAACAGAGCAGCTCTTTTGCACACTCTTCTCTCTAGAGTAGTTTTTATTTCAATCGGTGGTTTTGATTTTACCAATCTTACTGAAATCACAAAAAAACTCTTATTAAAGTTGGAAACACATTCACAGCCTCCTTCTTTCGAGGTCAATCACCAGAGCCGGCCCAAGGCATAAGCGAACTAAGCGCCTGCTCAGGGCCCCGCAGCCAGCAGGGGGTCCCCAAGAGCAATAAAAAAAAAATTTTAAATATATTTTATTTTTTGCATGTATGAGTGATGCTTTCTGTATGATCAAATATATATTATTGTAAAAATAAAATAAAAATGTTGTAGTGCTGTTGCTGATGTAGGCCTATGATTCTTCCTGCCGATATGTCAAATCTCCTCTACCGTTATGTGCCTCCTGCTGTGCAACGTGCACTGAGGCCGCCCCCTTAAATGTGTAAAGACATGTCAGGCTCATTAAATTTATACTGTAGTAGGTGTGTGAATGATCCACAATCAATATTATTGGCAGGAATAGAGGGCCCCCAAATCAAATTTTGCTCAGAGTCCCATTGAGGCTTGGGCTGATTCTGCCTGAACACAGCAACAAAGTAAACCCAAAGAAAAAGAGAAATGAGGATCATGTCTTACCTAATTAAGTTAAAATCGAACAAACCTTTCAGGTTCCTCTGTGAGTCCATGGGCCTGTTGTATTGGAGACAGGAGCAGTGATGGTTTCAGGTGAGCGGTCTTTGGACTCACAGGTAAACAGTGATGTGTCCAGTTTATGTTTCCTAGTCATGTCTGATGTTAATCCTCTTCAGTTTAACTCTTCACTGTCATTCATTCTGCTTCTTTTGTGCTCCATGAGTGAAATTATCAGTGATTTAATTTTCCACTAATCAGACATTTCAGCTCACAAAGCTTCCAGAAGGCACACGGCAGTACTTTGGCCAAAAGACTTGAGTCCAGTCTGCAAATAAAGAGCCCCCGGCCTTAAAATGAGGCCCGGCCGCATTAAGATGCACTTCTTTCTTTGAAAACTGCTCTTCTGTTTTAGAAATAAAAATCACATCCCGTCTGTCTCTAGAGCTCCTCTTTCTACCCGGACGGTGTTTCGTGTAACCCTCCGTCCGAATTAATGTCAAAAATCCCGAAATTTTCCATCGAGAGAGGAAGAAAACAAAAACCAAAGACTTCTCTGTAATATATCTTCTTACGTATTCTGTGAATACTAACTGTTGTTTGCGGGAAAAAGGAAATACAAGGAAAAACTCCGGAACAAAAACACTGCCCCCCTTAAACCCACGCGGCCTTCAAAATAAAAGCCCGGCTTTAAATATTTTGAACCATTTCAATTTCACAAAATACTGGCGCCCAAATGAAATAACTAAAGCACTCAGATCGTTTATGACATTCAAATAAGTCATGTTTAATTATTTATTTCTAATTACAGGATTATGGAGCCAAATTTAAGTTATTTTAAAGTGTAATTGAGTTGTTAACGGAGGAGTGTGGGGTTTGTTGCTGCTGTAGTTTTTATTTGGTTTATTTCCAAAGGATGAAATATGACAGGGTGCCCTCTGTATGACAACATATGGATGGATTTGACTGAAATACACGTCGATGAGGTTAAACAACATGAGGGAAACACTGATCTGAAAACAGCCACTAGAGGGAGCTCTAATACAGATCATAAACATGAGGCTGGTTTCAAACTGGGTGTGTGATGACCTCCTGATTTTACATGATTGTTATTTTCCCTGAAACCTGAAACAGCAAATAATTTCAAGGGTTCCTGAGAAATCATAAAAGTATTTAATATTTATAAGATTCAATAATTCATTTTACACGTGAGCCATATTGTTTAAAAGCGCAGTGATGTTTCCTCCTGTGAAGATGTTTCTTGAACCTGCAACACACAGAGACAAAATTTTATTATATAAGAGTTATAACAGCATCCACTGGTGCAATAAGTATTTAAAAATGCATAACTGACACATTTATTTTAGCTTATGAGACACTCAGGCTCTTGTTTACTGATAATCAGACGTTTCCGTTTAAGATCAAATAACACAAATAACATGAATTAGATGTAATTTGATAAAGGATTTATTAATCTTAATGAGATTTTGCTTTAAAACGATCCAGGAGTGTGTGTCACAAAATGTGTTGACTTTTATGAATACTTACTAACAAATATTAATGTTTGTTGACATACTAATGATTCTAACAAGTGGCTTTTTAATGATTAATCAGTTTTTAATACAAAGACCTTAACATCAAGTGTTACTCCCTCGTCTCTCAATTTCCATGCATCTCTTCATGAATCTCTGGTTGTGAGTGAACTTTGCAAAAATTAAATTTATGTGCAAATGGATTTAACTCGGACAAATGAGGGTGCATAACGAAGGCTAACCCTGAGTGAGGGTTCAGTTTTGTCAGTCTGGGTGTGACCTGCAGAGAGAGATTAATGAGGTTTAACGGAGGCGAAACAAACCGTGTCCTCTGGGTTTCAGCAGAAGAGGGCCGCCTCAAATCTTGGTGTGAAGTCAGTTAGGCTGAAACTGCTCTCAAGTGTTTCACTTCTCTCTTGGTTCAGTAACTATGGAAACGGACAGGCATCACTGCTTAACCATGGCAACAGACGAGTTTCAGTGCTAAAGAAAGAGTTCTGAGCAGCACTTCGGAAACTAAAAAAAAAGGTGATGTTTTTTCTCTTGAAAAAACATAAAAGATTTAGTCTATTTTCAGTAAATTAGACATAAAAAGTGTTGATAAATTATCACTTAAAATTAATCAACTTTCCATTGAGGTAAAAGATTATCAGTCAAAGGGAATATTTCCCGTGTGATGACATTATTGTCCCACTCAGGCTCTTATATGTAATTTTATAGTTTCACCAAGATTTGTGTGAAGTACTTGAACATTTGTTGTTTAATACTTCCACACAGAGCCTGACCAATTGTCTGCAGGGCCTGAAGTGGGCATTTAGTTTGCTTATGTCTCGGGCCGGCTCTGCCTCCACGGATGAGCAAAGTTATGGCTGAAACTAAAACTATTCCCATGATACCCAAGTGAAGCATTTCCATAGAGAGTGAAAAGCAGCATGCTCCAGTGCTCTGGGAGACTTTATAGTCCTGAGAGTTGAAGACTGGATGACTGACAGCTGCCCTTCATCACAACAGAAGACACAGAAATCCTCCTCCTCCTCCTCCTGATCAGAAACATGACTGTGATCTGCGTCCTCATCTGGACTCTCCTCTGCTGCTGCTTCACAGGTAAAGTCCAGAGAATCCAACTCCTCTCCTCTATGAACATCTGTCCCTCTAAAATGAAGCCCACAAAACCATGACGTTGCTTTCTGTGTTTGTCTCTGTATCCTCAGAGTCCAAAATTCAGGTCACAGTGACTCAGCCTGCAGCTGTGAGCTCTGCTCCGGGAGGAAATGCACAAATCAGCTGTAGTGTCAGTCAGAATGTGTATGTTTCGAGCAACAACCACTACTTAGCCTGGTACCAACAGAAGGATGGAGAAACTCCTAAACTGCTCATTAATCGCGCTAGCACTCGAGTATCAGGGATATCAAGTCGTTTTACAGGCAGTGGATCTGGATCTAGTTTCACTCTGACCATCAGTGGAGTCCAGACTGAAGATGCAGCAGTTTACTACTGTCAGAGTTTTCACTACCCCAACAGTCAGTATGTGTTCACACAGTGAAAAATCGTTGTACAAAAACCTCCCTCAGCTAAAGAGGAAGTGATCAGACTGAACATCTGCACAGACACTAAAACTCTTCACATTTAATAAACAAAGATATTTATAGTAGATCTCATCAAACTCACATTTCATTCTTGGTTCCATTACTGGTACAATTACAGGGTTAGTTGAAGAGTTAGAGTTTGCAACAACAGCACAGTTTCAGATTACAGTAGTAAAAATATCCTTACTGATCCACTTCAGGGAGAATCGACTCAAACACACAGTTATGTTACACAAATGACTGATCCTCATCACCTCCTCCTTTAACTAAATACACTCATTTTTCTGGTTATAACTCCACTGTTGCAGTCAGGAGGATCAGCTCTGAGCTGTACCGTCAACTCATCACCTAAAGTCACAAACACTCCTGATCTGACTGATATCAAACCCCACTCTGTTTGTGTGACGGATCTGCAGCAACACTTCACAGGAGTTTTTCTTGAATTATAAGTAGACCGTTTATCTCTGGTATGTTTTATTCTCTTCATTATTTTCCATTAAACTCACTGAACTCTAATCTTCCATTGTAAACACATGATATCACCGTACGCTGATGATATCCCGCTCTTCTTTGTTGACCTAAAAGTGTGACAAAGCTCAAAGATCTGAACTATCGTCACTTTTTCTCTCAGTTTTAAGACCTCACAACAGATGAAACATCACCAGCAGACTTCAGTGAGATTATCGGCTGGTTTCTATTGTTGAATGAAATCATACTGGATTTACAGTTAGCTTATGGAGTGTTTGTTTATTTCTTTTAACCTGGACCAACCATGAACCACATTTACGTTTTAATAAAGTCTGAAAAACTAAAGTAAATTATATATTTTTGTTCTTCTTTGGGGATCATGTCTGACTAATGATTTAATAATGAAATAAATGAGGAGGAAAACCACACAGAGCTGACTTTAATGTAATGTTTTTATTGAGTTAAACTTCTGAAACGATCAAAGAGAGAAAAAGCAAAAACATGTTTGAGAAGAGAGAGAGAGAGAGAGAGAGAGAGAGAGAGTTTAGACTGAGAGCAGGAAGAGAGGAAAAACTGAATCAGGGTCCCAGTGAATCAGATCACTACTGGGAACACTCGTCTCTCCTCAGGGTCTGTGAGACCGGAGTCTGGGAGCCCCGGGTGGCCTCACAGGTCACAGAGACCACCTTGTCCCACTGGTCTGCAGGGAGCCTCAGGGTGCTGCTCCAGGTGTATTTACCGTCCTTCTCCAGCACCGCAGGGCTCCTGCTCTCCTCCCAGCTGCTGCTGCTGCTGCTGTCCACCTTCCAGACCAGAGTCCAGTCTGAGGGGAAGCCCTTGTTGGCCAGGCACATGAGCGTGGCCTTCCCCTCCTGCTGCTGCAGCTCTTTTTTGGAGGGCGGCAGCACCGTCAGTTCGGGACGGGCATCACCTAGGAGACACCAATCAGCTTAGAGGACAGGGAGTACACAGCTGTCAATCAAACAGCAGACACTGGGACAGCTTTCATGTTGAACGTTGATTTTCTTCTTCATGGACTTTCACTTCCCTTTAAGAAACCTCTCATGCACATCAGCACAGAGACACTCACATACTGACTAACCCCACTGAAAATCACTGATCTGAAAATAAACTCAGACTTCATTCGCTCGTCTTCATGTCACAGAAATCACAACAAAAACCATCAAAACAGGATTAAAAACGTTTCAAAACGGTGTCAACTCTCATCATTTCTGACGGCATATATCAAAGTCTCACTTCACTTTTCTCATCATGAACCGACTCAGTATGAGAGATTATTTTCAGGTGAATTTAAAACTCTTGAAACGAACTGTTGTAGAGATTATTCTGAGAGAAAACAGAGAAACAAGAGAGATCGGGTTTATTTCCTCTTTTTCTTTAACTCTTTAAATTAAGACTTTAATCTCTGGTCATTAATAATAAAAGTTTTTATTCTGATTAAAGTTTAAATTATTTTTAAACCTCAAATCTGAACTTTTGAGAAGAAAGCTTCAAGATCGTTTCAGTACAGCTGATCTGAATTCAGTTCAACAGTAAACCTGACATAAAAGCAGAAATACTCCGAATCACAGGAAATGTTCGCCTCAAAAACACATAAAAAAACTTAGTATGGTTCTTATTTTAGCACTCATATATCAAGTAATTTACAGAAACTTACTTCCAACATCCAGTCTGGTTCCTCCACCAAAAGTCCACCACAGTGATACAAAGTCATTGAGGCGCCGTACAAAAACCTCTGACTGTAGAGAGACACGGCTCTCTGACTCTGACTGAACTAAACCTACCAGCCCTCAGGATCCAACTGAATACCACCATTAGAAACACTTCATTATTTCATGGACTCAGATTTAATTGGAGTTTTTATACAGTTTTAGTTTCTAACTGACACCTGGATCCCTCAAGTTTCACTCGCTCTAAAACATGCAAAAAGAAAAAGAAACGCGAATATTTTTCCTTCAGTCTTTCAAAAGAAGAAATCAGAAACAAAAATGACTGACTCAAAAGAAAAAGACTTTATATTTGACTTACTTCCAACATCCAGTCTGGTTCCTCCACCGAACGTGTACCACAGTGATACAAAGTCATTGAGGCGCCGTACAAAAACCTCTGACTGTAGAGAGACACGGCTCTCTGACTCTGACTGAACTAAACCTACCAGCCCTCAGGATCCAACTTTGTTCACTCAAGTCTGAAGATTAAATAGTGAATTTGTAGGAAAAGATGAGCCCCACTTCAAAATCTGAAATGACTTTTTCTTCAGTACCTCTTCAATCCAAAGTGACATTTTTCTGTTTTCTCAAAAAAATCAGTTTAAAATAAAAAAGCAAAGTGACTTTTTTCCTACAGATTTAAATGAAAAGTAAAGAAGCTTCTGAAACAAAGAAAAAGACTTTATACTTGACTTACTTCCAACATCCAGTCTGGTTCCTCCACCGAACGTGTACCACAGTGATACAAAGTCATTGAGGCGCCGTACAAAAACCTCTGACTGTAGAGAGACACGGCTCTCTGACTCTGACACAAACAAAGTCACCTAAATGTGTCTCTGTCTGCAAGAGCTTTGAGCTCCAATGAAAGCAGAGAATTCAATGTAGTCCATTTGAATGAATCCAGTTTTTGAAGATCTTTATTGATTTACTGAATAGTTGACATTCATTGTCCTCAGCATCGGGCTAAGACTGAAGAAATCTCTCCAAATAGATGGATGAAGAAGAACAAACCTAAACCTTCATGATACAAGTCAGGAAAGCTGTTTGATCAATCAGGAGATGAATTGATTGATCCATTATTGATCATCATCATCATCATCATCATCATCATCATCATCATCATGTCTATAATCTAAGGCCCTGTTGGAGTTAATCTGAGCATTTCCATAGAGAGTGAGTTTGCATGAGCAGCAGCATGCTCCAGTGCTCTGGGAGACTTTATAGTCCTGAGAGTTGAAGACTGGATGACTGACAGCTGTCCTTCATCACAACAGAAGACACAGAAATCCTCCTCCTCCTCCTCCTCCTCCTGATCAGAAACATGACTGTGATCTGCGTCCTCATCTGGACTCTCCTCTGCTGCTGCTTCACAGGTAAAGTCCAGAGAATCCAACTCCTCTCCTCTATGAACATCCGTCCCTCTGAAATGAAGCCCACAAAACCATGACGTTGCTTTCTGTGTTTGTCTCTGTATCCTCAGAGTCCAAAATTCAGGTCACAGTGACTCAGCCTGCAGCTGTGACCTCTGCTCCGGGAGGAACTGTCTCCATCTCATGTAGGACCAGTCAGGATGTGTATGTTTATAACAACAACCAGTACTTAGCCTGGTACCAACAGAAGGATGGAGAAACTACTAAACTGCTCATTTATTATGCTAGCACTCGACAATCAGGGATATCAAGTCGTTTTTCAGGCAGTGGATCTGGATCTAGTTTCACTCTGACCATCAGTGGAGTCCAGACTGAAGATGCAGCAGTTTACTACTGTCAAGGAGAATTTGATTCTTCAAAGTATGAGCTGTTCACACAGTGAAAAAGCGTCGTACAAAAACCTCCCTCAGTCAGACTGAACTGAAACTGAACTGACAGCTGCAGCTGGAAGTTTCTACAGAGACTGACACACTTCAGTGAATCAGTTCAGACAGGATGAAAAACTATTAAAGTTTATAGTTTGTCATGAGCCCGAGTTAAACAAAAGAAAAGGACCCAAATGCAGAACAAAGAATTTATTCTAAAAGAACTAAATGAAAAGTAACAAAAACTTTTTCAAAAGTGTTCAACTGAAAAATCCCAAAGGCAAAATTGAACGAAAGACACGGGGGCAAAAAATCACAAGGAGACTAGGATTCACAAATTGACTATGAGTGACAATGAAATCAGCCCGGAACAGCTTTTCTAAAACAGAAGGTCTTGAGCCCTTTTTTAAAAGCATCCACCGTCTGTGGAGCTCTGAGGTGGTCAGGAAGAGCGTTTCACAGACGGGGAGCAGCAACCTCAGTGGCCCTGTCACCCATGGTATTGAGCCGTGTCCTTGGCGGTGCAGACAGTTCATTTGGCCTGACCGGGTTCTGGCTGAGGTTTGTGGGGTGAGGAGTTCAGGGAGGTAGGTGGGGGCTGCACCGTTAAGACAGTGATGGGTGGAGGAGGATTTCGAATTCGATGCGGAGGTGGATGGGGAGCCAGTACAGAGTGCGAAGGATGGGGGAAATGTGCTCCTGTTTGTGCACCATCATCAGGACCCTGGCAGCGCTGTTTTAAACATATTGGAGCCTTTAGAGGCTCTTGCCAGGGATCCTGATGAGGAGTGCGTTGCGGTAGTCAAGCCTGGAGGAAACAAAGGCGTGGACAAGCTTCTCAGCAGCAGGGTGGGAGAGAGATGGATGACGTTTGGCAATGTTACGAAGGTGGAAGAAGGAGGTTTCGCAGACATGATTGATGTGGGTGTCAAAGCTAAGATAGGGGTCAAACCTGACTCCTAAATTAGTCACGGAAGGAGAGAGAGAAAGGTTGTGGCCGAGAAAGGAAGCGCAGGAAATAGGTGAGGAACAGAGCTGGTGAGGGGTACTGGTGTGAATGGCTTCCGTTTTTGAGGTGTTCAGCTGTAAAAGGTTTTCGCTCATCCACGCCTTTATTTCTTCCAGGCAGGAGTCTAGGTGAGTGACAGAGGAGGTGGGAGTGACCTTGAGGTACAGTTGTGTGTCGTCAGCATAGCAATGAAATTGTATTCCATGCCTGCTGATGACATGACCAAGAGAGAGCATGTGTATGGTGAAGAGGGTTGGACCGAGCACAGAGCCCAGGGGGACCCCACAGACAACAGTGTGGGGGCGGGATTTAGCTTCCCCCAGGGCCACGAACTCTGTCCTTCCCGTGAGGTATGAATGGAAGCATTTCAGGGCGATGCCAGAAATGCCATTGTTGTGTTGGAGGCGGTGAAGGAGGATGTGATGATCAACAGTGTCAAAAGCAGCAGAGAGGTCGAGGAGGATGAGGAGGGAAGTGGAGCCGGAGTCAGAGGTCATCAGAACATGATTGGTGATTCTGATGAGAGCTGTCTCGGTGCTGTGGGATGGACAAAAACCGGATTGGAGTTTTTCATACAAGCTGTTTAATTTGAGATGGTTATGGAGTTGGATGGATACAGTTCTTTCTAGGACTTTGGAGATGAAAGGGAGATTGGAGCTGGGTCTGTAGTTTGACAAAGCTTCGGGATCAAGAGTGGGTTTTTTTAAGGAGGGGTTTGATAATTGCAGTTTTGAGGCTAACAGGAACATGGCCGGTTTGAAGAGAGAGATTTTCTTGACCTCCTGCTGTATTGTGGGGGAGAAGTGAGACAGTTGTTGTGTGGTAGGTGGGATGTCATTTGACGGGACAAAACTGTTGGCTGGAGAGAGAGATGTGCGGATATTGTGTTTTTTAGAGGTAAAGAAATCAATGAATTTGTTGCACTGTGTGACTGTTTGGTTGTGGTGTGAAGGGGTTTGAGGCCTGAGAAGGTGTTCAACTGTGGTGAAGAGTTGTTTGGAGTTACCTGGGTTATTGTTAATGATGTTGGAATAGAGTGCAGATCTGGCCTTGAAGAGTTCTTTGGCATTTGTCTGTTGGTGTTCCCAGTAGGCCAATTTATGCACTGTCAGCCGTGATGTAGCATAGGCCCGCTCAAGGACTTGGCCGGTCCTTTTTAACAGTCTCAGCTCCTCCTCAATTCTCAATCCTAATTAAATATTCAATAAAGAACTAAACGAGTTTTTGGTCGTTATAAACAAATAAGAGAGTATCATCAGCAAACAGAGTTATCAGGTGGATTTAAGGAGTTCACTTGGACCATTGTTGATGAGGGCTGCTGTGTGTAAGTGTAAGTGTGTGTGGCAGGTGTGTGTGTGTGTGTGTGTGTGTGTGTGTGTGTTAGTGTGTGTATGAATCCTCACTGAAGTGTATCAGGGTCTGCAGGAACTTCAGCTGCAGCTGTGTGTTCAGTCTGACTGAGGGAGGTTTTTGTACGACGCTTTTTCACTGTGTGAACACATTCTGACTGTTGATGACATGAAAACTCTGACAGTAGTAAACTGCTGCATCTTCAGTCTGGACTCCACTGATGGTCAGAGTGAAACTAGATCCAGATCCACTGCCTGAAAAACGACTTGGTATCCCTGATTGTCGAGTGCTGGCAACATAAATGAGCTGTTTAGGAGATTCTCCATCCTTCTGTTGGTACCAGGCTAAGTAGTGATACGGACTGCTATAATATACATCCTGACTGGTCCTACATGAGATGGTGACGGTTCCTCCCAGAGCAGAGGTCACTGCTGCAGGCTGAGTCACTGTGACCTGTCCTCTGGACTCTGAGGATACAGAGACAAACACAGAAAGCAGCGTCATGGTTTTGTGGGCTTCATTTCAGAGGGACGGATGTTCATAGAGGAGAGGAGTTGGATTCTCTGGACTTTACCTGTGAAGCAGCAGCAGAGGAGAGTCCAGATGAGGACGCAGATCACAGTCATGTTTCTGATCAGGAGGAGGAGGAGGATTTCTGTGTCTTCTGTTGTGATGAAGGACAGCTGTCAGTCATCCAGTCTTCAACTCTCAGGACTATAAAGTCTCCCAGAGCACTGGAGCATGCTGCTGCTCATGCAAACTCACCCTCTATGGAAATGACTCCTATCATCAGATCAATAAACTTCTTTTGTCATTAAGCTCATTGATCAAAAAGAGTTTCATTGCCACAACACCTGCTTACTTACAATGGGACCTCAGTTTACAACATCAGTTCATATGTCTCAGTTGAAAACATTCATTCTGTGGGTTAATTGGACTGAATTATTATCCAAGTTAACTGGACAAACTTTAGAATAAATCCAGGAACTTTTCTGAATTTGATAATAACTTTTTTAAAGGTTTTCAGCCTGAAGTAATTCTGAAGTAAAACTTTTTCACAACAATATGTCGGCTAATTGTTTTTCTTTGAAAGTTTTATTTTATTTTTACAAAGTGTATAAAATTAAAAACCTTAAATCTTTATTATTTTTTCATGGTTTATCAGAGGTACTAAGGACTTCTTTTATAGCACTGAAACATGTCTGTAGTCATGGTTAAGCAGCGATGCCTGTCTGTTGCCATGGTTACTGGAGTTAAGAGGGAAGTGAAAGAGCTGAGATCAGTTTCATCTTCTCAACTGTAGTCAGCTGTAGTGACCTCTTGTGCTGAAGTTTATTGAAGCTCTTTCTTCATCTCTCTCTCTGTAGTGGATCAGGTGACCCTCAGACTGATGGAGATGGTCCACTCCAGAAACTACGGCCTTCATAGACAGGAGCTCTCTCTCCTCTAAAAACACCTTTGGACTAAACTTGTGTCCTCTTTCAGCTCTCCTTCTTTCCTGAACATAACATGACACAACACCTGCAGCAGAGTTGATGAGTGCATTTGTCCATTCATAGGAGTCATTTCCATAGAGAGTGAGTTTGCATGAGCAGCAGCATGCTCCAGTGCTCTGGGAGACTTTATAGTCCTGAGAGTTGAAGACTGGATGACTGACAGCTGTCCTTCATCACAACAGAAGACACAGAAATCCTCCTCCTCCTCCTGATCAGAAACATGACTGTGATCTGCGTCCTCATCTGGACTCTCCTCTGCTGCTGCTTCACAGGTAAAGTCCAGAGAATCCAACTCCTCTCCTCTACGAACATCCGTCCCTCTGAAATGAAGCCCACAAAACCATGACGCTGCTTTCTGTGTTTGTCTCTGTATCCTCAGAGTCCAGAGGAAAGATCACAGTGACTCAGCCTGCAGCTGTGACCTCTGCTCTGGGAGGAACCGTCACCATCTCCTGTAGTGTCAGTCAGAATGTGCATGTTTATAGCAACAACCAGTACTTAGCCTGGTACCAACAGAAGGATGGAGAAACTCCTAAACTGCTCATTTATACTGCTAGCAGTCGAGTATCAGGGATATCAAGTCGTTTTTCAGGCAGTGGATCTGGATCTAGTTTCACTCTGACCATCAGTGGAGTCCAGACTGAAGATGCAGCAGTTTACTACTGTCAGAGTCTTCACTACCCCAACAGTCAGTGGGTGTTCACACAGTGAAAAAGCGTCGTACAAAAACCTCCCTCAGTCAGACTGAACTGAAACTGAACTGACAGCTGCAGCTGGAAGTTTCTACAGGGACTGACACACTTCAGTGAATCAGCTCAGACAGGATGAAAAACGTTCTAATTTAAGTAAATTACACTATAAACTTTAGGTCTACTTTTAGATACACTATAACGTTATCTCCCGTTTCAAAACTAACATCTAAAATATCGCTCCTGCTGCATTGAATGTTCTTACAAAAAGAGTTGAGACAGATCAGTAAATATGACTGATTTGTTTTTAATAATTATCTCCAAAAGTAACTCCAGACTTTAACAAACAATTTAAAAACTTTGAAAAGTTCAAAAAAGATGAAAAAAGTGAAAAAGAGTGATCATAAAAACAAGAACAAACAATGAATGACTAAACTGAAGTGAAACACAGAAAAACACCAATATACAGATAATTTACAGTCAGTATCCAACCCTGAGGTAAAAAGAAGCCTGGACTCAGATGACCTTAGGGTTTTAGATGATTGATTGATTGATTGATTGATTGACTGACTGATTGATTGATTGATTGATTGATACTGGAACATGTAATGACAAAAGTGAAGACATTATGTACATCCATCCATCCATCCATAAACAATAATGGTTTTAACCAAAGTGATTCTTTGCAGATGTCTTTTACATACAGAATAATCCATTAAGGGCCCAATACTGACCCCTGGGGTACACCGTCTGAAATATTCAAACACAGGGAACAAAAATCCTGACGTTTCACAAACTGTTTCTGTCACTAAAGGAGCTCCTTAACCAATCCAAGGCCACATTCTGATCCCATACTGTTCCAGTTTATTGATTAGTATGTCATAGTTAATGGTATCAATCACCTTTTGAAGGTTGAAAATAAAGTAAAACTTATATTTTAGCTTTTTGTTGTTGTTGTTGTGTACTTTTAATGGACAGTGTAATATTCATGTTGTCATTGTAGATTGTTTCCCAGTTTGAGTGTGTGTGTGTGTGTGTGTGTGTGTGTGTGTGTGTGTGTGTGTGTGTGTGTGTGTGTGTGTGTGTGTGTGTGTGTGTGTGTGTGTGTGTGTGTTTGCATATCTGTCCTTCCTCTCTGCTCTCAGAGGTTAAGAGGACCATGTTGATCCCCTTTCCAGACCTTTCAGAGACAGCGACACAGCAGCAGCACAATAATGATGTCCCTGATCCAGCTTCTGCTCACCCTGGGGCTCCTTGTTCAGGGTGAGACCAGGTTGACCACAATGAAGTTCTGCTCTGATGGAGAACAACTTGAAGAAGCAGCATTGACCTTCTTCCATCTTCTCTCTCCATCTCAAAGAAATGAGACTCTTGTGTTTGGATGGTGTTCATCTTTCTCTAAGCTGGATTTGTCTCCATAACCTTCTCCTCTTTTTCATCTTTTCCAGCTTCATCAGGACAAATCCTCCTGACTCAGACTCCTGGGTCTCAGTCTGTGGTTCCAGGAGGGACCGTCTCAATCAAATGTCAGACCAGTTCATCTGTTGCTAATTATCTCCACTGGTATCTTCAGAAACCTGGAGAAGCTCCTAAACTCCTGATTTATAGAGCTACAAGCCGTCAGTCTGGAGTTCCTGATCGTTTCAGTGGATCTGGATATGGATCAGACTTTACTCTGACCATCAGTGGAGTCCAGGCTGAAGATTCAGGAGTTTATTACTGTCAGCAGGATTACACCTCGTTCACACAGTGAAAAACCGTCGTACAAAAACCTCCTCAGTTAAAGAGGAACTGATCTGACTGAACATCTGCTTGTAGAGCACAGATCACTGCTTTCAAAGCTCTGTGTCTCCAATGAAGATGAACTGAGAAGGTTCAACTTTGTAGAAATCTTCAGGTCTATTTTAAATATATAACATCTTTATATTTGTAGTTGAAATGTGACTAAAAGCTGCAGTAATTCCTTGAATTCATTGACAAATATCTGAGAGTCTCAAAATCAGCCCAAATCCTCCTCTGTCTTCTGTTCATAATCCAATCATTCAGAATAATTGTCCTTTTTTAATCAGATTTTCATCCAAACACTACCATATAATATGACACATGATGAATATTGTTTATTGATTGAATCGTCTTTCAGATCTAAAGAGAAAGGTCCAAATATTTCAAGTATTTGACATTTTACTTCAGTCAAATCCTTGAAAAGCTTTTGTTTCATTGCCTTGATAAAGTCATTATTTCAGATAAATTTAAGTCAAAGATAAAGATTAAAAACAGAAATATGGATCCATATGGTCCAACTGAAATATTATTGTTTATTATTGTAATACTATTGTACATGATAGTGTTATTCAGAGTCATAATTGGATGATATTCTCTAAATCTAAAACAGGAATATTTGTTGAAAGTGCAGTAGCAGTGATTTGATTTCTCTCTATGCTGATGATATCAGCTTTTATTGAAGTCATCATCATCATCATCATCATCCTCATCACAATAACAGCTCCATGAAAAGTGATTTTTTATAATCAGAACACTGACAATATAAGAGTCCTCGTCATGGACGCCGCTCAATACTCAAAGCTGATTGGATGATTTTCAGTCTTTGTTTTCACCAGTTTTTCTCTCTCGTGATTTTGGAGAAATTTTCACTTCATATTGATTATGAGTTGAACTTAATGGACTGAGAATAAAAGAACATTTCAAAGTTTTCTTTCAGCTCATATTTTCTCATTGACACTAAATTCTTCTTTTTCTCAGCTCATCCTAAATGAGACAAACTCAGTTTTTCTTTGTTTGTTTCTGTCTGAAGGAGTCTGTAAAGATTTGAAACATTAAAGATGAAAAATGAGACTGACTCGTTGATTTGATGAAGATTTTTATTCTGTGAATAAACGGCAAAGAAAAGAAGACTTATTTTGAAAAGTGTGAGTTGAATCAAAGTGAGTTTTTAATTTTCTCAGTTGGATAAATTTCACGGTCACAGTCAGCTGATCTGTTCAGTGAATTTCCTGCAGTAACTGACACCATCATGATGAAATAAAGTCACACACATTCATCCTGATAAAATAAGAAAAACAGAAAAACTGAATTGATCAAGAAACTTTTATTGGGAAAATTCAAGAAAACAAGAAGCTGCTGAATGTTTGTGCTGAAAGCTGTGAACTCAGAGAGAGAGAGAGAGAGAGAGAGAGAGAGAGAGAGAGAGAGAGAGAGAGCAGGATCAGACTTCAAGCAGGAGCAGAGTCCCAGTGAGTCAGGACTGGGAACACTCGTCTCTCCTCAGGGTCTGTGAGACTGGAGTCTGGGAGCCCTGGGTGGCCTCACAGGTCACAGAGACCACCTTGTTCCACTGGTCTGCAGAGAGCCTCAGGGTGCTGCTCCAGCTGTAGTGGCCGTCCTTCTGCAGCCCCCCGGGGCTCCTGCTCTCCTCCCCGCTGCTGCTGCTTCTGCCGTCCACCTTCCAGGTCAGAGTCCAGTCTGAGGGGTAGCCCTTGTTGGCCAGGCACATGAGCGTGGCCTTGCCCTTTTTCCGCAGCTCCTCTTCGGAGGGGGGCAGCACCGTCAGGGTGGGGACCACTTGACCCACTGAGAGAGCACACAGAGAGACCACATGAAGAAAGTTCACTCAGTCAGGAAAACAAAACTCTGCTCTGACGCTCGTCCTCACATGGCCTCAAACTGCTGTCTTTCACTTCCCTCTCTCATCTCAGTAACCACGGCAACGGACAGCCATCACCGCCGAACCGTAACAACAGACAGGTTTCGCTCCTAAAGATAAAACCTGAAGCGGGAAACTCTTTGCTGCGACCAACAAAGTGTAAGGTGAAGATTTGATGGTGTGAAAAAGAGCACAAGACTTCAAGTTGAGCTCCTCCAAAAGTCTGACTGTAGAGAGACTCGGCTCTCTGACTCGGACTGAACTCGATGGATCAGCTCCTCCATGAGAGTCAAAAACCATCCTGATCTGAAAAGGATCATTCTGCTCGGATTTATTCAATCAGTCTGAAGAGATTCTGTCTTCTTCTAAAACCTCAATCCTATCAGCTCCACTTTTTTTACACTCTTTCTAAAAACATGCATCGCAAAAGAAAATGATCACATTAGTTTCCATCAGTAACATATATGAAGGAAAAATAAGTGACTAATATTATAAAAAGGATCAAAAGTGGACTTACAGTCAACATCCAGTCTGGTTCCTCCACCAAAAGTCCACCACAGTGAAACAAAGTCATTGAGGCGCCGTACAAAAACCTCTGACTGTAGAGAGACACGGCTCTCTGACTCTGACTGAACTAAACCTACCAGCCCTCAGGATCCAACTTTGTTCACTCAAGTCTGAAGATTAAATAGTAAATTTGTAGGAAAAGATGAGCCCCACTTCAAAATCTGAAATGACTTTTTCTTCAGTACCTCTTCAATCCAAAGTGACATTTTTCTGTTTTCTCAAAAAAATCAGTTTAAAATAAAAAAGCAAAGTGACTTTTGTCCTACAGATTTAAATGAAAAGTAAAGAAGCTTCTGAAACAAAGAAAAAGACTTTATATTTGACTTACAGTTAACATCCAGTCTGGTTCCTCCACCGAACATGTACCACAGTGATACAAAGTCATTGAGGCGCCGTACAAAAACCTCTGACTGTAGAGAGACACGGCTCTCTGACTCTGACACAAACAAAGTCACCTAAATGTGTCTCTGTCTGCAAGAGCTTTGAGCTCCAATGAAAGCAGAGAATTCAATGTAGTCCATTTGAATGAATCCAGTTTTTGAAGATCTTTATTGATTTACTGAATAGTTGACATTCATTGTCAGAAGTTTAACTCAATAAAAACGATCACTATTACAAATTGTTGAGAATCTTCATTTATATAAAAACCTTCAGTTATTACTGTGGTGCAAATCTAAAATGCATTTTTAAAGTTATTTAAATCCCTAATATGATCCTTTTAACCATCAGCCTGTTTTACTTGAACTCAAACTCTGCAGTAAAGCGGTCCTGAGCTCACCTCTGTATCCTCAGAGTCCAGAGGACAGGTCACAGTGACTCAGCCTGCAGCAGTGAGCTCTGCTCCGGGAGGAACCGTCACCATCTCATGTAGGACCAGTCAGAATGTGCATGTTTGGAGCAACTACCACCTTTTAGCCTGGTACCAACAGAAGGATGGAGAAACTCCTAAACTGCTCATTTATTATGCTAGCACTCGACAATCAGGGATATCAAGTCGTTTTTCAGGCAGTGGATCTGGATCTAGTTTCACTCTGACCAGAAGACAGTACACAGTGACTCAGCCTGCAGCAGTGACCTCTGCTCCGGGAGGAAACGTCACCATCTCATGTAGAACCAGTCAGAATCTGTACAATAATGGTGTCTACCACTTCTTAGCCTGGTACCAACAGAAGGATGGAGAAGCTCCTGAACTGCTCATTTTTCTTGCTAGCACTCTAGAATCAGGGATATCAAGTCGTTTTTCAGGCAGTGGATCTGGATCTAGTTTCACTCTGACCATCAGTGGAGTCCAGACTGAAGATGCAGCAGTTTACTACTGTCAGAGTTATCATGAGATCAACAGTCAAGATGTGTTCACACAGTGAAAAAGCGTCGTACAAAAACCTCCCTCAGTCAGACTGAACACACAGCTGCAGAGTCTGACACACTTCACTGAGGATACACACACACACACACACACACACACACACACACACACACACACACACACACACACACACACACACACACACACTGTTACACGTCTCCCTTCGTTTTGATCATGATCACTATTCCACCATTAATTAATTCAAACTCCTTATCCACTTTAAAAATACTCTGAAGGTCTTTCAGCAACATTTGAAGACACTCAAATGACCCGTTCAAGTAAAGCAGATATTTATACCAAGACATTTTATATATTTGTATTTATTTAATGTAAATATTTGGGCCTTTGGCTTGACTCCCATCTATCCTTTATAACTCATATTGATTCAATCACAGAGAAAATATAATATTGTCTTTTAAAATTGTTTTCTCGTTCAAAGAGTGTTTCTCTCTGAAGGTTCAGAGAAAAATTGTAACACAGTTGATTCTGACAATACTTGACTATGCAGATATAGTGTACCAAAATACAACTGAAACAAATCTTGGTCCTCTGTCTGCGCTTTATAACAGTCTTTGTAGATTCATTCTCAGGAGCCCATTTCAAACTCATCCATGTTTCATCCATGAGTCTCTGAACTGGCTTTCACCCAAATCTAGAAGAAAGTTTCACTGGTTTCAGTTCATCTTTAAATGCAATTATTTTAGTTTTCCTCCTTATTTGAACCAGTTCCTAATATCATTAACGTCGCAATATAGACCAAGACACACAACCAATCTACCTTTCTTTACCCCCAGAATCACTAAAGAAATTGGGCGTTGTGTCGTGACCCCCTTGAAAATGAGATGGTCCATCTGAAGGGGCTTTCCTCCTCAATAAATGAAATAAACATTTATAATAAAATCAAAACACAAAGAATTTGTCATGAGGCAGGGTTAAACAAAGGAAAAGGACCCAAATATGCAGACGAAAAAAAAAAGATTTATAAAAAAGAACAAAATGAAAAGAAACAAAAAGAGAAAAATCCAACAAAAGGGTTAGGAGGAAAAAAACAACAAGGAGACGAGGGATTCACACATCGAGGATCAGGGTGAACTGACAGACAGACAAACACACAATGAACCAACAAGAACAGAGAGACAGGGACTATATACACTCACCGGCCACTTTATTAGGTACACCATGCTAGTAACGGGTTGGACCCCCTTTTGCCTTCAGAACTGCCTCAATTCTTCGTGGCATAGATTCAACAAGGTGCTGGAAGCATTCCTCAGAGAGCTTGGTCCATATTGACATGATGGCATCACACAGTTGCCGCAGATTTGTCGGCTGCACATCCATGATGCGAATCTCCCGTTCCACCACATCCCAAAGATGCTCTATTGGATTGAGGTCTGGTGACTGTGGAGGCCATTTGAGTACAATGAACTCATTGTCATGTTCAAGAAACCAGTCTGAGATGATTCCAGCTTTATGACATGGCGCATTATCCTGCTGAAAGTAGCCATCAGAAGTTGGGTACATTGTGGTCATAAAGGGATGGACATGGTCAGCAACAATACTCAGGTAGGCTGTGGCGTTGCAACGATGCTCAATTGGTACCAAGGGGCCCAAAGAGTGCCAAGAAAATATTCCCCACACCATCCAATCTTCTATTGTCCAATTTCGATGAGCTTGTGCAAATTGTAGCCTCAGTTTCCTGTTCTTAGCTGAAAGGAGTGGCACCCGGTGTGGTCTTCTGCTGCTGTAGCCCATCTGCCTCAAAGTTTGACGTACTGTGCGTTCAGAGATGCTCTTCTGCCTACCTTGGTTGTAACGGGTGGTTATTTGAGTCACTGTTGCCTTTCTATCAGCTCGAACCAGTCTGGCCATTCTCCTCTGACCTCTGGCATCAACAAGGCATTTCCGCCCACAGAACTGCCGCTCACTGGATATTTTTTCTTTTTCGGACCATTCTCTGTAAACCCTAGAGATGGTTGTGCGTGAAAATCCCAGTAGATCAGCAGTTTCTGAAATATTCAGACCAGCCCTTCTGGCACCAACAACCATGCCACGTTCAAAGTCACTCAAATCACCTTTCTTCCCCATACTGATGCTCGGTTTGAACTGCAGGAGATTGTCTTGACCATGTCTACATGCCTAAATGCACTAAGTTGCCGCCATGTGATTGGCTGATTAGAAATTAAGTGTTAGCGAGCAGTTGGACAGGTGTACCTAATAAAGTGGCCGGTGAGTGTATACACACAGAGAAACCAGCAACAGGTGAGACACAGGTGAGACACAGGTGAGGACAATTTCAGAGGAGGGAAAACACAGGAAGTAAAACCAGACTAGAAACACAGGGAATCAACTCCTACAAAATAAAACAGGAAATAAACACTGAAAACTGATCTAAAGAATAAAACACAGAGAACAGGAGGGAAACACAAACTGAAAACTCACAAGGCTGGACTATGGGGGAACAGGACTACAGGGGGACAGAACTATAGGGGAACAGGACTACAGGGGAACAGGACAACAGGGGGACAGAACTATAGGGGAACAGGACTACAGGGGAACAGGACTACAGGGGGAAAGGACTACAGGGGGACAGGAATTATCGGGGAACGGGGAGTATCACACAGAGACTGAAAAGAGTTTTTTCCCCTTTGTTAAATGACTGACATTTCTCACAGCTCCTATCTACTGACTGCTGTAGAGTCCAGAGCTGAAAATCCAGGTATCCGAACTTTATTGTGCCGCTCAAACATCAGAGAGCTGTGAAATGTTGACCTGAAAATAAGACAACCCTGATTATAAGACGACCCCTATTTCAGGACTAGTTTAAAGAAAAAGACTTATGAGGACAAAATCTGGTTTATAAAAAGAAAACAATCCAAATTAAATATGAAATAAAGAACTAAAAGAGTTTTTGGTCGTTATAAACAAATAAGAGAGTATCATCAGCATACAGAGTTATCAGGAGGATTTAAGGAGTTCACTTGGACCATTCTTGATGAGGACTGCAGTTTGTAAGTGTGTGTAAGTGTGTGTTAGTGTGTGTCTGAATCCTCACTGAAGTGTATCAGGGTCTGCAGGAACTTCAGCTGCAGCTGTGTGTTCAGTCTGACTGAGGGAGGTTTTTGTACGACGCTTTTTCACTGTGTGAACACCCACTGACTGTTGAGGATGTGTGCACTCTGACAGTAGTAAACTGCTGCATCTTCAGTCTGGACTCCACTGATGGTCAGAGTGAAACTAGATCCAGATCCACTGCCTGAAAAACGACTTGATATCCCTGATTGTCGAGTGTGAGCATACTTAATGAGCAGTTTAGGAGTTTCTCCATCCTTCTGTTGGTACCAGAATAAAGCGTAGTCACCATCGTCATACCTATGCACATTCTGACTGACACTACAGCTGATTTGAGCGTTTCCTCCCGGAGCAGAGGTCACTGCTGCAGGCTGAGCCACTGTGACCTGTCCTCTGGACTCTGAGGATACAGAGACAAACACAGAAAGCAGCGTCATGGTTTTGTGGGCTTCATTTCAGAGGGACGGATGTTCATAGAGGAGAGGAGTTGGATTCTCTGGACTTTACCTGTGAAGCAGCAGCAGAGGAGAGTCCAGATGAGGACGCAGATCACAGTCATGTTTCTGATCAGGAGGAGGAGGAGGATTTCTGTGTCTTCTGTTGTGATGAAGGACAGCTGTCAGTCATCCAGTCTTCAACTCTCAGGACTATAAAGTCTCCCAGAGCACTGGAGCATGCTGCTGCTCATGCAAACTCACTCTCTATGGAAATGACTCCTATGAATGGACAAATGCACTCATCAACTCTGCTGCAGGTGTTGTGTCATGTTATGTTCAGGAAAGAAGGAGAGCTGAAAGAGGACACAAGTTTAGTCCAAAGGTGTTTTTAGAGGAGAGAGAGCTCCTGTCTATGACGGCCTTAGTTTCTGGAGTGGACCATCTCCATCAGTCTGAGGGTCACCTGATCCACTACAGAGAGAGAGATGAAGAAAGAGCTTCAATAAACTTCAGCACAAGAGGTCGCTACAGCTGACTACAGTTGAGAAGATGAAACTGATCTCAGCTCTTTCACTTCCCTCTTACTCCAGTAACCATGGCAACAGACAGGCATCGCTGCTTAACCATGACTACAGACATGTTTCAGTGCTATAAAAGAAGTCCTTAGTACCTCTGATAAACCATGAAAAAATAATAAAGATTTAAGGTTTTTAATTTTATACACTTTGTAAAAATAAAATAAAACTTTCAAAGAAAAACAATTAGCCGACATATTGTTGTGAAAAAGTTTGGAGCTTTTTTAAAGAATTACTTCAGGCTGAAAACCTTTAAAAAAGTTATTATCAAATTCAAAAAAGTTCCTGGATTTATTCTAAAGTTTGTCCAGTTAACTTGGATAATAATTCAGTCCAATTAACCCACAGAATGAACGTTTTCAACTGAGACATATGAACTGATGTTGTAAACTGAGGTCCCATTGTACGTAAGCAGGTGTTGTGGCAATGAAACTCTTTTTAATCAATGAGCTTAATGACAAAAGAAGTTTATTGATCTGATGATAGGAGTCATTTCCATAGAGAGTGAGTTTGCATGAGCAGCAGCATGCTCCAGTGCTCTGGGAGACTTTATAGTCCTGAGAGTTGAAGACTGGATGACTGACAGCTGTCCTTCATCACAACAGAAGACACAGAAATCCTCCTCCTCCTCCTGATCAGAAACATGACTGTGATCTGCGTCCTCATCTGGACTCTCCTCTGCTGCTGCTTCACAGGTAAAGTCCAGAGAATCCAACTCCTCTCCTCTATGAACATCCGTCCCTCTGAAATGAAGCCCACAAAACCATGACGCTGCTTTCTGTGTTTGTCTCTGTATCCTCAGAGTCCAGAGGACAGGTCACAGTGACTCAGCCTGCAGCTGTGACCTCTGCTCCAGGAGGAACCGTCACCATCTCATGTAGGACCAGTCAGACTGTGGGCTATACTGGTACCTACTACCTTTTATCCTGGTACCAACAGAAGGATGGAGAAACTCCTAAACTGCTCATTTATCGTGCTAGCACTCGAGCATCAGGGATATCAAATCGTTTTTCAGGCAGTGGATCTGGATCTAGTTTCACTCTGACCATCAGTGGAGTCCAGACTGAAGATGCAGCAGTTTACTACTGTCTGAGTTATCACTACATCAACACTCAGAGTGTGTTCACACAGTGAAAAAGCGTCGTACAAAAACCTCCCTCAGTCAGACTGAACTGAAACTGAACTGACGGCTGCAGCTGGAAGTTTCTGCAGAGACTGACACACTTCAGTGAATCAGATCAGACAGGATGAAAAACTTTCTAATTTACGTAAATTACACGATAAACTTTAGGTCTACTTTTAGGTACACTATAACTAAATCTCTCGTTTCAAAACTATCATCTAAAATATCACTCCTGCTACATTGAATGTTCTTACAAAAAGAGTTTAGACAGATCAGTAAATATGACTGATTTGTTTTTCAAAATAATCTCCAAAAGTAACTCCAGACTTTAACAAAAGATTTAAAAACTTTGAAAAGTTCAAAAAAAGATGAAAAAAGTGAAAAACAAAGAGTGATCATAAAAACAAGAACAAACAATGAATGACTAAACTGAAGTGAAACACAGAAAAACACCAATAAACAGATAATTTACAGTCAGTATCCAACCCTGAGGTAAAAAGAAGCCTGGACTCAGATGACCTTAGTGTTTTGGATGATTGATTGATTGATTGATTGATTGATTGATTGATTGATTAATTGATACTGGAACATGTAATGACAAAAGTGAAGACCTTATGTATGTATATCCATCCATCCATCCATCCATAAACAATAATGGATTTAACCAAAGTGATTCTTTGCAGATGTCTTTTACATACAGAATAATCCATTAAGGGCCCAATACTGACCCCTGGGGTACACCGTCTGAAATATTCAAACACAGGGAACAAAAATCCTGACGTTTCACAAACTGTTTCTGTCACTAAAGGAGCTCCTTAACCAATCCAAGGCCACATTCTGATCCCATACTGTTCCAGTTTATTGATTAGTATGTCATAGTTAATGGTATCAATCACCTTTTGAAGGTTGAAAATAAAGTAAAACTTATATTTTAGTTTTTTGTTGTTGTTGTTGTGTACTTTTAATGGACAGTGTAATATTCATGTTGTCATTGTAGATTGTTTCCCAGTTTGAGTGTGTGTGTGTGTGTGTGTGTGTGTGTGTGTGTGTGTGTGTGTGTGTGTGTGTGTGTGTGTGTGTGTGTGTGTGTGTTTGCATATCTGTCCTTCCTCTCTGCTCTCAGAGGTTAAGAGGACCGTGTTGATCCCCTTTCCAGACCTTTCAGAGACAGCGACACAGCAGCAGCACAATAATGATGTCCCTGATCCAGCTTCTGCTCACCCTGGGGCTCCTTGTTCAGGGTGAGACCAGGTTGCCCACAATGAAGTTCTGCTCTGATGGAGAACAACTTGAAGAAGCAGCATTGACCTTCTTCCATCTCCTCTCTCCATCTCAAAGAAATGAGACTCTTGTGTTTGGATGGTGTTCATCTTTCTCTAAGCTGGATTTGTCTCCATAACCTTCTCCTCTTTTTCATCTTTTCCAGCTTCATCAGGACAAATCCTCCTGACTCAGACTCCTGGATCTCAGTCTGTGGTTCCAGGAGGGACCGTCTCCATCAAATGTCAGACCAGTTCATCTGTTGGTAACTGGCTCAACTGGTACCTTCAGAAACCTGGAGAAGCTCCTAAACTCCTGATTTATGAAGCTTCAACCCGTCAGTCTGGAGTTCCAGCTCGTTTCAGTGGATCTGGATCAGGATCAGACTTTACTCTGACCATCAGTGGAGTCCAGGCTGAAGATTCAGGAGTTTATTACTGTCAGCAGAGTTACAGATTCCCGTTCACACAGTGAAAAACCGTCGTACAAAAACCTCCTCAGTTAAAGAGGAACTGATCTGACTGAACATCTGCTTGTAGAGCACAGATCACTGCTTTCAAAGCTCTGTGTCTCCAATGAAGATGAACTGAGAAGGTTCAACTTTGTAGAAATCTTCAGGTCTATTTTAAATATATAACATCTTTATATTTGTAATTTAAATGTGACTAAAAGCTGCAGTAATTCCTTGAATTCATTGACAAATATCTGAGAGTCTCAAAATCAGCCCAAATCCTCCTCTGTCTTCTGTTCATAATCCAATCATTCAGAATAATTGTCCTTTTTTAATCAGATTTTCATCCAAATACTACCATATAATATGACACATGATGAATATTGTTTATTGATTGAATCGTCTTTCAGATCTAAAGAGAAAGGTCCAAATATTTCAAGTATTTGACATTTTACTTCAGTCAAATCCTTGAAAATCTTTTGTTTCATTGCCTTGATAAAGTCATTATTTCAGATAAATTTAAGTCAAAAATGAAGATTAAAAACAGAAATATGGATCCATATGGTCCAACTGAAATATTATTGTTTATTATTGTAATACTATTGTACATGATAGTGTTATTCAGAGTCATAATTGGATGATATTCTCTAAATCTAAAACAGGAATATTTATTGAAAGTGCAGTAGCAGTGATTTGATTTCTCTCTATGCTGATGATATCAGCTTTTATTGAAGTCATCATCATCATCATCATCATATATTTCATCAGACAATAACAGCTCCATGAAAAGTGATTTTTTACAATCAGACCACTGACAATATAAGAGTCCTCGTCATGGAGGCCGCTCAATACTCAAAGCTGATTGGATGATTTTCAGTCTTTGTTTTCACCAGTTTTTCTCTCTCGTGTTTTTGGAGAAATTTTCAGTTCATATTGATTATGAGTTGAACTTAATGGACTGAGAATAAAAAAACATTTCAAAGTTTTCTTTCAGCTCATATTTTCTCATCGACACTAAATTCTTCTTTTTCTCAGCTCATCCTAAATGAGACAAACTCAGTTTTTCTTTGTTTGTTTCTGTCTGAAGGAGTCTGTAAAGACTTGAAACATTAAAGATAAAAAATGAGACTGACTCGTTGATTTGATGAAGATTTTTATTCTGTGAATAAACGACAAAGAAAGCAAGGCTTTTATTTTGAAAAGTGTGAGTTGAATCAAAGTGAGTTTTTAATTTTCTCAGTTGGATAAATTTCACGGTCACAGTCAGCTGATCTGTTCAGTGGATTTCCTGCAGTCACTGACACCATCATGATGAAATAAAGTCACAAACATTCATCCTGATAAAATAAGAAAAACAGAAAAACTGAATTGATCAAGAAACTTTTATTGTGAAAATTCAAGAAAACAAGAAGCTGCTGAATGTTTGTGCTGAAAGCTGTGAACTCAGAGAGAGAGAGAGAGAGAGAGAGAAGCAGAGTGAGAGCAGGATCAGACTTAAAGCAGGAGCAGAGTCCCAGTGAGTCAGGACTGGGAACACTCGTCTCTCCTCAGGGTCTGTGAGAGCGGAGTCTGGGAGCCCTGGGTGGCCTCACAGGTCACAGAGACCACCTTGTTCCACTGGGCTGCAGAGAGCCTCAGGGTGCTGCTCCAGCTGTAGTGGCCGTCCTTCTGCAGCCCCCCGGGGCTCCTGCTCTCCTCCCCGCCGCTGCTGCTTCTGCCGTCCACCTTCCAGGTCAGAGTCCAGTCTGAGGGGTAGCCCTTGTTGGCCAGGCACATGAGCGTGGCCTTGCCCTGTTTCCGCAGCTCCTCTTCAGAGGGGGGCAGCACCGTCAGGGTGGGGACCACTCGACCCACTGAGAGAGCACACAGAGAGACCACATGAAGAAAGTTCACTCAGTCAGGAAAACAAAACTCTGCTCTGACGCTCGTCCTCACATGGCCTCAAACTGCTGTCTTTCACTTCCCTCTCTCATCTCAGTAACCACGGCAACGGACAGCCATCACCGCCCGACCGTAGCAACAGACAGGTTTCACTCCTAAAGATAAAACCTGAAGCGGGAAACTCTTTGCTGCGACCAACAAAGTGTAAGATGAAGATTTGATGGTGTGAAAAAGAGCACAAGACTTCAAGTTGAGCTCCTCCAAAAGTCTGACTGTAGAGAGACTCGGCTCTCTGACTCGGACTGAACTCGATGGATCAGCTCCTCCATGAGAGTCAAAAACCATCCTGATCTGAAAAGGATCATTCTGCTCGGATTTATTCAATCAGTCTGAAGAGATTCTGTCTTCTTCTAAAACCTCAATCCTATCAGCTCCACTTTTTTTTACACTCTTTCTAAAAACATGCATCGCAAAAGAAAATGATCACATTAGTTTCCATCAGTAACGTCTACGAAGGAAAAATAAGTGACTAATATCATAAAAAGGATCAAAAGTGGACTTACAGTCAACATCCAGTCTGGTTCCTCCACCAAAAGTCAACCACAGTGATACAAAGTCATTGAGGCGCCGTACAAAAACCTCTGACTGTAGAGAGACACGGCTCTCTGACTCTGACTGAACTAAACCTACCAGCCCTCAGGATCCAACTTTGTTCACTCAAGTCTGAAGATTAAATAGTAAATTTGTAGGAAAAGATGAGCCCCACTTCAAAATCTGAAATGACTTTTTCTTCAGTACCTCTTCAATCCAAAGTGACATTTTTCTGTTTTCTTCAAAAAATCAGTTTAAAATAAAAAAGCAAAGTGACTTTTGTCCTACAGATTTAAATGAAAAGTAAAAAAGCTTCAGAAACAAAGAAAAAGACTTTATATTTGACTTACTTCCAACATCCAGTCTGGTTCCTCCACCGAACGTGTACCACAGTGATACAAAGTCATTGAGGCGCCGTACAAAAACCTCTGACTGCAGAGAGACACGGCTCTCTGACTCTGACACAAACAAAGTCACCTAAATGTGTCTCTGTCTGCAAGAGCTTTGAGCTCCAATGAAAGCAGAGAATTCAATGTAGTCCATTTGAATGAATCCAGTTTTTGAAGATCTTTATTGGTTTACTGAATAGTTGACATTCATTGTCCTCAGCATCGGGCTAAGACTGAAGAAATCTCTCCAAATAGATGGATGAAGAAGAACAAACCTAAACCTTCATGATACAAGTCAGGAAAGCTGTTTGATCAATCAGGAGATGAATTGATTGATCCATTATTGAACATCATCATCATCATCATCATCATGTCTATAATCTAAGGCCCTGTTGGAGTTAATGTGAGCATTTCAATAGAGAGTGAGTTTGCATGAGCAGCAGCATGCTCCAGTGCTCTGGGAGACTTTATAGTCCTGAGAGTTGAAGACTGGATGACTGACAGCTGTCCTTCATCACAACAGAAGACACAGAAATCCTCCTCCTCCTCCTCCTCCTGATCAGAAACATGACTGTGATCTGCGTCCTCATCTGGACTCTCCTCTGCTGCTGCTTCACAGGTAAAGTCTAGAGAATCCAACTCCTCTCCTCTATGAACATCCGTCCCTCTGAAATGAAGCCCACAAAACCATGACGCTGCTTTCTGTGTTTGTCTCTGTATCCTCAGAGTCCAGTGGACAGGTCACAGTGACTCAGCCTGCAGCTGTGACCTCTGCTCTGGGAGGAACCGTCACCATCTCATGTAGGACCAGTCAGGATGTGTATCTTGATGAATGCTTATCCTGGTTCCAACAGAAGGATGGAGAAACTCCTAAACTGCTCATTTATTATGCTAGCATTCAAGAATCAGGGATTCCAGATCGTTTTTCAGGCGATGGATCTGGATCTAGTTTCACTCTGACCATCAGTGGAGTCCAGACTGAAGATGCAGCAGTTTACTACTGTCAGAGTGTTCATGAGATCAACAGTCAGTATGTGTTCACACAGTGAAAAAGCATCGTACAAAAACCTCCCTCAGCCAGACTGAACACACAGCTGCAGAGTGTGACACACTTCACTGAGGATACACACACACACACACACACACACACACACACACACACACACACACACACACACACACACACACACACACACACACACACACACACACACACTGTTACATGTCTCCCTTCGTTTTGATCATGATCACTATTCCACCATGAATTCATTCAAACTCCTTATCCACTTTAAAAATACTCTGAAGGTCTTTCAGCAACATTTGAAGACACTCAAATGACCCGTTCAAGTAAAGCAGATATTTATACCAAGACATTTTATATATTTGTATTTATTTAATGTAAATATTTGGGCCTTTGGCTTGACTCCCATCTATCCTTTATAACTCATATTGATTCAATCACAGAGAAAATATAATATTGTCTTTTAAAATTGTTTTCTCGTTCAAAGAGTGTTTCTCTCTGAAGGTTCAGAGAAGAATTGTAACACAGTTGATTCTGACAATACTTGACTATGCAGATATAGTGTACCAAAATACAACTGAAACAAATCTTGGTCCTCTGTCTGCGCTTTATAACAGTCTTTGTAGATTCATTCTCAGGAGCCCATTTCAAACTCATCCATGTTTCATCCATGAGTCTCTGAACTGGCTTTCACCCACCAAAATCTAGAAGAAAGTTTCACTGGTTTCAGTTTATCTTTAAATGCAATTATTTTAGTTTTCCTCCTTATTTGAAGCAGTACCTAATATCATTAAGTCACAATATAGACCAAGACACACAACCAATCTATCTTTCTTTACCCCAGAATCACTAAGGAAATTGGGCGTTGTGTCGGGACCCCCTTGAAAATGAGATGGTCCATCTGAAGGGGCTTTCCTCCTAAATAAATAAAATAAACATTTATAATAAAATCAAAACACAAAGAATTTGTAATGAGGCAGGGTTAAACAAAGGGAAAGGACCCAAATATGCAGACGAAAAAAATGATTTATAAAAAAGAACAAAATGAAAAGAAACGAAAAGAGAAAAATCCAACAAAAGGGTTAGGAGGAAAAAACAACAAGGAGACGAGGGATTCACACATCGAGGATCAGGGTGAACT